ACGATATCAAAATTAATAATTTAAAAAAATAAGTAATTTAATATTTGATGATAAAAATGTAAAATCGAGATAATTTTCATATAGAAATTTTTAATGTTAATCATTTAAATATAATCTTTAACAATATTCAGAATAGAGGACCTAGATGAATTAATTTTCAGTTTACAATATTAAACAAGTAATTTTAAATTTAAAAAATGAAAACATGTTTAAACTTAGTTTTGTGGTTTCAAGTTGGACCAAAAGCTAAAGGGTTTTGTTTTGGGTTTTTGTGCTGAAAGTGGAAGATGCTTGTGCTGGGCCGTCACATATCAATACGTGTTGTTTCTTGTTTCATCTCTAAAGTTTTTTTTTTTTTTCATTTCCATAATTAAAATAAATTTTATTTTATTTTTTTATAAAAATATATTCACATTATTGAAATTTATTTATGAATTATTATTCTAAAAATACATTATAAATTTGGTGTTTTAAAATATATTTTTGAAAGTCAATCCAAAAATAATTTCAAATTTGTTATTTAAAAATTTATTTATAGATTCACTTTTTAAAAAATACATTCTGAATAAATTTAAAATTATTTCATATCTCTATATTATTTTTTAACTAACTTTTATATAATAGATATAAAATATTAATAATTTTTTATAAAATTTAAAATAATTCTAGATAAAAATGAAACTAAGACAAAACTATAAAAATGCAAATGCAGTAGGGAAAGAGGAGAAGCTTTTAGAATTAAAAAAAATAATAATAAAAGAATATTTTAATCATTTTACATATTAGGGAAGTGCAAAAAAAAAAAATGGAAGATAAGAAAAATGAACTTTAAATATATACTAATCTATTGTTTTCTATTCAATCACCTACTATTTGTTTCATTTAATTTTACTTTTTAGTTTTTAAAAATAAAGATTAATTTAAAAAAATTGTTTTTAAAAAAATGTAGTAATTTTATTTTTAAAAAGTATTTTAAATGAAAAGTACGACATAAATAATTTTAATAAAAAAATATAATAAAAATTTTAATTTTTTTAAAATAATTTTATAATAATAAAAATTAATAATTTAATGTAATTATTAGACGAAATATTAATATCCATAAATAAAAATAGAAAACTATAAAAAACACATTTTATTAATTTTAATTTTATAATATTTAAAAATTAAAAAATAAAACAGTTTTCAAAAATTATTTTAACACAACATTATCAAAACAAAATTTCTAATACTTAAAAACAAAAAAATTTAAAACTATTTTTAAAAATAGTAAATAAACAAATCCTAATAATTTAATTTTTTTCATCATCCATCACAGCATTTCAATTATCTGGTTTCTACTTTACTCCTCCTTGCTACAAATGAGAATATTATTTTTTTATAAATTAAAATGAACTTATAACTTAACTAAAATTATTTTATAAAAACTTTCTTGTATCAGTTTTTTAAATTTTTACTTTTAATTTATATGTAAGCCAATTTAATTTTATCATCATTTTAAATTTTTATGTAAGATTTGTTAAAATATATTCTTAATAATTTAAAATCAAAATATGACCTTTACGAATAGATTAACACTCTCTTTTACATTGAAGGTTGGGCTGTTTAAAGGGAGGGATCCAAAATAATAAGGGATGCCCTCACATGAAAAGAACCAAATTGGAGTTCCTCAAAAGGAAACATTAATCGGGGACACACCTTTTTGGAGAAACTAAAAAAAACAACCAAAAAACAAATTCTTTGTGTTATTTCCACATGGTGGAAGCTACAATGCCAAGAAAGTTAAAACGTTGGAATGATTCAAAAGAATGTTGCCACATTCTTTTTCACATTTTTTTCAAAACGTTCTTTATTTTAGGATAAAGTGTATTTTGTTTTACTTTATTGAACTAACAATAAAGAATTTGTAAACATGATAGTTTTCTTCATTTATATGGACTTAATGAGTAGCAATTAGTGGATTGTAATCTTTAATTATTCTTATACTTGTTAAACTAAAGGGAAATTACATGTTAACACCAGTTAATTTGCTAAATACACCTAATAATACAGTTATTTTGCTTGCACCAACAAAATAATGAATTTAGCATCTTCTAAATTTTGTGCGTACTTTCTCTTCTCTTTTAGCAATGATTATTGAACATAAATTTTAGATTTTAGATTTTTTATAACTTAAGTGAAATATATTTTGAGTTAAAACTCTAAAAATATGAAAACTCATTGATACGTTTTATTTAGATAAAATAAAATTCTTAGAAATAAATATTTTAGAAAATATTTTATATATATATTACTTTTGATAACGAAATAAATAATAATGAAGATAGAGTTGAAAAACTTATTTAGTTATTCATGGATAATTTTTACCTATTAAAAGTTACTCTCTAACAAGACCATAGATGATTTTTTTTTTTATTAATGGTGAACGTAATGAGATCCAAATTCAGGTTAAACACTTGATTTTGAGATTTTATTGATATCGAAAAATACTTTTAAACCTAAAATAATTAAAAGATTACCAAATTGAAATTAGCACTACGAATAGGTTAAGTAAATGTCGTTAAACTCTTAGTATGTAGTGTTTACTTATGGATTAAAATAAATTTACTTTAATTATAAACTATGATACTAACATAAAAAATAAGTTTTTAAGTCTAATTCAATTTTCAAAAAACATTTCATAAATTTATTAAGCTTATCATGGACTAGATTATAAAGTTTGATAAAATATTATGGTGTCTAATTCGTATCCACATGCAAGATTTGTTTCACACGGAGGTCAATTATTAAGAAGAGATGTAGAATGAGAGAATATCATTTATCATCATTCACTTATCATAGAATAACTTTACATAATTAAAAGACGAGGACACTCTAGTGCTTTCTCTATCATAAAAAAATGATAACACAACAAATCAATGGTGTTCTAAAGAAGAAAGAAAGGATGCAGTCATGGCGGTCAAATTAATGATGTGTTTGAACATTTAAATTGGAACCAGAAAGCTTCAACGTTGTCTTGTCTTGTAGCGGAGGCATTCACATTTCTCAATTGTTATTATTTGTCGTTTTCGTGGTTTATATTTGTGCATGGAAGCCCTACATATATAGTAATCATGACTGTTCTTCTTCGATTAAATCACATGGAGAAAAGAAGATGAAGGGATAATGGAAATACAAAACAACTTATGGAAAAGGTAACATAAAACCTTTATATGATTTTATTCTTAGTTTATATGTCTACCTTTCATTTCAAAGTTGGAAAATGATTTTTTTTTAATTTAAAAACATCCTTGTGAAAAACTAATCTTTTAAAATAAATTAAACTATATTTTTTATAGAATAATTATGATAAATATTTATTTTTTATATAATTAAAATATTTTATCAAATTTTCATATCATACCAATTACTTAAATCCACACACGTAATCATATGCATTACTTAAAAATCTATAACAAATAAATAATTTTAGTGATAATGATAAAAATTAATATTTAATTATAGTAAATACAATTATTTATTATATTTATTATCATATTAAGTTAAGAATGTTTACTGTAATTACTATTTTAACATATTTTTTTAATGCTAGACATTTGATATATATATATATATATATATATATATATATATATATATATATATATATATATATATATATATATAAAATAAAGTAAGAAAGTAGCTAGCATAAGATGATAAATTATGTAAAACATTAATAAAATATACCTATAAATTATTAATATTAAGATAGAATATAATATTATGTTTTTTTATAATTCATTAATTAATAATATATTAGTGAACATCTTTTTAGTGTTTATAATGATTAAATAAAAAAAATACTTTTAATTAATACTCCATAATGGTAAAATTTTCATCTTGCCATTTTATTAGGATTTTCCAAAAATAAAATAAAATAATATTATTCCTTTTCAACATAAAGAATAACTTGACTTCTATATTATAAAAGGACGACCACTTATTCATATAAAAACATGGGCTTTAAACAAGAAAATAGAGTGGAATAATTAATGGGTAAGATTGGGTTGAATTTGTTCGATAAAATATAAATTTGGACTTTTTTTTTGTTTGAATTAAGTTTGAACATTTTTAAACTTAAGTTTAGTCATGATTTATGGACTTTATTATTTCTTTTCGTTTTAGGTAATTTCAATCGTAACAACATTTTAAAAAATGACAAAATATTTTTGAAGAACAATGTTTCGGACACTTTTTTTTAACAAAATTTTGTCGAAATACACAATGTTACATATTTCCATAGTGAATTTGGACAAAATCTAACAAAGTATATGATAGAAACGTATTTCATTTTTGGTGATAACGAATGTTGTCCCAAATGAGACTAGTTAATGATAAATTTAGTTCATATATTTACTATAACTCATAAATTTCACTAAATATGATTATTATTATTATTATTGGCATTTCAAAATTAGGATTAATAATGTATAGGATGCACACACACAAAAAAAAAGGTTTTTCCAAAGAACTGGAGATTAGAAATTGTATGATAAGAAATATTGAAGAATTATCAAATAAAAGAAAATATTGAGTTTTGTTGATTCTTGATCTTCTCTCCACATGATTTCTAATTAATTGATTCATATTCAGCTAACACTAGAGTTTTGTTCTCAATCAATGTGAATAATACCGTTAAAGCAACTTCCATTAGGTTTCAAAACGGAATTAATGGTGATCCTGTAGAACGTCAAAAATATAAGTTAAAGACTAAAATTGAATAATTGAGCTTAAAATTGAAACCTGAAACAAAATTTTGGTTGAAAAAACACCAACATTACCTAAAATGAATTAAAATCTCTAATAAATAAACCAAAACAGTGGAAGTAAGAAGTGAACATATTGGTTAAGAGAATGAAAACAAACCCATGCTATTATGAAAATTAGCAGTTACACAAACTATTCCATTTTACACCAAGTGAACAATTTTACAAGAAGCCCTCAGTATCCAAAATTGGTCACTCTATGAAGTAATTAACTTGGATACTCTTGGGCAGAGAAGAACTCATGAACCCACTATCTGATTTTCTATCTCCTTTACCACCCCAAGAAAGTCTAAAAAGTATACCCTCCTTCCCTCCAAAGTTAACCGTTTCTAAGCTGCTTTGAAAAACCATTTTCAGCCATTTCTCAAACAATTTGTTGGTAAAATAACCACACCCAAAACAAAGATTCTCAATCACCCTCTCATCTACAGTTAAATTCTCCACACATTGCTTGCGACAAACCTCCTCAAAAGACCCTTTTATCTTGCACAAAAAGAACTCTGCCATCTCTCTGTCTTTAACTGGACTTGTGTTGAACTCAAACCGGTTTTCAATTGAGTCAAGAAATCCGTTTTGGTTCAGTGGATCAGCTATAGTTTCCCTAGTCAAATCACTTGAAATAGGGCTACCTTCTCCAGCTTTTCCCTCCCCATCACATTCTTCATAAGCTTTCATGTTCAGATCAAGAGTGTTAAAGCTTGTATGTGTTGAAAACACTTTCTTCTTGCTCCCATGAAAACTCATGGGGTTTGAAAACAAATCAAGTTCAGCTCTTCTTTTGTTGCCCAGACAAGGCGCCGTGATCCTAGTTGCAACAGATGTAGTGTCTAAGTTAGGCTTGGTTTCGCTAACCTGCCACAACAACTTCATCACCAATTCCTCATTCTTCTCCTCAATGCTAGTGGATCCACCACTTGTCAATATGAGTATTACTTGGCTTGAGTTCTCTTCCGTGGAATTTCCAAACATTCCTGTTTCTAACCCATCTGAGAGGAATTTCTTGAACTGGGCATCAGCAAAGTCAACATTTTCTATCAGCACCGCAAGCTGTTGGTGGGTTTTCAGTGCTCCTACTATCATTTCAGAGAATGGGGCTATTGAAGTCTTTCTCTTTAACATATCAAATTGAAGGAGCACATCAGTTGAGCCAAAAACTGATTCTGCAACTGCAAGTGCCAACCTTCTTTTCCCAATGTTGTCATTGCCTTGCACAAGTAACCAAGTAATGTTGTTACTTCGCTTTGCTGATTTGGAATCGATCAAGGCTTCTGCTATTGAAGGAACAGTCTCAGACTGCCATGGGATATTATCCTGCAATAGTTTACAAATATGAGCTCTTTGCAGTGTGCTATCATCAGTTATATCCCCCACCGTCTCACCTGAACCGCCATTGCCAAGAGCAAGAGTAGTCTTTACTTCTTTGTCTTCCATGCCCTCAAGGGAATCTAAGACCGGCTCTGATGGTTCCCTTTTGTTGCCGAAATTGAACTCAATGATGCATGATTGTTGGCGCCGGAATCGAGGGACAAGTTTGGAGGTGGAACAATGTGTGGCATTGTTGGCAAAGGATATGGAGCTTGGTGAATTATAGCTGTTGTTGTTCCAGTTCCATTGGTTATGAGGCTGTTTGTTTTGGTGGAGACAGTGACAAAGTCTATTCCACTTTCTTTTCAGCTGGACTAATTCATCCTGAAAATGTTCAATTGTTATAAAGTATAAATCATAAGTCATTACAATTTTTCAAATCTCAACTAATAGGAACAAACATGCTCATGCATGTATATAAAAAAGATAAAGCTGCTGAACAATTGTTGGATTACAAACATATGAACAGAAAATTAACTTAGCTTCAATTTTCAACTTATGTGCTACCTTATTATTGTCTTCTGTGCTATGAGACTGAAGCCAGAATGGCAACATTTTCTTTTCATCTGGCCTAAGTAATTGGGCTTCTTTTTCATAATTGGAGGCACATTCTTCACAACAGTTGAGCTTATCCTGCCGCTCCTTGTTATCAAAGGGCTTTGTTTCAGGAACATGAGATTGGTTTTGGGAGATGGTCATCTTTGAATCAAGGACACTGAAAATTGAGTGCAAAATATTCATAAAGTTAACATCCAAAATTAAACAAATAGTCACTGTTGAGTTTACAGCTCCCATTCCGTTCAGTTAATATCACACTACTCAATTATTCTTAGTGGTGTGCAGCAATAAGGCATATTTGCAAAAATATGTGACTATTTTTTTCCTTTAGTAAAGTCTAGTTTCAGTTTTTCCAACCCAATATCATGTGCATGCGTAATGTGTAAGAGGTTGGTTATATACTGACAAAGCAGAACCAGAAACAGAAAGGCTCTGCTTCACATCTGCCTTACCAACCAACCATGCTTTTCACAATGGATCTGGCAAAGCTCAGTGACCGTACGCACTCCTCAACAAAATGTAAAACGAATTAAGCTTTCAACATACTACCATGCCTGGATAACTTTTACGTACTTATGTTTTCCTTTTCTTTTTTAAAAAATAAATAAATAAATAAATAAATTTGCAAGTCATGTGTGGAGTTATTCCTTTTAGCTTTCTGCATTAAATCAAACAAATTAAGCAAGACATGTTTCAGTATTTGGCTAATGTCTCTGACATTAAGTTAAATCAAATCAGAGTAATTATTAATCAAATGATTACCTGGGAGCATGAAGACTCAAGCCAAGTCCACCTGATGGAACAGGAACAGCCTGAAGAGCCCACTGCTTCTCGAGAGGGGGTTGCCTCATTTGACACCTCATATATGTTTGGTAACTAGCAGTGGCCATGAGCCACATCTTAGCATTATTTGATGTTCCACAGTCACAGAATAACTTTCTAATTTCTGAAATTAAATGATCAACTGGATTGTAACCAGAAACTTCTCCTTCTGGGGAACCTTCCTGTTTGTCACTGAAACTTGCCTCCTCCACTGTCCACTTCAGGTCTCCAATATAAAAAATGCCACCCGCTCCTCCTGATGCAACGGAATCCACCCTCCTTTTCAGTTCCAAGACTTTCATTTCAACTTCATCTCTTTTCATGCAACTCAATGAAACATGTGAAATTTGGAATTTGATAAAAGGGGTTGACTTTAACTCATCAGGCACTTCTGACCTTTCTATCCTTCCAATTAGCTCTCCCACAAGGCCCTCTGTTAATGACACAGAGTCGCCTACAATCACAGTGTTTTTTTTCTTATTCCCCAAGAATATATCCAGAAGAACCCTGATGTCATCCTTACTAGAAGAAGCTGCACCGGTGATGGAGCATACTGGTGCATTCTTTAGTGGATAAAAGAGAAGTGAAGGGTGGAACTCAGAAGCATGAGAACTTAAGAACTGATGAGTCTGCCTGAAATTGGTAGGGTTGGTGGTTGCTTCCCTGTGGTTCTCACTGGCAGAAGGTGAGCAAGGAGAAGAAAACACACCGCCAGAACTATTGTAGCACTGGAAAACAGAGTGGGGTGAGGAATCCTCTATGTTGTTCTTAACAGCAGTGCTAGAGAAACCAGCCTCTCTCATAACCCGGCTAACACTAGGGTCATCAAGGATGGATATGATGAGGTGTTCCAGCTCAACCTTGATGGTGAGAAGAGGCTGTTGTTGCGGTTGCTCTATGCAGCCTCTTCTCTGGTGAGCCTGAGCTCTCTTCAATGCAGCAATAAGAGCATTGGAGAGAGAGGGCTGAGAGTGGATCAAAGTAGCAGGTGTTGTTGGGAGCCTGTTGAGAGCCACATTGAAACACAGCTCAAGAGCCCTGCATTGAAGAGGATGAGAAGTTTGGTGAGGCTGAGACTTAAGACAAGCCCTTCTCAAGGAACTGCCTCTTAGGCTGAGCAAAGTGGCAGCCACATGCAGAGGAGTGACCTGTGCATGGCCCCTCCTCCGAGCCAACCCCAGAGAGTGCTTCAACACTGAAGCAGCCTCAGCTGTGAGGGTCTGCTGTAATGCACAAACTCCTGAGCGCATCACTTGGCCAAACACCACCCCCCTCACCACCCTCTTTGTTGCTGAACCTTTTTCTTTTGAACAGCGCTTTACTTCTTCTTCTTATCGTTCTCTTTCTCTCCAAATGTGCTCCACCCCTACACTTTCTCTTGCTATGGTCAGATGATTTTGGATAGTGGCTTTTACTCTCTCTTTGGATGAATGGAACGTGGAACTAACTGAATGGATTTGTTTGAAAAATGGAACAAGTGTAAGCTAAAACAAAAACACACACAGAGAGAAAGCTAGCTCCAGTGAGAATCCTTAGGCTTTAGAAATACCTGAACTATGCCTCACCACCTTCTTTATACTTCTTGTCACTCCTCATTTTTATTCTTTTCTTTTTCTTTAATTCTCTCTTTTCGTTCTAGTTTAAAGAGCCAGCTTTTTCTAGTCTTTATTTATTATTTCTACAATTCTACCTCGTTGCCTTTCTCTCTCTCTTGTCTATTATTTTCAAATATAATATTTATTTTTCCTTTCTATCAACATTTATATTTTTCCTTCTTCTAAATGTCATTTGAATATCATATTGTATTTTGATGGTTACATATTTTTTTCATTTATTTTTGTAATAGACATTTACTTATTGTCTTACTAAGAAGAATGATAAGCAATTATACTTTATCTTTTTCAATTTCTTTTCTTATCATTCTACGAATTAAAATGACTTCTCCCTTTTTCTCTAGATACTAAACACATTTTAAGGTCCATCGAACTTTTCCTTGATATTGGGAAGTAATACATAAACATGTTACCTGAAAATTTTGAAATCATGAACTCGCAATATTCAAAAATTATGTAATCATTGCTAAATGAAAGAAGGATGTCAATCAATATTCGACTTAAATACGAGTTGTTATGAACTTATATATTGGTGAGATCTTTAAGCAATGACTTAATTATCTTCTAAGTTAAAAAAAAAAATCCTGTGAGAACAATGTAATATGATGTATATGTGAGAAGCATTGCAATCATGCATTTGTAAAAGCATGAAAAGCTGAGGCTGCAGTGATCTAATAAGGCTACTCATGTATCTGCTAGCTGCAACAACAATGTGCATGCATGCATTTTTTTACCGTGGTTAATCATTGTTATCATAATACAAAAGGGCCAAAAGCACTATGATTTCCAGGGTTAAAATGAAATACTGTTGTGCCAGTTTGTGCTAAATTATTTATAAACAAATGAAGTAGCATAGGAAAGGAAAATAGAGAGTGCAGAGATGTGGACCCTCAATTCAAAATTTTTACTCAGCCTCATAGAGCTTCCCACCCTTTTCCACGTCATCTTTTGAATAGACAGATAAAGCCAGCAGAAATTCAAAAAAAGTTACTAAAGGGAAAAGAAGCCAGTGCGATGAAAGATTTTCTTTTGAAAAGCAAAGCGGTAAATTACATTTTTTATTTTTTTAAACATTTTCTTCAATTGTATATAGAATAGACATAGCTAGGTTATGTTTAGTTTACTATTTAACCTCGATAGTAATATGTTTAGCTTATATGTTTGTGACATGATATCAAGTAGTTTGCATATATTCTTAAATAAGCGTCAAAGATGCTTTAAAATTCATGCCACAACAGTTTGAACTGAGACAAAAAAAAAACACGCGCCTTATTTTCTTTCTAAATTAGCTTACACACTTAAATTCAACCTGAAATCAAATTTGAATTAAAAGCAAAAAGTTAGTTTACAAACTAACTAATTACAAGATAATAAAATTGATTCAAACTTAACATGCTGAGAGGTTAAGTTTACATCGTTGAATTGCACTGCTCCAAAATTAGGTAGCTAGCTATGTTGGGATCTCTCTCTCTTCACTCCAATCCTCATAGAGAGACAGTATTTTATTCCCCAAATACCAAAAAGCAACCCTCTGTCTGCTATCCCCTGTTCGCATTATTGGTTCTTTTTCAGCCTCTCTTCTCTCTCCTACTGCAAACTGCAATCACCTTTTGTCTTAATCTCATCTCCCATTCCAACCACCCACTTAAACCAACCTTTTGTTTTACCAAATAAAGCACCAAAACTGATCTATGTTCCACACTGTTACAAAACTTGGACACCCATTTGTGTTCACGTCTCTTCTATTCAATTCTCACACTATACGTGTCTCATCTTGTGGTTTCTTGGAAGCCTGAAAACACGGTCTGCTACAGTTTCATTATAAACATTTAGCAGTGTGACCATTTTACTACTTTCGTCTAATATTCTACTCTTCACTATTAATTCAATCTAACTATGTTTGTCTTTTCTCTCTTGCTTTCTTAATCGAGCTCTTTCTTTTCAAGGTTTTATTTTATCTATACTGGACTAGATTCTTATCGAGATGTATGAAAGGAATATATATGATCAGGTAGATCTCGAGAATATGTACATCACATGCACCCCTAAGGGGCACTGTATATACATTATTTATATATAGGAAAAGAGAGAGAATAAAAACCAAAGGAAACATGGAAGATATCATGGATGATATGAGGAAGATAGAGGACAGAAACAAAAGAAAGAGTGTGAAAATTAAGGTTCTATATATTATTTGTATTAATAATCCATAGCCATAAATGTAAATGAATGTACGTTTGTATGTAGTTTCTTGAGTTGCATTTTCACCTTTTGAAACTACATTCACACTAGTTCATTGTGACGTCTTCCCATGCAAAAAAGTAACTAAGAGGGGCAGGATTAGACATAACTTTGACCAACTGTACATGAAGGAAGCATATGGGTCCTCACGTAGTCACCTTAATTTGACCCTTGCAAGATTCGAAGCATGATTCATACGATAAGAAAAAAATGAATCATTGTAGCCTTTACTTTTACGTTAATAATTCCTGAAAGAAAATGAAAGAAGATAACAAATCTTGAAAAGGACTAGGGCCTAGAGGGAGAGCTTCATCTTGGAAGTATTACATGGCGCGAATTCCAAGAGTATGATCTGTTCAAGAGTTTAAGGTAGATTGAAGAAAAAGGAAACAAAAAAGAAGGAAAAAATAAACATGGAATAGAAGCATAATATTCTAATTGTGTGTCTTTCTTTATTCTCCATTGCACCAAAAAGAAGGGGTGGAAAATCCGTTAATATGGCCTATATATATATATAACTAAGAAGTGTTTGATCAGTTGGAAGTGTGTAGAATATTAAAGTACATAAAAAAATTGAAAAGCTTCGGAGTACCAGTGATGAACACTAAATATAAAATTGAGTACAAAACACTGTAGATAAATGTATTTTATTGAACGGTCTAGGTTGTCTTATAATTTATGTAAAACTGCAAACTAATCACCTTGTAAATACCATAATATGTGTGGGCATTTTTGCAAAAATTACTTCAAATTTCTCTTTTAATTTCCTTCTTTTGCAGTCAAAATTACATATATGTATCAATTAGTTCTTACTTTGTAAGTCTAATTTATGAATATGTATGTAGCTAACTGATAATGATCTTCCCGCTCTTGTTTACATTTATCATCACGAGATTGAAAACTTCATCAATTATATATATATATATATATATATATATATATATATATATATATATATATATATATATATATATCACGAGGATGAAAAAAAGAATTTCCTTAAGTAAGATTGATAAAAAGATTATATTATATTATTAATCATTATACTATTGTAATACAAAAATATGTGTTTTTTTAAATAGTTTTGTGGCTTTTGTAATATTTGATTTTTACTAATCCTATTTGTTTATCTGACTTTAATATAAATAAAAATATGCTATAAAAGGGTATATATGTAATTATCAAGTTCATATTAATCAACAGAGTATGACTTGTTAAATCAAACTTAGGTAGATTGAAAACTTTTTAATCTATTAAAAACAAATTTTAGATGGAACAAAACTGATAAACATTTTAACTGTTATAGCTATAACTGATCTAAAAAATATCGACATTTTAAGATGGGGTTTGCTAGCAACGGTTGGAGTTTACGAATCTTTTTTTTATTGTTCATGCGTATCTCCGTCGTTAGGTGGTGGTTTTCCGGTGGCATTTTAGTATTTCACGTTCCATGTTCTCCATTTTCTCAAAGTTCACGGGTCACTCCACCTCCTCACGCATCCCTACTTTTTGTCGTTTGTTGTCTTCACTTTCACGCACCACAACGAAGGCGTATGTACGCTCTTCGGTCTCTCCTCCGCTTCTTCTTTTCCAGACTGAAATAGCTTCCATAACTCATCTCAAGACATGTTATAAAATTTATTTTTAGACAAAAATTGAAACGGGATTTTGAATAAGCTAAATTTAACTTATATGTTAATTAAAAAATACATAACTTTTTAATTTTTGTTTGAATAAGCTATTTTTTAATATCAGAGTATGTGTGGTTAAGTTTTCCTTTTATTACGGGAGTGGGGGGGTATAGAGGGAATATCTGTTTTGTGAGCAGTCTGTATGTTTTCTTCCTATTAAAGACAAAGACAGCACTAAGTAGGTAATTATGAGCTACTGAGGCTCACTGGTCATTTTGGTGTCATCAATGGCAAATCCTTTTAACAAAACAAAAGGATGGTTTTGATTGAAAGGGGGAGCTCAAATCATTGGAACATTATTTAAGAGTTTGAAAAGTGAGGAAGACAACAGCATTTCTCCATTTGGAAGAAAAGGATCCCTTTATGGATTAATTGCCAATGTGAAGCTTACTCATCCTCATACATAGAAAAATGAATCCTGCTACTCAATCGAATGATTTGGTTTGCATGTTCACTAACAGATTTTCAACAAAGCATTAAAGAAAACCAAGGGTTCATCAACTCGGACAGACCAGGCCCACGTGTATTCCAAACGGCTCATTCACTGTCAAGAAATTACAACTTTTTACCACAGGATAGGAATAAACATGAAGCAATTCCACATTTGATTTGGAATTTACAGTTGCACAGCTTTTATAGTGAAAAAGGGTCATTATTATTATTTTTTTCTAAAAAGAAAGGAAAAATAAAAAATGTACTACAAGTGTGTGATGACTTGTGGTTGACAGCTCCTACTCCTAGGGTTACGTACTACCTATTTCACAGCAAGCTTTGTTTGATAGAAAAGACAAGCTCATGTACTTTCATTAAACCACGAGCAGTAATTTTTCTAGTGATGATAGGTTGGTTACCCAAAACATAATCACGATCTGCATTAATCTATTCCTTCATCAAAAGCTTAACCCATCCGGGACAATCTTCTTTTTTTGGATACATTTGCCAACATCAAAGGAATAAATCTGATAGAAATGGAAAAGTAGTCTTTCAGTAGCTCACATATATCAACAACAGTTAATTAGAATAGGTTACAAGCTACGTTATATGAAGGTATTGATCACGTTCAAATTCATACTACAAAGTTTCACACCAGGTGTATCATGATGCATGCATGAGATTGGTTATGGGAATGCCTTGGATTTTCTTTTAAACCAAAAACACGCCAAACATAAAAGGTTTTGATTTTTAGATTTTAGATATTAAGAAGTTATAGTAGGTTCTGATTAAGTTCTGTCAATTATATAACTATGTAGCAGAATAAAAAAGGTTGTGATTAAGTTAGGTCGAGTTTATAATTTCATTTATTTTTTGATGAAGTAGATGAAAAAATAAAGTTAATTGATATGCATTTTATTCTATTAATATTTATGTTTCAAATTCTTAACCATTGCTAGGTTTTCAACTAGATATAACACTAGAGATAGACATGAGTTTGAATCAACATGAATAAAAAAATAAAAAGAAATAATTTGAATTTTAAAATTGTAAAACTAATTACCCTAAATTGCAAATATAAAATGATCATAACTATTTCCGATTAACCTATGTAGTCCATTGTCATTGTTTATGAATACAGTTGCTGCTTTCGGAAAGGGAGGGTGAGAAAAAGGAAGAAAGAGATGGTGAGATAAAGGAAAGAGAATGTCTGTAGGTGGGAGCCACAAAGAGAAGGACAGTGGAAGAGCCTTTGATTCTGAGATGTAGTAACCAAATTCCCACTCATTCCTCACTCTAAAAGTTAGAATCAAAAGAAGCCCTAGCGTGCAACTTTATAACATTTCCCCAGCCACCACTATCCCATTATATATCCTCTATCTTATATTATATTCTCTTTTTCCCCTCTCCTCTCTCTCTCTCTCTCTCTCTCTCTCTCTCTCTCACTCACTCTCTTACTCTCATGCATGCATGATTTAGATTTATTCAGACGGAGCAATTGTCATCTATTATATATACAATAAAATATATTTTTGAAATTTAACTAATTGTTTTACATTATTATTCAAACATATTACAGTCACTTTTTTCGAATGCATAAACCTTCAAATTCCCTTTAGCTTCATTAAAAAGTATTTCAGATACAGTAATAAGTGTTGGGTAGCTAAGTGGGAAGCAAATAATTCAAATTATATGATTTTTTTTCTTACATCAAATATATTTTATATATCATATTCATTTAATCCTTATTGTTTCGTTATTAATATTAAACTTTCCTATTTTTCTAATCAAGTTTGAAGTTTTATAAATTTTTTTCTAATACATTATATGGAATTAATATTTCATACACAATTTTATTTTATTTTTGCAAGTCGTTTTTTAATTTTAAACTGTTTAGAACTTGTAATGTTTTTTTTGTATTAATTTAAATTTTAAAGGTTATTTTAAAAGCAAAAGGGATAAATATGTGTGTAACCCTCTTTTCCCGTCCTGAACCTTTATTCCCTAAAACACACAGTACTTAATACAAACTCTGTACATCTCCGTGATCGTGACACATAAACTTGTCTCCTGTCTACAATCGAATTTCACAAGGTTATATGTTTTTCTCATTAAAATATAGAATGTTTTCCTCAGTGGAATATAGAATTCTTAAAATTACATGCTGGTTTTTGTTTGTTATGCACTATAGGTTTGTGATGTCACAGAACACAATGATGAACCTGACATTCGAAAAAGGCTTAGGGGTAAGTTATACATGCATGATTCTGATAGTAATAACTTCATTCGTAATTCATCTTAAGCTCAACCAAACTCAAAGATGAACAGTTATACAGTTATGCAAGCAAATAAGTGTATTAATGAAGCTTGTAATTAACTGGATGAGTGTATGTGAGACAGGTGAATATTGAAAGTGAAAGAAGTGAAGTAAAGGAGGGAGAAAAGAGGAGGAAGCTTTTGTTACTGAAATCTAAGAGAGTGATTAAAGCAAATGAGGGTAGTAAAGCAAAGAAAGTGAAAGGGAACGTCATGAAAGTATGTTCCTTTCTTTCTCTGCTCATCTTTCTATATTGCATGCAAAACGATGACAACCTAAACCATCATTGCTGCCACTCTCTTTGTTCACTAATCCCCATAAAAATGTCATGGATCTCTTTCTTTCTCTCTTTCTCTTTTGTTTTATCACACACTGTATTGGAGACACTCCTTTCACAAAAGAATACATAAATAAATCAACAAATTAAAGAGGCTGTGTTTAATTACAAAAGTTGTCTAGAATTAAGAATAGAAAATGATCGAAGATGTCTTTCCATATTGTCTCAACCCCCACAAATGAATATAATATAAAAAGGCATTATATGGCACCTAATGTATAATTGTAAGTTAAGTAACCCTCTCAAGCCTTACTTTTTGATAGATCAATTCTAGTTACATCATTTTTAAATATAACCTAGATCTTCCTATAACACTCACAATTTCTTCTTTGATTTTAAGCTTACAATGTTTATATAAAAGGAACATCACGTTACTATTTACAAGAGGAACGCATTTGTGACAGAGATTGCACTAAACACTCTCATATAGAAAAACTTCAATATGGGGATGTAGCTCAAATGGTAGAGCGCTCGCTTTGCATGCGAGAGGTACAGGGTTCGATCCCCTGCATCTCCAGGTTTTTCACTGTTAATTAATGCTTGTTAGCTTCTAGTTCTTAATTTGAATCCACCACTGTTTTTTTTTTTTTTCTCTTTCAATGAACCTAATTCCAAAAGGGAGACAGTCACATGGTTTGAATACATCACAATCAACTGGTCCCAAGTCAAAACTATGTGTTGGCTTTTCTAGTTGTTGTTTCTGTATTTGTACATACACATAACCAAGTAATTCAATCAATAATTCCTATCCAATTGCCTCTTTCCAATCGATAAATATAAAATAAAACTTTAAGTATTTAAAGGAATTAAAACGGAAATAAACACAATTTTTTAAGACCCAAAAAATTGAAACCTTTTATGCAATGAAAGTGAAAATTACCCTGCTCCATACATGTCATGGACATTTGTATCATGTATGAATCTGTTGTGTCCTGTGTAATGTGTTATATTCATATGGTCTTATTTACAATTCCAACCACGGTTTGTATCAAAATATAGGAAATTTGTTCAGAACTAAACTAGTACGAGATACTGAACCAGCTAATTAAGTTCCCAAATTTCTGGCAACAGTACGAAAATTATTGAGCAACATTATACCAACACCAACCTAGTGGTTTTATTCTCTTTAGGGTGATCCCTTTTGCAACCTTTTGGTCTGACAGTTAGACAAAAAAAAAATTATAGCACAAAGATGGTCACACATAAGTGTATATGTATATATAATATTAATAATGGGCATGTATAAAATGAATAAAAAGCATTCTCTGGGCTCAGTTGCCCATAACATTGATTGATAGACAAATTGGCAGGAATAGGGTAGAACTTGAATAGCATATATGAGAAAAAAAACACGAGAGAACAAAACAAAGCCTAGCTATGCCATCTATGTCTATATAAGGTAACAAAATAGGTCAGGGACTACTCAGAACAAACAAACTCTGCATGTTTGTCTCTGCTGGGCTGAAAATAGACCTTTCAAGAACATCACTTGTTTCTTCAGAAATAATGCATTTGTGTTCACAGAATGCTGGTTAATGAATAGACCTCTCACTAACTGCTTTCCTCTTCATAATATTCTATTCATCTTATGTACTCACTGCACATTACCCTCCTTTTTCTTACCTTTATACCAATTAAGCGTGCTCTTCACAATCACCATAAATAACATAACATTTACCTTTTATTTTTCCCTCTCTCATTCACCATTTACACAATATGATCTTGGAGCCACTTCGGCACGAGTTTATCAGTTTCCTTAAGTTTGATCTTAACTCAAGGACCACGGATCAGATTTTGTCATCAAAATAAAATAAAAATTTGTTCTGCTTTACCTCAACTTTGTTGAATGGTAAATGTTTTTTACATCAACTTTGCAGATCTTATCCAAACGTGTACATTTTTTATAGCACCCAACTTGATTGTTTCTGAGATACAAGTTTTTTAATACAGAATCAATTCATTTACATAATTCCTAACCAAGTTTATAAATGTTTATCTGAAAACGTTTAAAAAGGAAGGGTATAAATGAGTCCACCAAACATTTTACTAAAATAAAATATCATGGCAAGAGAAAAATCTAAAAACCAGAAACAGTATCATGTAGGTGCAGCTAAAATGTGATAAAAGTAGGAAATATAGACGTTTGAGTTGATTTATGTCTAATTCTAATAATTGGTGCCTTGTCTGGTACCTTCGAATCTGGAAGGCTACCAGTGCTCTTTTTAGTAGGCCTTGGCCCATGTTTATTTGTCACCTACGAAAAATTTATCAAGATTGTTATTATCTGGGTCTTATTTTGTATATGTTATAAGGGTTTAGCAAGTGTTGTTTTTTGTTAATGGACAAAGAACACGTTTGGTTTATATATTATTTCAATACTTGAAGTCTCCAAAGTAGCTTCTGCTTGAATATGTGGATTATGGATTTACGTTTGACGCGAAATCAAATATGCATGCAACAACACGTCTTATACATTTAACAGATAATCATTGTTCTTGTAGTTTAGAAAATGATGGTTACTAAGATTGGTAGTTCATCTGTTTGGGGCTTAATATAAGCAAAATTTCAAGCTCACCTAACCTTAGTGAGAGCAAGTTAATAGTATAAAAAAATTTAGCAGTAAATAATAGATATTTAAATAGTAACTCAACTAAGAAGTGATTCGTATATGTAAGAAGATTTAATAGAATCACATGAACAAATAATTTCGGAACATATTTATTTGCAACGTATAAGTAAATTGAACTGGTGTGAGTTATCATTTTGATAGCCAGGGCTACTCAACTAAATTACCTCTCTAAAACATTAATATATCAGTAAAATTTGAATAAGAAGAGCAAAGAAATCAGAGTTTTCAAACTTGAATATCTTACATCTCATAGTTGCAACTAATACACAAGTATTTACAACCATGCAATAAAGAGGTAAAAAGTAAAGTAGAGTGGTCTCTGTTTCTACCTAGGCATTTACACCCACATTTGTCCTACTAACTACACCATAGACAGGTAATCCAACTCTATATTGATAAAAAGCAAGAGAAATAGTCCCTTGTGCTATCGTTTATCTAGATAATGAAACGTTTTCATGTAGATAGTAACAAACGATGTTCACATCATCAGGTTGAAGTCCTGGATCTAACTTGAGAGTGCGTAGGGAAGTATGCTTCAGGATATGTTTACAATAATCCCAAAGCAACAACTCTTTAACTACTTATATTCAATTCGTCCTTCTTTTCTACCATGCAAATGACGTGGAAATACCTCTTCTGGGTCTCCATTCTCTTCATTGCCAAATCTAGTCATAATTCTTAAAGGGTGAGCCTCCGTGTTGAACACCCATTCATCAAGGGAAATGATTGATGAAGGCGAAAACAAGAGATAAAGATACTTGAGTGTTTCTGCAAGGAAGTAGCTCTGCATCATATTATCTTTGCCACCAGTAGTCACCTAAGCATTTAGTCATAGTTTTGTTTAGCAGTGCACAATTCATAAAACATGTAAATGTTTTGTACAATCATTTGCTTTTAAATGTATACGAATTGAAGAAATTAAAGTAAAAAAAATATATGAATTTGTTCAGGTCTGGTAGAACATATAACTTGTGATTCTGCAAGATTTTATTTTCTTGGAGATTATTATGAAAGTTTGCCACAAAATTATATTTGTCGAACTAATTAATAACAACGTGAGAATAGTTAACAAATGCATGCACAACTTTTCTAAGGGCTCCAAGGGTGAGAGTAAATCATATAGGAGGAAATATTGAAGCATTTTATGAAATTCTTACATCTTTGAGGCCAACATATCCTGTCTCAATCCGAGAATTGTTTTCAAATGCTTGGAAAATATTCCAACCCCATTCTTGGTATGTTTTGTTTCCAGTGAAACGCCAGAGGTAAAATAATGACTCAATTGTTTCAGGTCTTTGGATATTCCAAGAGGTACCAACCGTCATATCCTACAATTTTCATAACCTCAGAACATGATATCTGGGGGGTTTGAAAAACATTGCGAGAATTAGAGGTTCAAACCTCATCAGGGCGAAAGTAATAGTTCTCTCCTGCCAATTTAGTTGGTGTTGATTGGTAAAAATTGTAACAAGTCCATGCAAGCTACACAACAAGATGAACTGAAATTCAATAATTTGAAAGAAAAATAGCATCTCAAACCAATATATTTCAAGCATAGATTAGTAACTGTTATCATAATAAAACTTAATCCTTACGGAAAAAAGATTTACTATTCGGTCTGGTCAAATCTGAAACTTTGAATGTTTGTGGTTTGGTTTGAAAGAGAATTTACAACTTATAACCACAAGATACAACCTAGTTTTTTATTATGATCTGAATAATGTTTTCAATTCTAAGGGAAGAGGCAAGAGAAAGTGTGACTTTGAGTATCAGAAAAATCAATACCCCATCAACTTATAGCTCAAGTTTTCAAGAGAATAAATACTCTGGTATTATATTTCTAGGAAAGATGTAGCCTAATTATTTTTACAGGAATTACCTCCTCTGCAAGTGATATAAATTTTTCAGCTTCTTCAGGGCCGTAGCTAGAAGATCCCAAAGCCAACATTCCAGGAACAAAACAAGCTAATTCATCCATCTGAAAAGGAGACGAAATCAGAGATTGTTTTAGTGACATACTCAGATGAGACTAAAATAAAATTCTTTGTCAAATAAACACCTTATCAAAGACTGCATTTCCAAGCCTCTCGGATATGTATGCAAAAGACGAAGGTGTTGACTTTTTAATCAAGCTTTGAAGGCCTATCATTGATTTCTCCCACATTTCCCTGATGCACAATATGCTCACACATTTAAAATATGGTTCTGTGTAGGTCACTTAACTCAATCTCAAAGTTTGAACTTTATATTAAGGTAGTGTCGAAAAGAGTTTGCTAAATGTGTGTTGTGTAGAATATACATTATGGAGGAGAGGTATTCCATAATACTCTGCAATTTTGAATACAAGATGTTGGCTTACTCCATAATACTTTGGCCTCTTTCAAAAATTTATGGCAGCATAGTTTCTTACAAAGATAGTAAAATTGTTTAATTTTCCAAAGAACAATCAACAATGAAATCTCATTACCTGTAAAATGCTACAACTTCTGTTTTATTTCCTTGTATCCAGGCCTTGAGTAGGTACTCATAAAAGCTACAACATATAAATTGGTAACCTTGTTAAATATGTGAACATATTAAAAATCACCATGCACTTATTTCAAAATAAGCCACATGAATAAGGCAACTCATAGATTGTTAAAGTCATTTTTATCATTTTTAATTTACCATCAAATTATTTCATTCCTCACGAAGCAATAACCACCCATCCGTATCAAGATTTTGACAAAAGCTTACATAAAATTGGAATTGAATTTTATTTGAAGACCTAAGCGGCCAACAATTATAAGATCATAATGCAATAATGATGTTATCTAATTTTATTAGTATCATTACCTGTCACCCATGGCACCAAAGGTAATTGATCCACCTGTTTTAGTTCCAGTAAGTGGATTAATATATATAGGAAGTAACCCATCATCCGGAAATGTTTCATAAAGCTCCTTGATCACCTTTTCTGCCTGAAATAATTATAGTAACATTCTTGAAATCAATATGTTTAGTAATTGGTTATGTTAATTAGTTTTGGGGATTTAATTTTCTGCTAACAAAAAAATTAATATGTTAACAACTAATATTTACCAATAAAAACCTGAAAACCTAAAATACAAGAACTAGTTTGCTTAAAGGAAAAGACATAAAAATAGTAAAATGTCACCTTGTCTTGGTACTTGGGGTCGTTTGTTCTCTGAGAAAGAGCAATAAATTCGAGTTGTTCGGAACCAGAATCCGCAAGAATACTGTTTCCCTAGTAATATAGAACGATCAATTAAGAACATAAAACAACCATGTAACAATGAAATGCAATGAGAGTTTTATAAAAAGAAAAGAAATCTTCAACACCAAAACAAAAAACATTAATTGAGGAGCCAAAGGATCTCCTTCCTAATCAATCAATAATGTAAGAGATGAACATGATCTAAATATTCAAGTCAAACAAAAACTGAAAAAGAAAAAACTCAAGCCTATGTTATAAATCTCAGATAAGTAAATATTATCAGTAATTAGAAAATATTTTGATACAAAGCAGAGATTACGTGTTATGAGGTTAAGTTCAGATAAATAGATGAAGTAACATAATGATGAGAAAACATACCCGCGCCCACGTAGGGTTATTTGTTTTGCCCAGTGCCAAGTTAATTCTATTATAGGGGATTCCTGAAGGTGTATTCCATGCAGGCAATAACTTATCTGCAATATCTCTTGCCTTCTCAAGGAAAACTTTGTCACCAGAGAGATCATAGGCACTAAGAAGGCCACCCATCACTCTAAACCATAATGATAGATAAATGAGAGAAAAGGAACTAGAAAGAAATTTTTGTTGCAATCTACAGAGTTACAACAACTATTAGGTGGGGGAGGAAATTAGCATTTCAACAAAACTAAGATTGAACCTTCTAATTCAACCTTATGGTTGTCTCGAACACACTAACTTCAACGTTCTTGTCGAAAGATAATGATTCTGCAACCCATCTGCAATATTTATCTCATTAGATGCTTTGAATGTATTCAATTCTTTGATACAAAATCCATAACTTATGTAATGAAGAAAATCCTTTCTCTTCTTTTTTTTTCCAATTCAACTTGTAGACAAAGTTGAAAACGAAAGAAGACATAGTGGATTGCATAATCAAATGTACTGAAAATAAAATACAACTCACTCTCTAGCTCTATTAAATTGATCATCAAGACCCATTATAAATAATGTGTCGAGTGAATCTATTAAAGTAGCCCCTAGACCGCCAAAATTATCAACACCATCCATTGAAAGTGGCTGTGCAAGGAATAGCAAACCAATTAGTTTCATGGTTTAAATTTTACCGAGGAGGAAATTGAAAACCCAAAACATGTACGACAACGAGAACATATTTACATAGGGATGACCATTCCAAACTCTGCATTATTATGGCATAAAACATAAATGGATTTGAAAAGGACCATGCAAATACATTTTGTTACTGCTTCTCCTAATGTGTACTATAGAATGTGCATATATTATTGTGGCTTGTAACGTAAAACTTCATATATATATATATATATATATATATATATATATATATATATATATATATATCCCTTGATTGATCAACATTTGAACGAAGTTTCTTGTCTAACTCTGTCGAAGATATATCTCTTTTTCAAGGTTCAATAGCTTAGTCAAAAGGGTTGCCTCCACCTCCTCGTGAAAATAATGTTAAAGCTTTGCGATCATAAGGTAAAGTATGATGACAACCTAACTTTTTCTACCTTGTATGGGGAAGAGTTTAATTTGCCCTACTGTGGAACAAGAGGTGGAATAATTTTGTGGCGTGGGTGTGGTTAATATCTCAACTTATACGTGACAGATAGTATCTTAACTTAGGAGCATAATAGTCATCATATCAAGTAGAGAATTAAGTAAAAAGTCAAGAAAATATTATGAAAAACCTTAAGTTCATCCCTTCCCCATGCATACGTTTCATAAGATGTCCAAGCATGAAGCATGGCATCTTTTATTTTATCTCTTCGCTGTATACTAAGAGGATCATCTTCTACAGAAATATCATTACTGAATTTATTCACTTCATCTTCATTTTGAATAATTTCTGTTGAGTCTTTCATATGGCCTTTTATATCTTCCAGCTGAAATTTCAAATAATTCAAACTACGATCAATAATACAACCACTAAGGCACAAAATTAAAATTTTGAAAGTATAACAACAACCCTATACAATAAAAATGTGCACATCTTACTGAATTCTGCAATCGAGTAACATCTTCTTTTAATTTCGAAATGTCATCCTAGCTCCACAGAAGAAAAAAAAAAAAGCTTAAAGAACTGTATCTCAAAAATCCAAACTATTAAAGCATAATTAACCAAGTTTCAAATGCTTAAACCAACACGTTAACAATGATCAAATAGACTATTAACTCAAATTGAAAACATTAACAAGGGTGAGATGAGACCAGAATACAAACTACTTGGTGCCCCAATCAGAACTTTTTTATTTCTTTTACAATCAAATGCAAATATAAAAAACAAGAATTGGAATAAAAAATGAAAGAACCTGTTGTCCCTTGCTGAGTGATTTGCGGTCATAGAGTAGCCATGTAAGTGAAACGCAAATGATAAGGACCAATGCCAATCGTTTAGGCCTCTTAATGTAATAACGAGGTTGCAAATACCTCCATATAGACGTAGACGATGATGAATACGAAGATTTTTTACCCATTTGTTTAAGAATATTGAATGAACCCAGAAACAAAAGTAAGTAAGAGAAAGAGATGAAGTATCAAAGGTGCATTGTATGAGAAAGAATAAGAGTTGAGATAAGAATGATATTGTTTGTTATAGGTGGTGGTGCAGAAGCATGCGTAAGTTGTAACCTCAACGTAAAAATAGCACGCAGTAAATGTCGGAGGACTTTTCCTTTTTATATTGATCATTCTCAACCTTCACTTAATTCATTTTCTAAATTGAAAAATTTTAACACTTTTATTATGAATAATTTAAGAGATTTCTCGATTACTATCCTATAAGAATTGCTAAAATTTATTAAAAACTTTAACTCCTTTTATTAAAATATCCTTTCCCATTGTTTTATATTTTATATTCTTATAAATGTCATCTTAATTAACTTGGTATTACATTTTCAATTACTGAACAAATGTTCAATCAGATAGTTTTGCATTTTTTTTAATTTAAATCTCATATTTTGTATTAAGATTATATATCTAATCTATTATTAGTTAGTGAACATTCAATGTTATTTTATAATATTCATAATTTCATTTAATAAAACGTTAAATGCTTTCAAATTTTATTGGTTTTGTCTGGTCCAAGTGATAAGACTTTTAGATAGTTAAATATATTTTTAATCTCAAGAAAATGAACAAGTTTTTAGTCTTTATTCCTACTATTTTTCTAGGAAAATATATTTTTATATACAATAATAGAAAATAATAAATTAAAATTAAATTATTACAATCTTAAATTAATATAAAAATAATTTTTAACATGATTTAAATTTAAGCATAATAATATATTTATATCAATAATATTCTAGAGATAATGTGATTTATTCAAGCTTAAAATAACATAAAATTAATTTAAATTCATTAATAGTAATACTTTCATCATTTAAAATAAAAATTATATTTTTGAACTAAATATAAATATTTATTTATATAAAAATTATTAGTGGGTAAATGTTTTCAAGTATATAAATTATTTGATAAATATAATTCATAACAAAAAAACATTTTCAATAGATAAATTATATTTTAGATTTCTAGTTAATAGTTAATAGTTAGTAATATAAGGAATATGTTGCTCCAACAGGTACTTGGTCCTCTTATATGGTTATCGAAAAATAAAATTTTAATATAAGGTTGTTTTTAAATTAATATGTGTTTTGGCTAGTTATGTAAATGATGGATAAAATGCATTTGAAGAAGAATAAATTGTGTGTGGAAAATATTTAATTGAGAAAGTAAAGAAGGTGAAAGTTCCATTCATCAATTTATTTATTTAATTAGTATATTAAAATTGTATTGTGAAATGTTTATACACACGTCATTCTTAAAGTTTTACGCTCTAATTTATATCTAGATGAAGGAAGAGGTTTATAGTTTATTTCACGTGGGATTTAGAATATTTCATGATCAAATTATCTATTTCGAGGTCCATTTTCTTCAAGATAAAGTTTATTTTTTTAATGCAAGAATGAATTATAGTTTTTTTCTCGTTTTCTTTCACTCATTTGCTTTAAAACCTAACAAAAAGTTTGGCAAGATAATTATCATACACAAGAGAGCGGATATTTTTAACCATATTTTAGGAAGAACATGATGCATATATGCTCTACACAATAATATGTAACAAAAGCACTTCTTATTTTAAAAATATGAAAACTGTAGTTTTTATATTACAAAATTATATACTCTATAATTCAATTCTCATTCTTATCCTTTTTTTAATAATTTAACAAATAAAATTATTTAAAAATATTAAATTTGGTTTAACTCAATGAACTGATAAAAATTTGAAAAATAAATTAAACTAGACTAACAAATTAAATTAAATTTATTTTAGTTGAATCCATTCAAGTCATGACCTAGATAGATTTAAACTAGATTAGTTCATAAGCTTGTAAATTGATTCATTTTATAGAATAATAATTATCTCTTAAATACAAATAATATTATTTTATTAATATATATATATATATATATATATATATATATATATATATATATTATAAATCAATTTGATAAGGAATTCATTTCTTCTAAGTTTCTTAGATTAATAAATCACTTAAAAAATGAAAGAATAAATTTTTAACTATTATTTTATGATTCAATGAATTTCTTCTCCTATAATTTATATATTATATCATTATATTTGAATATTGATATAATTTAAATTTTAAAAATATATTTTTATTTTATAATTTTTATTTAAATATTTTTTGAATTAATTATTTTGATATACTCTTTGACTTAACATAGAGTCATATTAGACTAAAAATTATATGATGTGTAAAATATAAATTAAACTGAATCATCAAATTTTTTTTTACAGGGACACGTGAAACTGAATTGAGTCATCCATTGGCTTTAAAACTATATATTATTTTAGACATTAAATTATAATTATTAAGATAAAAAATGATTTTTTAATAAATATTTATCTTTAGTGTAATCAATGTTTAGTTTTTACATATTACTAATTATTTTATCAAATTTTAAATGTTCACCGTTATAGAAAAAACAATTAATTTGATGAATGATATAGTGATATACATTTATTGTAAGAAAAATTGATTTCGCATGATGAGTAATAGCAAATGAACTAAGTCAAAATCATCACACTCGTGTAATTAAAAACATTATTAATACGTAATTTAATTGTTTTGATATATGTTATCAAGCACACATAACTTAAAACTTAAAACTTAAAAGTTGATGTAAAGGATTAGGTATTGTTACTCCAACTATCTTGATTTATATGTAATTATCTCTCTCTCAAAACAGAGCAACATCAAATCCTTCGAAAACCAAACCTCCATTTGTCCTTCCCGTTTGCGCCTTATCAGTACCAAGAATAGGTTATGTTTGATTATATGTGTACCTTATATAATTATTTATGAAATGTGTGAATAAGAGAAAGGTAAGAAATAGAAAGTATAAATGGATGATGGTTGAATGTGTACCTTGGATGGCGAAAGAATTTGCCTAATTGCGGCCAAGTGGTGCTGGTCAAATATTGTGCGTGATTTCTTTTACGCGTCCTTCTAATGCTACTTTAACATCAATCATAAAAGAAATGCCACTGAAAGATACCTTCCATCTCTGGATGTGCACTCTTTATCTTACGTCACGCAGGATGTAATTAAGATGAGCATTATTTTAAAAAACAGTGAGAAGTTTTGATTGGCTTGTGAAAAATACAACAACCATGAAATCAGGAATAGTCTAAATTCTAAAAACCAATTCCTGTTGAAAATGGTGTCTCGCAAGTCAAGATGGTCGATTCCAGGAAGGTTCTGAAACGAAAGAGACATACGCAAGTCAACTAAGAATGTGACTAAAGCGTGTTGCACCACCATCTTTTCACTCCACTCTGTATTGAATTTGGTCATTGTAGTTAAATAAGCAAAGTTCAAACAAACTGCACTGTCCTCACCACTGTATCTTCATTTGCAGGATCGTGAAAGAGGTTTTGGAGATTTAATTAATGCATTCAAAATTGTTCATGAATGTTTCTCTACTCTGAGGTTATACTGCTACTTCTTCACAAATCGGAAATTCGACCATATAATTAATTAAGGAAAAGACGGTCTTTTATGCCTTTATGTTTCCTAAGGTTGCGCCAAGTGTTTTATAAATGGTTCGTTATATAATTTAATTAGTACTTGTTTGTTTGTGTACCAGCTTTTTGTTTTTATTTTTATACGTAGACTTATTAAAATGTTCGTGTAAATCATTGTTTGTTTCATCATATTATAATTATTATTATTAATACTATTTAACTGGCACTTTTTATGGTTTAGGTTTTAGATTGAAATCAATGTTATATTTATTTATATAATTATTATTTTTCTTAATTAAAGTCACATAGATGTTAATCTCTTTTAAGTACTTGCAAACTTTTCCTTCTCTTAACCTTTGACTCTTATATAAAATTAGAAAGATGTATATATTTTTTTCTTTGACTCTTCTAGATTTGAATTCCCTGTCTCCCATTTCCCACTTTCCTTGGTCATTCAACCATTTAAAAACATGAAATCACGTGAAGAGGAATTGTAATAACTTTATTCATATATGTATAATAATAATAATAATTATTATTATTATTATTATTATTATTATTATTATTTTAATAAATGAACCTTGCTAAGTGCCTTGTATGGATGCAGAATGAATACATTGTTCAAAAGCTGGTGCGAGTGGTCCATTTTTTTGTTTTGACCAAAAAAAAATATAAAATTGACAAACACGTCACAAGCATGGAATGTGAAAATGAAGGAGAGTATTCAGCAATGTAGCAGCATAAAGCGAAGAGTTTACGTTGTTGAGTGAAAGTCCATGCATGTGTTGGGTTTCGTTGGAGGAATAGTTGACGTAACAGGATTTTATATTCCTCAAAGTGATGCATGCAAAGTTGGCCGGTGCTCATCAACCCAACCATTGTCAATGATTTGTCAATAAAGTTATTAATGCCACCACACATTACACTCACACCATTAGTCATGCTCACGATCATTTTCATTTTTTATTTTTATAAAAAAGAAATTGTAGACTCTTGAACAAATTAATATTATAATGAAAAGTGTTCAAATTAGATTGAGCTAATACGATATTTCCTCTTTCACATGTAAACTATGGATAGAGAAAAATACTGAATTTGAAATAATCTTACAATATACTATATTAATAAAAAAAATGTTCTTTCATTTTAGTGCTCATATTTAAAGTATTAAAGTTTGATTAGAGGTGTAAATTATTCTAACTTGATTCATAAAATCAGTCAAATCAATTTAATTTACTTTCGTGACTCAAAAGTTTTACAACTTAATACATTTAATTATAATCTAATCCACTTCTTACCAAACTTTTAAGTTATTAGAAAATCTAAAATTTTTAGAATTAAAAAAAGGAAAACATATATGAATACGAGGGTATTAATTAAAGTATTTATTTTATTTTAACATTTTATTTTAATTTTGTTTAGTTAAGAAATAAAATTTAAGTTTCATTTTTTATAATATTATTAGAATTTATCGATATGTTATAAGATAAAAATATATATAAATTATTTTATTAACTTCTAATGAATATAAAACTCACATATCACAGATTTTTTTTTTTCAGATTACAAATATATTACTTTTAATTTTAATTCCTATACTAAAATTATACATTATAAATATATTTTTCTTTACTTTTAGCCTCATTAAATCACCATTGTCTTGTAGGCGCTATTCGATGATGTCATGAATGTGATCCACGTAAGATTAAAGTGACATATCATCACTGCAAACCAGTGATGAAACTTTGCTGAAAAATAGCTTTGGGGTCCAAAGTACAGGATATGCCATTTGAAAAAATATATTTTAAAAACTTTTTTTTCCTATAAACAATTCCTCCAACAACTTCGTTTAATAATATAATATTAATTTAAAATTATTTTTATTTTGATTGATTTTTTATAATAATAATAATAATAAATTATGCAATAAATGTTTGTGTATAACATAAATTATATAATTTTTTGCAAATATGATATATAATTTTTAAAACGACAATAGTATATTATAAAAAAAAATATTACTCAAATATTTTATCTGATAACAAAATGTTATTATAAAATTCAAAATTTTGATATCTCAAATTTATATATATATATATATATATATATATATATATTAATTATGATATTAATATGAATTTTTTATTATTAGGAATCAATTATTAATAACCCTAGTATGATACAGATTATTGATAACAACTCTTTGAACATGATTTATTTTATATCCAGAATAGTATAATTACAGTGGATTTAAAACAGACCCAAACCAAACCACTGTCACATGATTATCATAAATTTACTCTTTGAATAAGGAAATTTAATTTTAGCCTATGAAAAAATAAATTAAATTATTTAAAATGAAAATATTAATATTAAATATTTAATATAAAATATAATAAATATAAGAAATTAAAGAATATAAATTACTTTAAATCAAAATATACAACAAGGTTATATATATTAAAACATTTTTCATAAATTTAAAAAAATTTAGTTTTTATTATTATTTATTCACACAACATATTTCATCATAATTATTTTTAAAAATTATTTCTTTATAAATTATTTTTTTAAACCTATTATCAATATATTCAAGTGCAAGTTTATCTCCTTTCAAAAAATTAGGAAAGGAATAGTTAATACAATTTTATTATGATTTTATATTTATAATTAAATCTTAAAAAAGTAACTTTCATCTTTAATTTAAAAAATAAAAATATTTATTTATTTTATTATATATTATTATGTGTGATGAATTTATTATTTTTATAATAATTATTTAAAAATCTAAGAGTCTGTTAAAAAAAAACAAAAACGAAGAAAGAGAAGGAAAAAGTACAACGCAGTCCCGTGTAAATTGTTTGACCAAAGTTCGCAGCCGCAATATATATCCAGAAGGTCATTTACATTCTTCTTCTTTTCTTAATCTTCATTATAAATACAATGATCATTAAATAAGAAATTTTAAAAATTATATAATTAAATAATTTCTAATAATATAAACTGTTTATATTATTATTTAGTATACAATTCTTTTTTACTTATTTAAGTTCAAAGATAGTGTAGTATTCCCATTTATTTCATAGTTAATGTAGTTTAAGTTAAAGGTTAATATTATTTTTAAAAGTCTATTCAATTAAAATAGTAAGATTTCTTTTTTACTTATTTAAGTTCAAAGATAGTGTAGTATTCCCATTTATTTCATAGTTAATGTAGTTTAAGTTAAAGGTTAATATTATTTTTAAAAGTCTATTCAATTAAAATAGTAAGATTTCAAGAAATTTGTTAAATATTACAAGTTTTAGAGATTAAAAATACTTAATTATTATTTTAACTAAATTAGAAACTATTTTTAGTAAAAAAAATTAATTAACATCTATACGAGTATCTAATCTTAATTATTAATAATTAAAATTAATATTTTAAAATCAGACTCATTGTTAAATGGGTAAAAATATATGTTCAAGACTTAAATATTTAAATAAGTTATAAATAGGTAACTTATACATATCATAAAATATTTGAATATATTATTATTATTATATAATAAAAAAATATTTGAATACATTATTATTATTATATAATAATAATATTATAAATCTTTTTGTACTCATAAAAAAATTATCAAATTATATATATATATAATATAAGATAATAAATTAAAATATATCTTTAATTAATAATAATAAAAATTTGGAAACGGAAATCAGCAGAAATCCTCCTCTGTTGCCAAACCTATAAACAAAATCCGTTCTATGAAAATCCTTTCAATTCACACCTATTTCATTCTTACTCTAAGCAAATTTCAAACAATTGTAAATATAAGTTCATTTATCTAATTAAATGACTTTTTCGTTGAATTTAAACACGTGGGGAACATGATAGATGGTGATTTAAGAACCAGAGTGTTCATAAGTTATATAATAAATCAGAAATAATATTTTTAATTTTAAAATAACCCTCATTTAATATTATAATAATAATTTTAATTTATTTTTATTCTTATTAAATTATTATATTAATAAAAGTGGGTTTTTTTAAGGTTGTATGTTTCTTTTTTGTGAAAATATCACTTTTCCCATGATAAATATTATATTATTCCATGGGTGCAAAATGTCACGATGAATCCATGAATTCATGACGTCAATAACGCGGCCTCACAGACCACACATTGGTTAGGCCGCTGTTTCTGGGAAGCAGCAAACTCCTCTCTCTCTATGTATATATATCCACCTTCCTCTCACCAATTACATGACAATAAACAACGCGTACAAAAACGGAGAGAAATAAACAAAAAGACCAAAACCTTGGAGTATCACATATCACATTCTTCTAATCGTTAACTCCTCCTGCTTGTGTTCGTCAACCTCGAACTCTCAAACCATGGAGAATATTGAGGAGGACAAGCATTTCTGGGAGAACATTCTCTTCCCAAACCAAGAGCTTAATAGGTAATCTCAAATCACAATAAACCAGTTAATTAATCAACCGTCAATCATGTTTTCTTCATTGTGATTTCAGTGAATTAAGTTTGTATAAACATGCATAATTCATGTGAGGGAGATTGAATGATTAATTAAAAAAAATTGTTGATGGAACATGCAGCTGGCCAGTGGATGAGGCAGCCTTGTCAGGGTACTATGATTCAAGCTCTCCGGACGGCGGTGCTTCATCGGCGGCATCGAAGAACATTGTTTCGGAGAGGAATAGGAGGAAGAAGCTGAATGAAAGACTTTTTGCGCTTAGAGCAGTGGTCCCCAACATCAGCAAGGTTAGTTATCATTGTTCATTTCGTTTTCTGAGAAAAACATAGGTAGCAGACACATATTGTGTGCATTAATTTAGTTATTGATGCCGATTGTGCACAGATGGATAAGGCTTCTATCATTAAGGATGCTATTGAATACATCCAGCACTTGCATGAGCAAGAGAAGAGACTCCAAGCAGAGATTTTGGATCTTGAATCTGGGAAGCTCAAAAACCCAACCTATGAATTGGAGCACGACTTGCCTATTCTCCTCAGGTCCAAGAAGAGGAGAGAACAGCTATTCGATTCTGCCACTTTAAAAAATTCCCCCATTGAATTAATTGAGGTATGAGCTGATTGAATTTGACATTAGATCTCATAGTAACACTTTATTTTGGATAATGTTCTTTGTTTTATTAATCTTAAGCTTTAGAAATAAACTTAATATATCTTTGAATATAAAAATGATATGAATGTGAACGAATAAGTGGTGGATGACAGCTGAGGGTTGCATACATGGGAGAGAAGACGTTTGTGGTGAGTTTGACGTGCAGCAAAAGGACAGACACCATGGTAAAACTGTGTGAGGTTTTCGAATCTTTAAAGCTCAAGATCATTACTGCCAATATCACTTCTTTTTCAGGAACACTTTTGAAAACACTTTTCATCCAGGTTAGTCTCTCAATTTTCCATATTATCTTTCTGTTTAACGTTTCAATTAAATTCCTTAAAAAAAAAACCCGCAGCAGCTAGAATTTTGGGGGCCACATCCATATATATATATATATATATATATATATGACTACTATGTATATGAACCACCCACAAAAAGAACAAATGTATTACTACGAATTTAGTTTTATTAATAAGATTTTTAAGTTTCTACCTTATCAATAAATACAAAATTACTTTAATTTTTTAGAGATAAACATCTCATTTAAATGTAGGGATAACATAAAAAACAAAAAAATTGATGAATTAATTTCATGATATATTATTAAATTAATCTTTGAGCATTAGTAGTAATTTTAAAAGAAAAAAATAAAGAAATGATAAAATAAACTCTTTGAAGAACTACTTAATTTGGCCTCTAAAACTTTTTTACCTGGATAATTTATATAACTTAAAAAAACTAAAATAAATTCACTATCTATTATTTTTTCTTCAATTATTTCTCATTTAACAGTACTTTTAACACAGTTTTCATCATTTTTGTCTGTTTTTCTTGTCACTTCCTTCCCCACTACTCTTTTTTGTCTACAAAACATAAGGATTCTATCTAATTCTGGGTTGATTCATAGTTTAAAAATAGCTCACTGCACTAAAAATAACACTAAAATAAAGTCAACACTGAAGTGACAATTAAAAAAAATTTAGAAATTCAATAGCGGTGCGGGACTCCCAAGACGAAATTAACCTTATCCCTGAAATTAAGATAAGTGGCTGATTTTTTTATACAGATAAGTAACTGATTTTGGTAGCTTGAATTTTGCCTGTTTAACATAATTTCAAATCCTAGAAAATGATTTAGGTTTTTAAATACTAATCAAAACTCATAAATTTTACTCAAATATTGTTTTAAGATAATCAATTGTTTGATCTATAATATATAAAAAACAATTAATCATAAAAAAACTCTTTAACAAGCTCAAGATTTGGTTTTGTATATTTAGATAGTTTCATTACAATACTTTTTCCTACAAATTTGATGCTTTTGAACAAATTCACCTTCAATCTCCATTTCAATTCTCATTAATAGTAGTTACAACACCAAATTCTCTACATAACCAAACATTTAATAAATTATGTTGCATCAATATACATGTCTTTGTTTGTAAATTTTCGTTAATTTCATTTACAGCAATTAACATATATCAAAGGAAATTATTGGTTCATTTGATTATAAGAGTTTTCAGTTTTCTATTTTTAGAAAAAATAATAATAATAATAAAATAAGAACCAAAAAATAAAATTTATTTAGAATTAAAAATAAATTTATTATTATTATAAATATATTAAAAATCAATATTTTATAATTATTATTAAACTTATATTTTTATTAAAAGATAAATATTATATATATATATATATATATATATATATATATATAGTCATGCTAGATGATGTTTCATTTTGCATATTTTAACAATAAAACATAAATCAATTTAATTTATAACAAATAAAAAAATTATATCAATATTTTATATATTATAATAGATATATAAATTTATTATAATAATAAATAAAAATAAATTTATTTATTGTTTCTTTACTAAATAAATATTGTGGAATATTTTTAATTTTTTTCTAACTTTTTGTCTTTATCCGATTCTGAAAATATATAAAATTACAATTTTTATATTAGAAAAGTAAAATTACAAAATAGAAAAATTTAAAATTTAAGCAGAAAAAGTTACAAATATTATAAGGTGAAAATATGAAAGAAAAAAATATAAAAATGAATAAGTGATAAAAAAAATATCAGGGTGAAATATAAAAAATTTATATGAAAAATGAAAAAATTAAATGTAAAAAAGAAAAAAATTTAAATATAACAAGAGATAAAAAGATATAAGAAAATTGGTCCCATTATTTCCGAAAATTGGTAACGACAAAGATTCTACAATGATTCGTGGAATTAATCATAACAGGAATATAAAATGATATTTTGACATCTTAGCTAAATTATTATATTGTTCATTGATATCTTTTACTTTAAGGGTATATATCTATTGAATATTTGGTCCCTTTTCTGTTGCATTGAACCTGGACTAGACCAGTCTTTTTTTGCATCTTGAGCCGAAATTTTCAAATTGAGTTTCTTGGAAATTTCTAGGTATTTTAGTCTACTTTTCATTATCACTTACACTTGACAAAAATAACTATATGGCAAGAACGGAAGTACTATACTGTTTTGCTTCCTATTTTTATAGTAGTCCAGTTGAAGGAGACAAACTAATACCAACAATTGAAAACGTGTTTTGCATTCTGCATATATACAAATCAGCGTCTTCCTCGCAACTCCAATTTTCAGCACGTTCTTATTTATATTTTATCACGTACCATTGTCGATTTTAACTTGTTTATATTTACAATTATGTCTGCGTATGATTTGTGTGCGCCTGACATCCTCTGTAGTTGAAAAACAATATTGCAAGAGTAGTCACATCAACCTATCTTTCCACCTAAGCAAGAAGAAAAGTTTGTGTCAAATATAGCGTTGGAAATCAATCATGTTTATTTAACTCAATAATTGAAGTCCTAATCAGATTGATTAGGAAACAAATTGGTCGAATCCAATGCAGAAGTGTATGATTCATTGAAAGATGACAGCGTTCTTACACTTTTATCTTTACCATCAGGGCGAAGTTGATCACTAGATTAATGAAAATGATTCAAGTTTTTATTAATTAATTGTTTCAAATGTTTTCAGGCAGATGAAACAGAGAAAGACGTTTTGCAGATAAAAATTCAGACAGCAATTTCAGCTCTCAATGTTCCTCAAAGCCCAATGAGTATCTGAGAATGTTATGCCGATCCAGTTTCTTTTCTTTAGTGAATTAGTGTTCAACTCAAAACTTCGCAAGTTTTCTTCTTTTTCTTTTCCTGCATCTCTGTAGCCTCTCTCACCTTCTAAGCTTTGAGTACGTTGCCTTCAATGGAATCCAATTTTCATCTCTAAAATATCAACTATTTTATTTTAAATATAATAAAAATTACTTGGGAACAATAATACAAATCACTTTCACACAAAACTTATACAAAATTAATTGTCACTTACAAATATAATTTCATATTTCAAAAGTCAAACAACCTATTAACATAAGTTTATATAGATACAAAATAAAATTAATTTAGTGATAGAAAGTTTAATTTTTCTTTTAAAGAGAGATAATTGCTAATTACTCTTGTAACACATCCTTTTAATAGTTTCATTTTCATCCAATAAAAATATACATTTATTATGCATTTTTACTTTCTATATAAAATGTTACCCCTTAGCTCAAAAATTAGCCATTAGAAAAATTCATGCACGGATTCAAGACTCCACTTTTTTTTTTAGTTGATAAAATTTTATTTATCTGTTGAAAGAAAAATTATTGTGCATTAAAAATAGAAGACAAAAAAATATTGATATGATTCAAATAAAAGTCGAATTAAATTAGTTTCAATTCGATATTTATCTCAAAAAATACAAATGGAATTTCATTTTTTATTTATTGTGTCGGGTATTTTTTTTTTAAATTCGTTCAAATTAAACTGTAAACACTCTTAATTTTGGAAATATTTTAATTTAACATATTTTTCAATTTTATAATATATTAAATCAAAGATGTTTTAATTTAACATTAACCTTAAAAATGTTGATAACGTTTTATAATCAATTTTTTTATTAGAATATATATTTTAATTTATTTAATATCAATGATAAATGTTCTAGAGGCATTGTTTAGAAATTTTTTATAAAAATAAAGCAACAGATGTGAAAAGTGCAAAATAGTTATTTTAGTACCCATTTGATAAACTGTTAAATTGATTTTCTAAATATTATTTAGAGTTTGTTGAGTAAAAAAATTTCTTTAATCTAAATTTAAATATTTTTTTATTAAATTATTACAGGTCAAGAGCAATGATTTAGTCATAACGAAAACATTCCCGAGTCATTGACCCAACTCTTTCGGTTTGGCATTCTGGGCTCAGCCCATTCATTTTTTTTTAATGTTTCATTTATGGGCAGAGCACTATTTTTTGTTTATTGTACTATTTTAAAAAATTACTGACAATTGATTCACTATTCTTTAAAAAAAAATTGTTATTAATTTATAAAAAAAATTAAAAACTAACTACTGGAAACATGTATTAATATTTTTCAACTGTATTAATACAAATTATTTATTGCTTGAACTAATTACTAACACTATCGGAACGAAAGACATAAGCCTCTATTGAAATATTATTAATCTGTTCTTTCTTACTGAAAAAATAACGATTAATTTTTTTTTTATTGAATTTACGCATTAACTGTTTTTTATTTTCATGCATATTTATTATTGTTGAACAAAAGTAATGAATCTAACCCACAATTCATTTAATGCCCATTTGGCTGAACTTGTTTTAAAATACAAAACATTTTTTCTCTTTTTTTTTTTTTTAGATTTTTATTTTCCAATACATGCGCTTACTTATATTATATACTTGAATTTCATTTTCAATTTCGAAAATATCTTTTATTAAACTTTCATCCTCCTTATACAAAGGTTTAATGATAATTTTTGTCTTTACAATTATATAATTTAATAAATAAATTAATATTTCATAAAAATAATGTTTATTTTTTATATTTGTATTTTGTTTTAAACAAAACTTATATATTACTAATAAAATAAAATTCAATATATATATATATATATATTAAAATATATTTTATCACAGTACACGTTACATTTAATAATAATATATAAGGATTTATTGAAAATAAAATATTATAAGAAATAAAAATTAACCTTAAGATATTTATTTAAATTTTAAGAATAATTTGGGTTTAAATTGATCATTTTACTAATTGATATTTTTTTTAGATTAATATTTTTTTTCTCAATTTTTTTAATTAATTGTTTCAATTATTTTTGACCTTGAGTTTTTTTTTTTTTTCAATGGCTGGAGATTACAAATTTATATTCTCAAAATAAAATTTAAAAAATTGAAGTAAAACAGAAGAGATTTATGTATGTATTAGTCTGATTGGTGGTAGGGTTGGAGGAAAAGAAGGTCATAGATTAGATTGGTGTTGTATACTCAATTCACAATTGTAATAATCAAGCATTGCTGCTATGGATTCCCTACTCGCCAACTACGCCTCTTCAGATGGTGAAGAAGAAGAAGAACGACAACCAACACCACCCAAAACGACGACGCCCTTCTCCTCTCTCCCTCAACCCAAATCATCGCTCTTTCAATCTCTTCCCCAACCCAAATCCTCGTCTTCTCTCTTTCAGTCTCTTCCTCAACCCAAATCATCGTCTTCTTCTCTCTTTCAATCCCTTCCTCCGCCAAAACAACCTTCCCTCGCCACTTCCAGCGAAGCCGCCAACCCTAAACCTAAACCCCAAATTCAAGAACCACAGCCCAAACGCGTCGTGCAATTCAGGCCCCCAATCATTCCTCTCCCAAACCCTACCCAACTCCTCGACGACGATGACGACGACGAAGAAGAAGAACGAAACAGAAGAAAGAAAAAGTTAGAGTCCTCCAGGCAAACTTCATCCGTCAAATCCTTCCTCGCCAGCATTCCGGCGCCAAGGAATGCTGCCACTCTCGGGGTTCAAGCGGGTTCCGGTTCAGGCCGGAGATCCATCATCGAAACCGAATCAGCGGCATCGACACTGGCAACGGCGTCGAATTCTGGCGATTCAAGTAGTGTTACCGCGGATCAGAGTTCAGGGGATTACGAAAATTATGAAAATTATGAGAATTACCAATATGCCAGTGACCAGTATGCTGGTTATTATGGCAATTATGGTTCGGGTACCGAGTCAGGGAGTTTGGGAACCGAGCCTGAGGCTGGGCCTGCTACGTATGGAACTGAACATTATGGGAATTACGGACAGTATGGGAATAATTGGGGTGACGTGTCAGCAGCACCGGTGGCAGAAGCGTCTGGGATTGGGGACAGTGTGGTGAGGATTCCTGGGAAGAGAGGGAGGCATGAGGTTCCCACCGAAGTTATTGAGGTGAAGCAAGATGAGTTGATTAAGAATCGGCCGAGAGAGGATCAAGTCAAGCTTACTGGGATTGCTTTTGGACCCACTTATCAGGTATTCTCATTTCTAAACTTGTGTATGTACATGTTGAGCTGTAGGTTTATTTGGCTGTAAGACTAAGTATTCAGTTTTTGGCTAGTTATGCAATGCCATTTCAATATAGTGCATGTGTGACTGTTGGATTGGGGTTTGAAAGTTGCTGACAGAAAATATGTTTCGAGTGGTTTGTGAGATAATTTCGCCTGCTTGACATGGAAATATATTTAGATAGTGTAGGAGATTCAATAGATAGCTATAGAGGGCAGGTCTTTTGCTTAATAAGTGAAGATTGTTTGAAGAAAATTTGAGAGATGTCTTGTATTAAGAAAATCCTGGTCTCCCTGGTTGCACACTGACAGCCATTTACATCATAAATCTAGGATAGATCTGATTTATCTGTCTAAAATCATTTAAGTAAAACTAGACTACAAAGTATTAATAAAATACAAAAGTAACACTGCGGCTCCTTCAATGAAGTAGGATGACCAATAACCATCTAGAATAGCCCAAGCAGTGCAAGTAATCATTGAACATGATATGTTTCTACGTTCCCTATCTAGATTTGAACATTGTTGAGAAAGTACTGAATATTATTTTTGTGGTTAAGTATTGATGCTTATATGGGTTCGTGAGGCAGTGATTGGGCGTAGTAGAACGCTTCAAAAATCAGTGTCCTACATTTTTGTGGACAGCATAGAAAATTCATGACTAATAGGGTTCAAATTAAACAGAAGGAATGATAGACCTTAGAAATTTTGGCATGTGGAAGGATAATTGTATTGCATTTGGCTGGAAGAAACACAATACTCAGACATCTAAGAAGTTGTGTATAATATGTCAAGGGACACATTATTCTAAAGCATTGGGAAATTGGATATATTAGATCACCAATCTCTGTCGAGGAAGTTTTGTTAAAAGTCCATAGTTAAATTGGGAGATGAGTGTACTCTTGGATTTTGCTATGTTTAAAATTAATGATAAGTTTTTGGGTACAGTTCATAGAATAATATTGTTGACCAATTCCGTTAGCTTTTGAGACATGGGAATGGCAGTTCTCTAATAGTTGAATGCAAGAGGCCCCCTGCTTCCAAACATATCCTATGATTAAGGACCTGCCAATTCCTTACTCTAGTTCCCAAACAAATATTGGGTAGAATGGGGTTTTCGTACATGGCTTGTTAACCTTGGGAGATTGACGAGCGTTTAGTCCCTTCTACTGTAGGTCCCAAGTGAGTATGGGGTAGAGAGAGATTTTCATAGATATCTGTAAGAGAATTTTTATTGAGAGAACCCTCATGGTCATCATTCTCCCAAGAACTTTATGAGAACAAATATGAAGTGCATAAATAACTTCGTCATATCATATTGATTAAAATATGAACACTATTCTTAACAACAACAATGCATATTTCATCGGTCATGAATACAACCGAGTCTATTACAAGAATACTCCCCTTCTGAACACTGCATCCGAGACTGCTGTCATATGCAATTCCCAAAGTGACAATGGTTTGTGGTCCTTTGATCTAAAGTCACTACTCATTGCAGTTGCTTACATGAGGGGGCTATATGTTTTTATATTGTCAAACATATTTTGTGTTAAGTGATTTTAAATTTAATTATTCAACATATTACTGATAACTTAGAGGAAGGTGGGTGACTTAGATGAGATTTATTCCTTCTACATAATTAGAATGATGTTTTCAAGCCCCTTGATGGAATGAGGTTGCATAATGCTTGTCCATGTTGAAGTGAGTCTATGAGACATTTCCTCCTTTGTTTTAGTTAGTATGCTCATATATCAAGATTCAAGACACTAAAACTGGAACTATACATGGGTAATTTGTTCCATGGCTTGTATTCAATGTAAAGAGAGTATAATATATGGTGATGCTGATCATTGTTGTCAAATCATTAAAATTCCCATTACTTGATGTTTTATTAGATGCCACTCTCAAGTTGTGCAGTTAAAATGGGACTTTAATATTATTGCCATGTAATGCTAAATAACTGCCGTATCGCCACCAGAATGCTATAATGTGTTCTGTTTCGACCCCTCTGCCATCGGCACCATAGACCATGGTAGCATGCTTATTTGGCCGAGTTTTGTCCTTCCACCATATTTTGCTATCCCCAATTGATAACCATGCCCATCTTACGGGCAACTTATACGGTCATACACTTAGAATGGATCGGCATTGTAATTTAAACGCATAAAATGAATTAGTTTGTAATCCGAATATAATTAAGACCAGTAATGAAGGTATTTGGTTTAGTTAGATTAAATGAGCCAACCCAATTTTGGTCTCTACAAACTGGACGTAAGCTGACCTAGGTTACATTATGATATGTATTAGTTGTTCTCCATACAGGTTCACTTCAGCTATATTGCTCATTTATATATGAAATATATCTCATCTTCCTTTTATGGAGAAAAAAAGGAAGCTCGAGCAAAGTTGACAGCGAATCTCTCCTCATTTAATATAAAAAGGACTTGTAAAGTTTAAATAGTTTTTCTTCATTCCATTATTTTTTACTTTTTTAAATTTGGTTTCATTATTATTTTTAATGTCAATTTGGTCCTTTTTTTTTCCTTAAAGTAAGTTAATGTTATTCCTGCTGTCAACGTTGTTAAGTTGACTAACGAATGAATGCAATATGGCATTGACGCGACCATGATTCCTGAATTGACATTCTGTCAACATGCATGAAATATCATCAATAATTTATTACATTGTACATATATATATACACACACACACACACAACAGCATCACCTCAACACCATGTTAGTAAGCATGATTACATCGGTGTCACTTTGCACTTTTTGTTTGACAACTTACGATGATGACGAAAGGGACAATGTTTACTTCAAATAATTCCACTAAAAAAAACTATTTAACCTTAAATATAGAAGTGTATAAACAATATTGTTGCTGGTTGACATCATAGGATTTGACTTTTACGCACACTTCTGTACATTATTAATTTTTTAACATCAGAGTTTGAGAAATTGTTCACCTTGTTATCATTTATTTTTCTTTACATAAGTTTTATCAAAGAAAGCCAAGAGGGTTTTATTCAATTTGCACCATTTTTACTACTACTGATACATATACATACTTAATCTAGCAGTAATGGTAACAAATAAAAAGGTAAATATTTAGTTTCTCATAGCTAGAATTTAGGGGTTTACCCATGTGTCCGTACAGACTCAAACCGTTCTATAAATACGAAATCTTGGTTACTGGGCAGTTGCTATACATTCTACAACTTTTGTAACTTTCTTTCTACTCCATTAAGGGATGTTTCTATCATTTAACTTTGTGCTTATATTTATTCTTGAAGCCTGCTTCGACAAAGGGGAAGCCTTCAAAGCTGCACAAGAGGAAACATCAAATTGGTTCATTGTACTTCGATATGAAACAAAATGAAATGAAACTGGCTGAGCGGCGTGCAAAGGGCATGCTTACCAAAGCTGAAACGCAAGCAAAATATGGATGGTGATTTGGGACACGATGATATTGGAAATACTTCCATTAAAACGTTATTGACAAAGTAGAAATTTTCTTTTAGCCGCAGTCCTTGTGTTGTGAAAAAGATGTGTACATTTGCTGCTTCTTTTTTCAGTGCAAATTATGTATTTCTATCCTTTATAGGCAGTAGAATCTTATAAGGTACACTTTCTTATGACAGAAAAATCACATTTCTTTCCTACTTTAACTTGCTTTAGAGGCCATGTTCAAAAATATTATCTAATTAAATTTCACGAAGTTATATACATTTTGAAACTTCTATATCATTAAAAACATTTACTTAAAGATTTTTTTTAAAATTGTTTTTATTTGTCTTTTAATATAAATGTCCGACTAGGTAAAATGCTATCTTAATACTAAAAAGTCATAATAATTTCAGATGATTTTATTGAACCTATTTGATCATCATATTTTTGTTCAATAATGCATTTTTGGAAGCACTAGTCTAAACTATGATGCGGTTTGAAGAGATGTGTGCCGGGATGTGCTTGTTTGAAGAGTGTAGGAGTGCTTGTTTTAGGTTTGAACAGTCTTTCAAGGGAATGTAATTTTGTTAGTACAATATTTTTGAAAAAATTGTTATAAGCTTTGAACTAATATTTACTTTTTAATGGGAATGTAAGAATTTATTATTAATTTAATTATTAACTTTCATTTAATATTTTTGAAAATGTCATTTCCGAAAATGTATTTGCACATCTAGAAACAAATAACACCTAACTATTATCATTGTCCATTCTACAAATATTGTTAGATCGAAGGTGAAATGCCTAAATATTTTGTAAAACGACATATCTTTTTAATCTTTACTTCAGAAAGAGATAATAAATCATAATTGGAATCAAAAGTTTGCAGACAATATTGACGACCGAGATAATAGAGGCAGAAGTGCATTATGATGACTTATATTTGTAACTAACATTATTTATCTTAGATAGATACTAGTAATGTACTTTTAATTTTCTAAACACCATTTAGTGAAATTCTATATCGAGAATTAAAAGAAAAAAGAAAAAGACATTATTTAATAAAAAAAAAAACAATTTATCACCTCCTTGGTATTGTAAATAACCAGTTACAAATAATCCAATCGAGTAATATGAATGATATTTTACTTCTTGATATGGTTAGAATTTCCAAACAAGTATGTTAATTACACAAAGCTACACTTTTGATGTGCGTTACAGTTACATCCGTTCCCTTAAAAATCAAAATCACCGCTATATGGTTTATAAAACGCGTTAACTTTCAAATCCTTTCCAACACGAAGAGAAATAAATTGAAGGCAAGAATTTTGAAAGCATCAAAAGGAGGACGCTTTTTCCGATTTTGATAAACTACTGTATTCATTCATACAAACCATGCATAAATTTTATAATTATCCGCAGGAAGATGAATGACCAGATTTTTTTTTAGCAGTGAAACTCCACAAATCTATCCCTAGAAAGTAAGTTCCGTCAAAAGGTTGAGCCATTGAACCCAAAGAATGAGCGCTGCACCAGAAAACGAATATAATGAGAACAGAAAGTAACGAATATAACGGTTGAGACTATGTACGACATTTATGATTCGGACAGGAGCTATTTGAACAGGTATTGTTCACTTACCCATCTTGATAATGTTCATAATGTGCTTCAGTAAATTCAAAACAATTAAAAAAAATGAGAAAGAGATCACTATTTTATGAGAAAAACAATACAGGGAATGTAGGAACTTATATGAGGACATGATAAAGTTAGCAAAGACAGTAGTAGCAAACATATTTTCTGTGACTGATAAGAAAACATATTTTCTCTGTTACTACAGGCAAAACATGGCTAAACAACATCAGAAATCAATTCCCTAAAAAATAGCACTAATTCAATCCCATTTTTTGCATCCTCCAACAACCATTCTGAGAATCATAATCATGGATACAAAACAAACCTCTACGTTCAAAGAACCAAAGCAGCTTCAATATATTATTATTGTGGCAGAGAATTAAAGAAGATAGATAAATGAAATCACTTCACCCCAAGTACAAATATTTCAAAAATGTAGACAATACCAAAAAGTGATAACCAATCAATTAGCAATATTCTCAGAATCACACAAGTCGTCCTAGAACAAAGCAGCAATTTACCTGAACATCGTAAAACTTAATATAGAATCGGGAACTGTCAATATAAAGCTTAGTTTGAAGAATTTCTGCAATGGTAGAACTCAGTTTTCCATTTACACTCGGACCAAGGCCCCCAATTGAGATCAATTCTCCATAAGCAGCCGGCTCTTCAGTTCCAGCAAATTCAATAGGCACTCCCCCATTCAACAAAATCATCACATACTGAAATACAACCCCCCCATACAAAAAGAAAGACAAATCCAGGTCAAATTATGCTAAACATTAGAGTAGCAAACAATTATTCAACAGTGGCACATTAAATTACCGAAAAAACAAACAGAAAAAAAAAAAAAAAAGTATCATCAGACAGCACTGTGTCAGAGTGTTGACGGTAATTTGATCAAACAAGTGGTGAACAATGTTGAAGGAGAGTGAGTAAAAGAGAAGAATAGGGGGTAAAAGTGAACTTAACGGATTCGGGTTTTCCGATGATTTTTGCAACAGCTTTGGTGGCATCTCTGAGAATGTCAGAAGCAACGACGGTGTCAACAGGCACGTTTGTGAAGAGATTCAAAGTGGGCATCGCTGCAATATGCACCAGCGAGTGGCTTCGGCTCAATTTATCCGGATAACTTCACTCTCTAAATATTCAACTCATTCCTTAATAATAGGCTCGTTTTTTGTATACGCATGTTCCTAATTTTTATTATATTTTTTATTTTAACGAATTAAAAATTAATATATAAATATATATTAATTTTAAAATATACATATTTATTCTAAATATTATATATAGTTAGAGACTAAGAGCGTGGGAAAAAGTTATAAAAAGAGAGAAAACTTGAAAAAATAATTTTTTATTATTTTTATTTATTAATTTATACATTAGAGAAAAAATTGTGAGAAATATATCAATAAAAAAAAAAGAGGAAAAGGATGACTTTTTAATTAATATTATTTATTTTATTTACATTAAAAAATGAAAAAGAATGCATTATTCAAAAACATAAAGATGAGAAAAAACATAATGTAAATAATTTATACATGGAGATTGCTTACTTGTATAATTAATGTTTTAAAAATATTTTTAAATTTTTTTCCTTCATTTTTTAGACATTTTTACGTTCTTTATTTATTTATATTACATATGCTTTTTTTTTCTTTTTCATATAAAAAAGTGATAAAAAGGAATATCCTTTACCTATAATACATTTTTTTTATTCTCTTTTTCTCCATCCACACTCTCACTCTCTCTCTCTCTCTCTCTCTCTCTCTCTCTCTCTCTCTCTATATATATATATATATATATATATATATATATATATATATATATATATATATATATTTATATATATATATATTCATACTTTTTTTCTCCTAAAAATGTTTACAAAATGAAAATTCTTTTATATATATAACTAATATACCTATCCACATTTTTTATCTAAATAATTTTTAAAATAGTAAATATAGATATAGATTATAATATATTGATTGAATAGACATGAAAATGAATTGGAAGCTATTTTTGTACAGGGTTCAATATATTTTTATCTAGTACTATTTTACTTTTATTTTTATTTTGATCTGTAAAAGTATTTTTGAAAATACTATTAGTATAAAAAATTTATAGTTTGTTCTTATTATTTATTTTTCTAATATATTTTTCTTTTTCCTTTATCCTGTCTTTTTAATTTTTTGACAAGTACATCTGGTCTTAACAAGTAAATAAGAGAGTATTTTATAAATTTTCAAAGGACTTACTTCAATGTCTAGCATAATTTATTATTTATTATCAATGAAAGTAAAATCTATTCATTGAAAATTCATTATTAGTGAGTGAAAAAAAAGTTACAAGAAAATATATATCAAGTTTAATTTGCAACTAAAGGTAGCAAAAATCACAATTAATAAATAATTATTTGTATTTTCTTTCCTGACATCATTTTATTAAATTACTTATATGAATAATCGAAGATAATAAAATTAATTACTTCTATCCTAGAAAATAATGTCTTCTTAAAAAAAAAACTTCCTGTACTCGTCCCACTCAGAGCCTTCTCTTCAATTAAAAAGTAGTTAAAGCCAGTGTTTAGAGCTCGTTAAGCATCAATTGTTTCTCAAATTTAATTGCTCTATGTCGTATTTGACTCTTCCACACTCAGTCCAAATCTCTTTTTATTTCCCTTTTTTCTCGTCGACGTACCTAATATATATATATATATATATATATATATATATATATATATATATATATATATATATATATATATATATAATAATAAACTATTTCAAAAAAATAGATATCTATTATTTATTTCATATTTAAAAATAATCAGATCTTTCTAATATTTTCCTTTTGTGTAAAACAAACATTTTCTATAACAATGACCTATTTTAGCAATTTTATTTTATTATTATCATGTATGTACTTTCTGTTAAAAATAAAATTTAATTTTTATTACAGAGCTGGTTCACTTACCTACTTCACCCTAATCATTCCCTAAGTTTAATGACTGATATCAAACTTCTTAGTTTTAAAGATAAAATACTCTACTGCGTGTTTGTGGAAATTATTAAGCTTTGTTTCGACTGTTGCTAGAGAATAACCTTTTTCTTTCTTCCTCATATACGGTTAATATATTAAAAATAAACTAATATTTAGTAAAAATAACTACTATGTTTAAGAAGTCCAAAACTTCAATTATTTTAATTTGATGTGCTATTAAAACATCTTATGTCTTGTTCTATATGTGGCTAAATAAATAAAATTTTTTAATAATAATTTATACACAACTTATGTTGACATTATAAATTGTGCACGATTTTACTCATTATAAGAAAATTATTTTTCACTCCTCCTAAGTTGAATAAATTTTTTTTTAATATCATTTGAAACTTACTAACTATTCATGTGTAAGTGATCATTACAATGTTAGATAATGTAACCACTTAAACATAAGAAAATGTTATGACATTTATTTACTAAATCAAATTTAAAATATTAGAAGTTTTTAATATCGTAACTGTTTTATTTTAATAAATTGAGAACAATTAATAAGCAAGCGAAATGAAAACTTATTAAAACATTAAAATACTTTTAATAAGTTAAATGTTATATTTTTAACTACATATTTTTATTTTAATGTATTCAAAGTATATGGCAAAAACAAATATTTTCTTACAACTACATAAACCAAGGTCCAGGATTCTCATAGCGCAGGAAAGTATATTATCCTTAAAGAATATAGCGCAACTTTACCTCGAGAATTAGGTTTATCCAATGGCTTAAAGAAAGTGGTGGAGAGGGCTTGGGATAAAACTTTGCAGGTGAGGATCCGGTTCCGGAGAGTAACACCTATAGTCCAATCTATCGCTGTTCAACAACACATAAAGCAATGATAGGACTAGGTAAGAATAGTTAGCATTAAAAGTATAAAATAAATAAAACATTTAGTTGCATGCCCTATAGATCCACCATTAAGCTTTAAATCAATGCACATATACACTACAAAACTAGACATCCTGAAAATGGTTAAAATTTCATTACATTTTCTATGGTACTACTCAGCTCTTGGCCACATCAAAGATTACCAAATTACATATGGCATTCACTCTCTCTCCAACCAGACCCAACTAGAACAATTTGGCTCAAAACGAAGTCATTGTGACCTAGAGACACCAATTCAAAGTCTGAAAGTACTGTAGCCTCCTAGACCAGAAGATCCGTACCCGCTGTAGGGTTGTGACGAAAAGGAAGATGACGAATAAGATGAACTGCCCAACGGAGGGTAAGAAGATCTCGGACCTGTATCTAACCTGCTGCTGTAATTACTAGCAACAGGTTCTTTGTGATTACTTATAACTTCCTGTAACACGAGAGATTTATATCAGTATATGCATACGATGTAGCCTACTCTTTCGGTATGAATTCGATCATTGATGGCTAGTACCCAAATCAAACGTCAGTAATCAGTATGAAAATTGAATGGATGAAGCATACATACAGGAGACAGGAAATGAATTATGGTTGTAATCATGTCAAACCCTTTATTCCACAATTAGTAAAACAGTCCAAAAGAGGAGGGAGCCAGGATATAACAACTATAAGGTACATGCTACAAAATTTAAAAGTAATACATAAAAACTGACAAGTCTGATACACATCTTATGTTCAACTTATCGGGTGAATGCTATTTCCTAAATCAATACATCTTACCTTTGAAAATTTATTTCAATATTATCTACCAAAGATTGATTTGTTCAGGTCTAGTAAGGGAAAGCCCAACGAATACACATCCAATCGCAATCATATGTACCCAAAAGAAAATCATGCAATGGTCATAATGCTTTGACTTGCGAGTATTTGATAAGTTCAGATTCTACCCACTTAGTATATAGCTGTATTTATGAAAACTGAAAACTAACACTTCTTTTTCCCCACTTCCACCCCTACCGACATATGATAAACAAAAATACCAAACTAAGCAAACCATCTACATTTCTTTCATTTCCTACTTTTCTTTTATTAAAAATGGATTAATCATTTTTGTCTCTTTTCTCATACATTCTTTTACTACATATCTTTCAATTTTCCAACTAAGTGATCTAATTGCAAGTAGAATAAATGTTTTAGCACATGAGGAGTGGATATCTGGATATCAACTAGAAGCAGTCTAACAAGTGGGGATCTAATACCGATAAAAATGAGTAACCACACAATGAATATATTAAGAGAAATCATCTAAAGAAAAGGTACCTGTCCAAGCACACACATATATATGCATATCTTAATGTCATACAAAGTAACAGGACCACAAATGCGTAACTTTTCTTTCATAGGACCAAGTCTCATACCTGAATCAACTGTTGTGCAGTCTGAACCTGAGATGAGGTGCCTTTTATTTCCACTATGATTTCATCAGGCACCCGACTCTCCTGCACAGTCAGTATTGCTCCACTGGTGCGGCGAATGTAGTCAATATTAGTCCCTTGTATACCAATGATGTCCTCTGCATAGGATAGTGGTATTTGCATTGTTTGTATTACCTAATAAGTGGACACAGTAAAGAAAGGTGGAAGTTAACATCACTATCAACAAAAAAATAATAAAAACAAAACAGAACGACGTATAAGCAAATATGTAGAAGTGGAAAAGAAAGTATGCTTTCAGTTTACAGACAGTGACAAAATCATATTGTAATTTGTACGGATCACTTTAAATGCTTGGTCCATAGCCAAATCACCATTACAATAATAGGTACAAAAATCCATGTATAATAAATCAGAATAAGAAATTACTCAACCTTGATTTAAAATTTAGACAACATGTAGCGAAAAATATGTATAAAAGCTCTTATATAAAGAATTAGTATATAATTATGAATAATGGTTATTTTTTGGCTTGATTACCTATTTGGTCCCGCAATTTATTTGATTCAAATTGGTCTCTCTTTTACTAAAAGATTCAATCAAGTCCGTTAAATCAATAAAAGGAAGCAATGTGGCCCTTCTCTTTACTAGTAGTTTTCATCTGTGAAGAATGGTGATAAAAAACTGCCAACTATATATGCTATTGTTTAGCAATTAAAAATAAAATAAATATATTTTCACTGATACTTCTCTCTCATCCACCTCATTGTGCCACTCACAAACATTAACCTAAACAGACTGTTCTGTCTGTCTGCCTTGAGCCCCGCAGCAATGCATTGCAACACTGACAGTTCAGTACGCACGTCAATTGCACCAGCGTCAATTCACCAGTGACAAAAATTTCATAGTCTTGGGGGTGCAGCACTGACACCATTTCCGCTCTCAAGTTCGACAAATTGTTGCTATGAGAAGAACATTATACTGCCTCGGCTTGAAATAAAACAAACATAGGAACAAGAAGAGGAAAAGAGCAGTAAGTGGGTTATGAGGTTTGATTGTAAAAGGGAGAGAGGAAAAGATATGTTGCTGTTTTGGCTGTCTTTCTGTTGTTTATTAGGATGGGTACACAGTTGTCAACTGACAGATTCCTTTCTATTGTTTGTTAGGATGGTTACACGGGTGTCTTTCTGTTATAAGTTGAACCTTGCTATGCAAGCTAGATAGTTAGAATGAGACATGTATATAAGTATCTTTTGTAACAAAAATTTCTAAGAAGCTCTCATCAATGAATTTAATTTGTTTCTCATTTAATTCTGTTGTGTCATTTCAATATCCTCCCATCATCATTGTGTTGCAATTTGTAAACTGAGTGAAGTGAAAGATGCAGATCGAGTAAAGGGTTTACAACAGCAATTCTGTTTTTAGTTTAATTTTTAACCAATATTTAATTTAATTTATTTTTAATTTGAAACTAATAATAATGTCTGCAGTTTAAAACTGCCATTAATTGTAAGCAAAACCATCGCAAATAACAGGACCAACGCCATCAGTTTCAAATGAACAGAAGGGTAACCGTGCTGCTACTTTTAAATTAACGAAAATTACAGAGACTAACAGCATCAGTTTCAATTGAACAGAAGGGTCACATTGCTGCTATTTTTTAAATTAACAAAAATTAAAAGAATAACAGCTTCATTTTCAATTGAAGCTAATGGTCACATCGCTCGATTTAAAATTAAGGAACTTAATTGAACCTTTTAGTATAAGATAGACTGAATTGAATAGAATAAAATAAACATAGGGACTAAAAAAAATAATTTAGCCCTTATTTTTTTGACAGATGGTAAAAAAAAATGATATTGACGGAGAAACAATAGAACTTTGATATTATGTGGGTTCTTGAAATTACTAACCGTGGTAACAATAGGAGCACTGGTTCGACTGAGTGCTGAAGAACGAAGACCAGAAAGTGAAGAATCGTGCCCATATATTGACATTGTGGAGGAAGGGAGCAATGAATCCAACTGGCTTTCACGATCAGCAAAGAGAGAATCCCTCTTTGATGAAAGAGGAACATCATTTACAATGTTAGGTTGTGAAGCACTATGCAGTGATGGTTTGTCAACCCAGGTATTATCTACTTGCCTCTCTTGGGAAATTGTTGCATTGTACTTGAACAAAACAAAGACACGCATCTTAGTGTTAATACATGATATTCTTTGATGATATTCAACATGTGAACAAAATAAAATACCAGTATAAACACATGATATGCACTGGTATTGACTATTTCAGCCTAATTTAAAAATTGAAAAATATCAAACTTACACTTTTCTCAAATAAGGGAAGAACACCAGGATCAACCAAAAACTTTCTCAGATGCCCAACTACTGCCTCCAGAGCCTTAAGGACCTTCATGGCCTCTCCCTGTAGCTCAACAATCCTCTCATCCGCAGCAGCATAAAAGGGAACCTCATCTATCAGGAAAATGATTTGATATCAAAATCACTTCCATCATTGAACAAACAAACAAAAAATACAGTCTGACAGAAAACCAATAAAAAGTTCTTTCCCATACGGAGCAAAGAAGTTAAAAATGACAACAACAGAAACTGGAAAGGTTCCTCTAAAGTGAGATTGCCTTTAAATTAAGTAAGTAAGGAGTATGGATTCTTGAATTTTAGTTGGCTCAGATCATAATGAACTTTGAATCAAACGTGTGAATACATCTTTACTCATGATTCTAGCTACAATATCTAAACGGTAAAACACTAAAAGGACAAAAAACCACCTCATTTCAAGCGTATACCATAGAAGCCAGGTAAAACAAATGTCAGTAATTAAATTATGATTCAGCACACATCATATGACATCAGACAATATAAGGAAGAATAGGCAAAGTAAAAGGATGCTATTCAGACAGAGAGTAAAACACAGATGTATGCCACGTTATCAGATTAAAGGGACAACAGGCACACCTCCAGACAGTACTCTAACCGAAGCACTGGTATTTTCCTGTATAGATTTAATTAATGAACCCTGCTTTCCAATCAAATTGATAGCCTGCGTTGAGGCCACCAATAAACGAACGGAACAAAATGCAACCCCTGCCACTTTATCACCATCAATTTCAGACAACCCTGAGACACGTTTAAAAATCCTTATGACAGCGTCCATTGCTGGAGAAAGAGGTGCCTCTGGCTCTTCCTTCCCTGATATGAGTACCTTAAAACAAAATTCAAACCATATCAGGACAAAACAGAACTAGATACACAAATCAAATAAATGTCTTCATCTACGCATAAGCATGAAAAGAAAAAAAGAAAGTGATTCCAACAAGTATCATCTGAACAACACATAGACCAACTAAACTACAGAGTAAACTTCCATTCACTTTGGCAATTTCCCACCTGCATTGAAAACTGCAAGCTATAAATTATAAAGGAAACTCAACATCATAATACCATTGATACTACGACTATCATGTACCTCCCGTGAGCATTTACAAATACAACAAGGAAACCACCCCACAAATACTATAAAACACTCTTAGTAACGATACCTCGATCGAACATGCATCACAAAATTAATGAAACTACAATAAAAATGTAACTTTGACACTGAGCGAAGTAACGCAATGAGCTGAAAGCACAACGCAAGCACAAAACCCCATCTTGTAACCTCCAGGCAGTTCAAGTAAAAATCCCTACTAATATTGTACAAGCAAATTTCATGAGAAATGGCAGAACCTAGCAAAACCAAGAAAATATAAAAAAAAAATGAAACCCTAGAAACGAAATAGGGAACACTCACGATTCGATCGGGAGTGCCAACCGCGCCGTCGAGGACTCGAATGCGAGCTTTCGTTTCCTCGCAGGTCTTCTTGATGAGCTCGCCCTTGCGGCCAATGATGCTTCCCACTTTGAGGACCGGCACGATGAGGCGGAACACGCAGAGGCCGGGCCATCCTGGCCACCTCTTCTCAGCGGAAGCCTCGGGAGCAGTGTCGTCGGCTGTGGTGGTGGGCGATTCGGCGGCGTCGGGATTATCCAAATGGAGGGGATTGGTGGTGCCGTTTTGGATTGGGTCGAGCGTGGCCATAGAAGAAGAAAGGTGGAACTTAGGGTTTATGGTGTTTGTTCTTAGGTTCGTTGGTTTCAGGTTTATTCTTTTCTACCCAAGCTCTCAATTTGTGAACACTACTACTTACTAACTACCACCTCAGGTTTATTCCTCGCTATTCTCTCTATAAACCGTCATGCTTCACGCGCTCTTCCCGTTATTTCCTCTTTTATAAATTTACTCTGGAGATAGGCCTCTAAGCCCAACAACATCACACAATAAAATACAATGTAGCCTATTTTTGCTTCAATTTCTGTTTTCTTTTTTTCATCTTTTAAAAAAAACAAATAATCTTTACTATTCACTATCTATCTATGTCAATTATGATAATAATGACATCATCCTAACATACTATTATGATTAACTGTAATGATGACATTATTATGATGTCATCATATGTTATACATGTGTTAACCTTAGCTAATACAACTCAGGGAGGTTTTGAGTCCTTAAAAAGTGAGTGCACCTAATTTGGTTGACTTTTTTGTGAGTAAATAAAATACTCAATTTATCATACGTTAAATTGATTGAATTTTGTTCAACATAAATTTTTTAAAACACAACAAACATGTAGATAATAGAGAGCACAAATACACCAAGCTTAAAAATATACTTATGCATTAAAAATTGAAAGAATAATAAGATATCAATAAATTTTAATTTAAAGTAAAAAAGGGAAATTAATAAATTTAGAAAAAAAATTGAGATTACATAAGTTAACTTCACTCACCAAAATCCTTTGAACTCCATGTACATATACTAAATTGTGAGTACAGTTGACTCACAAATTAGATGTTACTTTCACACTTCTAGTTACATGCATGTGTTTTTACTTTATTAGTTTATCTTTCAAATTTTAAATGCTAGATATTTTTTTATATAAAAGAAAACTTTTTTTTATGTTCTGTATTTCTTATACATTGCGGAAAGAATCTTTAGAAAGTTTATTAGTATAAAATTATACATAAAATCTTGCAAAATTTGTAACAAATATAACTTTAGAAATTTATTTCTGGAATGTGTAAGGAATAATTTTTCAAAATTTAAATTCTGGAACAATGAACCCACACTCCTTGATCATAAGGCACTGCAATAAAAACGTTACAAAAAGTTTTGAGGGTATGTAATTAGAATAATTAAACAAGTTATTATATGGGAATAAATTTTCGGAACAAACAAAATATTTCCCCTTATTCTTTCAAAAAGAATACCAATTAAATTCAGATTTATTATATAACATAGGATGTAATTATTAAAATTTATGTTAAAATAACATAGATATTTTTAAAATTACATATATGAAAATTTATGTTAAAATAATGGTAAGCGTTTATAATAATTACATCCTATGTTATTTTAATCAGATATTTTTATTAATCTTTTCGCTCAAATATGAAGTAATAAATAAATAAAAGATCTTTTACTATTCTGTCAATTATACATCCTTTTTTTGTTTCTTTTTTTCTTAAAATTATTTCTAACATTTATTTTCAATAATTCATAATTTGATGAATAAATATAAAATAAAATTTAATAAATTCAAATAAAAAAATATATAATAAAAATGTGGACACGGACATATACATGTTTGTGTTTTCGTTAGTGTATATAATTAATTTAGAGTATATTATATAATTAGAATTTATTCTCATAAAAAAATAGCAGTGGTTTGATATATATATTAAGGTGCTTAGAAAGTATGAAAATAGACACTAAAACCATTTCTTAGAGAATAAAGTTTGAAAGTATATTTTTGTAGTACTAAAACTTACCTACTTGTATTTTTGGTCGCATTCTCCTTAGGGACATGCTAAGATTATTGGGTTTGGTGGTGGTGGGTAAACCAAGTTGCTTTTTGTCCCTCTCCTCCATTAGTATATATGAAGTAACAACCCTAGAACCATTTAGAGTTGAGATGTGTTCATATGATTAAAGGAGCAATGAAGGTTGTGCCCATGCTTGTGAGGGATGAAATATATGGTCCCCAATATATGTCGTTTTTGTTAGCATCTGCTTTGTTTTGTTGATCAACTAGTTTTGCTGTACAACAGTGACACCATGCTACCAAAAAATGACCCCTGTTAACCTTCTAAGGTCCTTCTAGTAAACTTCAAAACAATAGGTTTCTTCTCACTTGGTGTACTCGCCGCAGGGACCCTGCTATTTGAAAACCATGCACAGCCAACCAGTAATTAATATCAGTTCTTTCTGTCAAAATATCAGTTTCTCAGTTCATTTTGTTGCAACTGATAAAATTGTTAACTGTAATTTCATTTGTCGGCAACTTGTGGTTTTTCATAGTCTTTAAAACACCTAGTGGTGCTTGCTGATTAGTAAATTCATGTACTCCATGTAATGTTTGTAGTTTATTTACAGGTTTTTTTTTTTTTTTTATCATGTCATTTTTGTTTCTTTATTCTAATTTTCTGCAATTCATGCTACAAGAGTATTATGAGGTTTTTTTAGAGATTTAAAAGGGACAGAAGAGAGTAGAAAGGGGTTACTTGTAACAATTAATTTCCACTTCTTTTCATATTCCTTCTATTTTTCTTTAATTTACAAGAAATTTCAACTTTCTATAAGCTTTGGTTGGAGGAAAAGGGGTTAAAGAAAACAAAAACAATTAATAAAGTCTGGTGTTTGTATATCTAGCAAGGACCAATTAGTAGTTACGTGTTCACTTCAAGATCAAGATAGTGCCATTTCAATCAAGAACGATTATCAATGTTAATAGGAAACAGTAATTATCTTTATTGTTTGATTCAATCATATCAATTATCATTTTTATTTAATAAAACTTTAAATCTTGTAAATTGCTTACTAATTTGATAGATAAAAAATTGTTATATGATAGCCAATGGGGCATATGCAAGATACTTCAATTTGCTTAAAAAAGTGTGAAATCCTCAAACTCAGATTATGTTAAGTTGTGGCTAGTTACAATCCACTCGTTAAAAAGATTATATAAGTTGAAGATAATATTTTGATAACATGAAACTAATTGGTGTTGGGAACATATGCAGAGTCACATGTTTCGATGAAATCTCTACCTTATGTTATCTTGTAGTTCAAAGCCTATCCAATTTCAATGGTCCTAGGGCTTCCAAGTCACTCCCTTCCCACGATAAGATCCTGCCAAATATCAACTCTCACTCCATCACATGACTACCCATTTCAAATAACTTTCTTTGGAATTATTCTACTCGTTCTGTTTTTTATGAAACTTGTTATGATCTTTAAACACACTGTATTTATCTTTTAGTCTTGCAACAATTTAAACTTATATATTTCATATAAATATACCTTAAGGATTGAAGCAAAAAATTGTGGTAAAGAAAAAAAAAAAAAACTCTTCCACGCATGCTCTTGAATAATTATAGAGTAAAAAAAAATATATATATATATATATATATATCTTTGAAAATATTAGAGTTTCTGCAGGAAATATACAATCAGATATTTTCTTGAAAATATCTTAATCAGAAAATGACATTGGACTCTGAAAATGCAACAAAATAGTACAGCATTCAATCCTTTGAACAATTCTAAATACCAGATCTTGAAAACAATTGTACATAAAAGAATGAACATTTTACATGTTCTTTTATTAAACAAAAAAAAAAACTTTAACATATATAAATCACGGTTTGTTATACCCTTTAATAAAGTAATTTAGCATAGCAAAACTACAATTACAAAGAAAAAAAAGGATGTCGAAAAGTTTGCTAATAAATAAATATATTAATATTGCATTATCTGAATGACGAATAATAATTGCTTTAAATATAATTGAAATTATAAACATATTTAAATATAAACTTCATAATGTACAAAAAATAATTTAATTAGTAATATAATTAATAAAATTTAATCTAGTGGTGAATATAAAAGAATATTGCTTAAAAATAAAATAAAAATAATTAATATATATAAGATAAAAGAAAGATAATAAAAAACAATTGAGAAATTTTTTAATTAAAAAATATACACATTAAAGAAAACTGAAACTATAAATAAAAATGCTATGATAATATTATTAATTATCAATGGATATTTAAAAGTTTTTTTTGAATTATTGGAATTTATAATTAACAATTTTATATGTGAAACTAAAAGATAGTGGGGACAGTTGCACCCCATGGGGTTGAACATGAATCCATTGGTTGAAAATTAAGTAATTTATTATTTATGAACAAAGCGAGAGAAAAGAAAATACTGAAGGGTTAGATGGATAGTACAAATATGGAGTTTTGTCTTAATTAAAGTCTGAGTTTTTATTTAATGCATTAAGACAGTGGTATTGTGAGTTATATAGCCATATTATGGTCTCCAAGTAGGAAAATGACCTAGACATTTTTATTTCACCAAACATTGATAGTGACTTGGATACATATTATTTTGTTTCTTGTCTACATATTAATTACTCATATTTATGATTCAGTAAATTGAATATCGTTTAAATTTGTTTAGTAAATTTTGGATTGTAAAATTTACAGCTTGGTACACTAGACACACATACTTATACCAACTACAACAACAAATGCCAAAACAAATGTAGTACGAAAAAAACAAAATAATATCTCGATGAAAGAACAAAATTCAATAAAAAATAATAATAAAACACAAACTAATGTCAAAATATTTGTGTGGACGGCACTATTTGAATTGCTTGTTGAAAATATAAGATGAATTATTATGTGATAAAAAAAATATCGATTGAGAGTGTAATAAAATAATGTTTTAAATTATGAAAATGATAGTTTTTTTTATTCATTCACTTACTTTATTTGTGAATTAACTTTAAAACTATGTTGATTTCGTTTATTATATGAAATAAATGTAACATACATGATGGCGATGAACATAAGTGGTTCGTGATGCATTTTTATATTTTGCATCAACATTGTAATTCCTTGCTAGATCATATTATTTTGAATATTATTTTGAGTAACAACTAATATATATATATATATATATATATATATATAGTGTAGTAATATTTAAGACACTATATTTATTTGAACGGTAATTTTTAAAATTGTTATAGTTGCATTGGACAACCTAAAATGTAACCTGAATTCATTTAAACTGAGTTGATTGATAGGACATAACAAATAATGAAAAAAAAATCTAGAATTTTGATAGGCTGAACAATTTTTTCAATCTTTATAATATTTTTTTATTAGTTTTTAAATATTAATAAAATATTTCAAAAGTATTTTTTATGTTCATATATCTCTTTGTTTTAAATAGATTCTTATGTATTATTATTAAAATGTAATTTATTTTGTATATATAAAAAATAGATTGTATTTTAATATAATATATAAATATTATATTTTAATAATAATATGTAAAGATTTATCCAAAGAAAAAAGGGAAAAAGTTATTTTTAAATATTTTATTAAAATTTTAGTGATAAATTAAAAATTTATAAATTTTAAATGAGTATTTTACCATTTAAAAAATAAATATGTAAATAAAATAGATTGCATTTGCATAATAATAATTTTTTACGTCAATTAATAAAAATCCTAGAAAATTGTAATTTTTTTTTAAAGACAGTAATTCTAAATTGTTTGCTATTTATATTATTACACACTATATTAACATTCGGAAAGAACAAATGTAAAGTAATGATGTGAAAATGATTTTTTTGCCGGATATAAAACCAGCATAATTAACTAACGAAGATAAAAAAATATATTTAAGCTTTTGTTTGATAATAATATATTGTTTTATTTAAACATATATTTATAAAAGTGAATAACGTTGTATTATTAAAATATTTGAATAAAAATGAGTGTGTTAAATGTGTATAAAAAAGTAAATTTAATGAAAATAAATTTATTAACTAAAACGAAAATTAATATCTACCCACACATCACATTTTGTTTGTTGGAGTAAATTAAGTTGTCCAATATAAATTAGAATATATAATTTATTTCAGAAAGTACGTATTAGAAGGAAAGTGGATGCTCATGGAATGTCTCTAAATATCTGATGAAGAAGCATAAAAGTTGGACACTTGGGCGAATGGATAGCATAAGTAGAGTGTTAATAGTGTAATGTTTGTGAATATGATAAGGTTGTGGAGAAAGAAAAACAAAAGATTTTGAATTGGTATTGTGAAATGAGGAGTCATTGATGGTAATAAGGGGAACGTAGCGTGGTTAAGTGCCACAGATGGAACGCGTAAGACACCAAAAGTGTTCCAATCTGGTTGGTCTCAGAACACGTCCAAAAGCCCACCTCTTTTTCTTCATACACGTGAAAAACTGTGCACCAGCTTACCCATTAAAGGTTGGCCACGTAAGCCAGAAAATCTTACGCCTCCAATCAAAACCTGCCACGTCACCAGATAAGACCCTTTTCCCGTATACCCCTAATAAGCTTTTGCAGCAGGTAAGGTATGGAAATGGAATAATTCTGTAGCTACACATCCACGTCTGTCTGTCACGGCCATACATAGTAAGATTTTCATTCCTCATTTACCATATTGCCCCAACTCCTAGAACTTCTCAAAATATTATTTCAAAAATATCATGAATAAAAAGTTTTAGTTTTTTCGTCTCAAACCACAAACAAATCATATATATTCCTTTTCTTCTAAAGAGACAACCAAAAATATTGTTTAATATCCATGCTAAATAGAATTTCTCTTCCCAAGTCTATTTTTGAATAAATTGTATAGTAAATTTAAAAAATATAATGTTTCGTTTTAATGGGTGATTGGGTAGCAGATCACATTGTTTATTTATTATTTTTAATGCCAATAACAGTTAAACAATGGCCGGCTCACATTGTTCATTTATTACTCTGCAAAAATAACTTTTAGTTTGTAAATTTCTGTTTATATTTTGAGCATGTTTAATAGTTTTGATTTTTTTTAAACACATCTATAATAACTCCTGTTTCGGTATTTTTAAAATCTTGAATGGAAACCGATTATTGAGTGTGTTAATTTATTTTAAAAAAAAAGTAAGAAAAAAAGATGAAGGAGAGAAATATGAGATTTGGAGAGGAAAATGAGAGGGATATTATAGTAAAAGAACAAGGTAAAATAATTGAAGAGGTAAAAGAGAGAGAAAGAAAATAAAAAAAAGAGCTTAATATGAATGGTCCCCACATTAGGAACAACAGAGAAACTGAGCATTGTCTCTTCCTTCGTTCTCATGTTCATTGTTCCACCACCACCTCCACTGCAAGTGTCAACACTCGACTCTCTGTGAATTCCCTAGCCTCTCTCTCTTTCTCTCTCCCAACAAGTGACACAGTCGGTGGGCTTATACCCCTCTGCCAATTTCCTATACATACAGAGACCCCAACGGTTCTTTGCCTTTTATCTATTTCGCCTCGTGACCCTCTACCCTGTCTCTTCTCTCTCTCTCTCTCACTCACTCTGTTACTGAATTTAACACTACTCACCTTTCATACACCTCAAACCTTTTTTATTGGCCAACTTTCCCTTATTCACACCAACAGTACTTTCTTCTCCTTATCCAACACGAATTTCGGTTCCTCTTTCGGGTTTCGGAATCAATCAATCAATGAATGCCCTGTTTCTATACTCCTGCTTTTCCTACCCTAGCCCAGCCTTTTCGCAGACTTGCTAGTAAAATAGCAAGTCTCAGATTTTTATTTTATTTCGCACCATTTTCCTCTGTTCTCATTCTTCCTTCCACTCTCTATGATATTCCCCAAACCCTTGGCCTTTTCTCCGTTTCCTTTTCTTTTTTTAAAATAAGGCAATAACTTTTGTTGCTTCTACTTTTTGGGTTTAGGGTTTTGCACCCCTTTTGGAAAAACCACAAGCCTATGTTCAACTCCACGCCTCTTCAATTCTGATCATTCATTATATAAACTTTAACCACACACACGTATAAACAATGTCTTCGTGTCTGACCGGAGCTGGTGGAAGAACCTATGGTTTCGATTTCGAATTTGTTAAATCTCCGTCTTCCTCCACTAGAACCTCTCATACCTCTTCTTCACCTTCTTCGACAATCTCCGAATCGAGCAATTCACCGCTCGCAATCTCCACGAAGAAACCCAGAACACCGCGAAAGCGACCGAACCAAACCTACAATGAAGCCGCGGCGCTTCTCTCCACGGCGTACCCCAACCTCTTCTCCACCAAGAACCTCAAAACGCAGGGCAAATTCGCAAAGCCCGCATCGGAGAATTTTGATTATGACTCTTCGGAGCTGTTGTTGCCGTTCAGGGTTTTGGACGGGTCGTCCTCGTGTTTCCTTCTGGACCAACCGGACCCGAAACCCGTGGAGAGGCCTAAAGTGGTGAGCGTGCAGGAGAAGGCGTGTGGGAGCCCCGGGGAGATAAGCTCCGTGGTGAATTTCAATTTCCTCGAATTGAACGACGATTGCGAAGAGAGCCTCGATGCGGAATCGATTCTCGACGAGGAAATCGAAGAAGGGATCGATAGCATCATGGGGAGCAGGGTCCAAGAGGTCTCAAACGACGCCGTTAATGACTTCCCCTGGATAATGCCTTTTGGCGGGAAATCGGACTTCCCCAGACCCCGTGTCCGCGCTCTACGACACGTCGACGACGGAAACTGGTGGAATTTTCCGGCCGTCGATATTCTCCAAATATCGCCAAAAATTAACACCAAGCCTCCCCCGGTGACCGCCGAGAAGAAGATGAAGAAGAAGAAGGTGGCAGGGATTGCAGCGGCGGAGAAACCGGTCGTGGTGGAGTTAAAGAACGCGGAATTGCCCAAACCGAAACAAGGTTTGATGTTGAAATTGAATTACGACGACGTTCGGAGCGCTTGGTCCGACCGCGGTACGCCGTTCTCCGACGATAGCCCCCTAGCCGACTTGCCGGAAAATGACGTCACCGTAAGTTCCATTAAGTAGCAGTAGCCAATACTCTGTTTTCGCATTTTCATTAAAACCTTAATTGCGAGGAAATAACAGCGTGTTTACAACGAACAAGCTTTATTCTAATTTAACCTAAGGAAGTTTGGAGATTGACTCCATGGTTAGTATTTTTAATCACGTGGAGTATGAGAATCGAACTTATTAAAACTGAAATAGTAAAGTATTTCATGCATCTCTTGCTTCATTCCTTATTACTTTTCACGGTAATGTTTTAAAAAATAAAGGTCTACTGTTATATTTAATGGATTTTAATTTCAATTTGGGTATATTGTAAAGGAGAAAGGTTAAAGGTAAAAGCATCTTTTTGAGTCTGGTACTACCTTTTCTATTCATTTTCATTATTAATTATAATTTTAATTATATTTGTCTTGCATTATTAAAATTTGTCTTTGGGTACAAAATGATGAGGTATCTTTAAATTTGTTATGGCCGGTACCGGGTACATTTACTGAAAAAGCTTAAAAGTGTGAGTGTACACGGTAGGAGGGTGTGGTGCGGGAGTAGTGAATAATTAACGGATTTTGTGTTTTGGTGTTGTGGGAGGCAGGCGCGGCTGTCGCAAATTGATTTGTGGTGGGACAATGGCGGAGTCAGAGAAGCTAGCGTGCAGCGCTACAAAGAGAAGCGGCGAACGCGCCTCTTCTCCAAGAAAATCAGGTACCAGGTCAGGAAAGTCAACGCAGATCGACGGCCCAGAATGCAGGTACGACTCAGTTGAGGGACACTTGAAGAAATTTGATTAAAAAAGAAAAAAAAAAGAGGGAAATGTGCTTTATGATTTGGTGATGATAATTTTGGACACTGAGGAGGGTGCGTGCGTCATAGTTTTTTTTTTTGTTATGGAGAGTGGACCCCGTTATGGTGGTTGGTCACTTTGTCCAACTTTTGAGGATCTATCTATTTCACCTTAGTTTGATACCCTGCCACTGCCGTTGCCATTCCCATTGCTCTTATTTTTAATTTCATCAACATCTCCTAACGCTTGCATCTCTCTCACTTTTTATTCTCTTCAGATTCTTTCACCACTATATTACGCTCTCTCTCTACATAAATAAATCAATAAATAAAACATGTTTGGTCTACATTCTTGTATGTACGCTATAATTCATTTCTATTGGACGCTATAATTCTCAAGTGTGATGGTTGGTTGAACAAGGTGGCCTAACTAGAGCGAAAATTTCATACCAAACTCTAAAAGGAGAAAGGGGGAGGAGGGTAACAAAGATGTTTCTTCAGAAATTAAATTATGAATTATGGTTTCATTTATGTCTGACACACACATGCAGTTGAGGTAGCGAGTCTAACTTGTTTGTGATGTGGCAGGGGCGATTTGTTAGGAGGCTCAATCCTAGCTCAAATGCACACAGATGATTTTGTATATGTAGTACAACGTAGCAGTAAAGAACAAGCTTTTTGGGACTCTTCTCTAAAAATAATAAAACAATAAAAAAGAAAAGAGAGAGAGAGAGAGTTTTGTAACCTTTACCTTTCTATTTTATTTTTTCCTTTAGTTAGTTCTTTTACTTTTTGGGTTCTTCTAGGTTCCTTCACTGAGGCTGTATGAGATAAGCAACGAATTGCCTAAGATTCTATTACGCTTGATTCTCTTGGCGTTATGACCACACCCAGATTCTTCCTTTCATGCTCCATCCCTATGTGGTCGATAATTCATTCTCGTAAGCAAATTAAGATTTATCAAAAGCTAACAAAATTACAACAACAGCAACAACGACGGAAGAAAGTTAACGGTGATTGTTGTGTTTTGTAATTATAGGTTTTTATAGATTTCTTAATGTAATGATGATGATTTGACTCCAAGCCATGAAAAGTAAAAAGAAATCACCTTGACCGTTGAGTTGGCCTTCTATAGAAAGACATCACTATACAATTCAAATATGATTTTTAATTTTAACACATTCATCATCATGTGTGGTCTGAGTGTTAACCTTGTCAATTCAGGCTATCATAGTTTATTCCAATCTATCTACAATAGGATCATTCATATTAAATGCTACAATGCTACATTCTTAATTGAATATTTAAATTCAACCATTTTTTTGAATAATTTATGCTTGAGAAATAAGAAAATAAAATAAAATAAACCTTACACAAGTAAAAAGTTTGAACAAAAGTACACTAATTCTTTTTTAACAAATTAATGAAAAAGTTAATTACAAATTTTATCCTCGAAAAGTATTTAAGAAAAAAAAAAAAAAAAACGTGGGGCGGAAGTTGCATGCATTATACCCCAGCCTTGATTGAAAGTGATGGTATTGTAATAGCTTGTTGAAGGTTGGGAACGGTTATTGGCATACTTCACTTGTAAATGGTGGCCCTTGTCATCCACCCACCCATTTCACTCCTATCTTCCTCTCCTTTGTTTATTAGAACTCTCACTTAACACAAAATAAAATAAAATTCCCCAAGAGGATCTGCACGCACTTTAATTAGAGAACTATACCCTTTTACTGTAGCACTGAACATTTCAATTTTGAACCATCTTTTTAATTTTTACTTCATTTTATGTTTTTAAATAATTATATTTCTTTACATAATCTATTGATTTAATGATCATAATTTTTTTAAATATTATTTGAATTATAAATTATATTTATAATTATTAATATAATATAATTATCAAATATTGATAATAATTTTAATATTATTTAAATTTTTAATTTTCACATTTTACGTTTATTGATATAATGTAATTTTCTATAATATAATTTATTTCATATCGTAGTATTTTTATTTTTTTATTCTTATTTTCTTATGTTTTTAATTATTATTTGTATATTAAATAAAATAAATAATTATATTATATTAAAATAAAATATTATATTATATTAAGAAATATAAAATAAAATTATTTAAAAAATTAGATAACATTAAATATAATATTATTATCAATTATTTAAAAACATAAAAACTAAAAAAAAGTTCAAAATTCGATTAGCTTGATTACCTGACAATGAATTTTTCAGTGGTAGAGTAAAAGGGTATACTTATGTACTGTAACAAACGCACAGGTTTAGTTGGGAATTTTTTTCCACACTACACTTTCATTTTGTATTGGTTCTCAACATAAAATATATATATTTTTATTTTCATAAAAAAAAATTATGTCTTTGTAAACTACTTTTTAAACTAGATAAATTAATAGTGATGTAAAATGCTTTACAACAGTTTAATAAATTAAATATATATATATATATTCTAATTAAAATTTAAAAATTACAGCAAAAAAATATGATTTAAAAAATAATTTAATTACTTATCCTAGAAATTGTATTTTTCGAATAGAAATCGACTTAACTATGCTACAATTTGAATAAAAGATAAAATTGTGCTATCCGTAGTTCAAATTTAATTAGAATGTTCTATGTAATTAATTTGATTTCTCATTTTTTTAATTTAATAACTATTAAAAATAGTAATTGTTACTGTCATTGTTCTGTGGCTATTTTCTAATTAGGTTATATTTGACATGTGGTTTAAGCTTGTTTTTTATTTATTTTCTACTAGTAAAAAATATTTTTATTTAACTTTACTAATAACGTTTTGTAAATAATTTGTTTTCAGTAATTTGTAGTTTTTATTTAAATAATATGTTTTTAAAATGTTAACTTATAATTTTATATTGTTTTTGTTATATGTTACAACAAATGACTAGTTAATTACCATAGGTTAATTTTTTTAGCAATTTTAATAAATGGCTACAAATTATACATAAAACATTTAAATGCCATAATTTAATAATTATTTAAAATTAAAAATGAGCATATGGTAAATTAATCTTTTTTTATTTTAATTATTATTTTTTCAACGTATTCATATTTGATGTATCCAGTCACTCGTGTTGAATTTGTTATTTTTATTCAAAGTCAACATTAAAATAAAAGTTAAAATTCATGATATTATGAAATTTAGACTTCACTCAATTTTTTAAATTTGACAAAGGAAATATTATATTAGTTAATTTTATTATATTTTTAATCGATGTATTTTTAATTGAAAAAGACTTTTTACCACCCTCCTATCATTCTGTCACCATAAAAAAATAATTAATAATTCTAATAATATTATAATTAATTATGATACTTAGAAATGTTTAACGCCTGATTAAGTTTATAATGATAAAAAAAGTTGGTTATCAGCTGATCATAATGGGTAAATAAAAAATCAATATTTAATTGATAAGCTAGAGTGTAACAATTATTATATATTGTTTTGATTTATATTAAATTATATTTAATTTTGAATCTATAACTCTTTGTGTAACATGTAATATTCATCACTTTGCTCTTTTTCTCTTCTTGAACAAAATGGAAGATGAAGAAATTTTTGTTGGGCGCATTTATGAGAAAATTTGTGTTAGGTAATGTAGTTATAAATAATTTATATTTATTAAATAAAATTATATTATTAAATATTGATATGAAATTTAATATATTGTATACATTTCAATTATATTAATATAATAATAATTCGATAATAATTTTTATAGAGTTCCATAATATAATCAAGTATTTCGTATTTTTTATTAAATAATTACATAAAATTCAAAAAATATATATATATATATATATATACTTTTAATATTAATATTAATATGATTTGTATTTTATAAGATGAAAATAATAAATAAAATACATTAATACTATAAAAAATATATTTTTTAAATGATAATTTTTATAAAATTTAACATCATATATTTATTAGATGTATTTGATATATATTATGAAATTTGTTATTTTAATAAACTAATATTATATATTATTAAATACATTACATTGTAAAAAAAGTGTGAAGTTTTGTTTATAGTTTAATTTTAAGATGTAATTTTTCCAATTTTATATTGATACATATAATCTTTTGGTAAATAAAAATAATTATTTATTATATCAACAATAAGGAAGAAAAAAAATAAAAATAAAAATTTTATTATCGGAAGAAAAAGATAAAAAAAGTTTATTATGAATAAAAAAGAGAAAAAGGTATAATATCATAAAAAAAATTAATTTAACATAAATGAAAAATATATAATTTATCAAAAGTTAAAGATAGTGTGATATATATTTTACAAAGAATTATTTTTTATTATAAAAATAAACTGAAAAGTTAAATTTAAAACATGATTTTATAAATAAAAGAAAATACATTGTGTTTTTATATTAACGAATATTTCTATTTAATATAATTAAAATATTTTTTTAATTTTTACATATTATTACAATTTGAATATTATTATTAAAAATATATGTTATATAAATAATTAAATGATGTATATTTTTATATGTATGGATTTAAGTATTATTGAAATAATTTATCTCTATAATGTCTAACATGTAATGTCCTAAAAAATATTTATTATAATTATTATATAAAAAATGTATTTTATCTACTAAAATATATATTCAACTCTTCCTGTAATGATTAAAATGTATATCTTGTAAGTTCATTAATGGGATTGATATAATTATTGAGTAAAAAATATGTTTTATTTAATAAAAAATTATATGTGCTATTGAGTACATACAAAGTTAATTGACTTAAACAATTATTTTTATTATTTTTTAATCTACTGTTTTTCACTTTTACGTGGCTGCTCCCTCTTCTCCCCTTTCCTGACGCGGTCCCTGGGCGAACCCCTTCCTATCCTCTCCTCACCAGCGCCGACACCGACGATGCCTTCCTCCTCCCCTCGCGTCACCCCCGACAAACTCTATCTGTAAAGAAAGATTCTTACCTTTTCCTGCCTCTCTCTGATGCACAAAAATGAAAGAGAAACAAACTTTTTTTTCAATTTCTGAATGATGATTGACTTTACAAAGAATGACTTATTTATAGCCTCTGGTCTCTACCTTTTATTTTGAAACTAACTATTAAAAGATAAAACAGAAAATAAATCTTATCTAATTTCCACTTTTATTGCGGAACTAACTATTAAAAGATAAAACAGAATGACATATAACAGTTTCTCCCCTGAAAGCAGATCTTGTCCTCAAGGTCTGTCAACGTGAAACACGTCATGTATTTTGGTTCCAGCAGGTAACTTAAGTTTATAAGTCACTTTTTCTATTTCCTCTAACACTTTATATGGCCCAAAGTATCTAGCTGCAAACTTTTTTCTGTGAGTGTTAACAGACAATCCACAACAGCTTTCATAGACCCCTTTTCTAGGTCTGATATTTCAAACCGGGGCAATCCTACTGCGTCCAAAGCTTTCAGAAACGATTTAACATTTTCTGATTGTGATGACAGAGAATTATCAGGTTCGCTAATCACATTCACACTACCAAGTCGTAGCTTGTTCAGTATCTGGCACAAAACTGTACCATTGCTCAAACATGCTCTTAATTCATCGTCCGTGACATTTGGTGGAAATTTCAATAAAGGAAGAAGGCTAGTTAACCACTGAACCAAAATCAATCTACATTTGGCTTTCTCTGTAGAGATCTTATTGTCTAATTCTTTATTAATATCATCCTGTAATCATGTTAGACGTATTGCTTCTTGGATGGATTTAGGGTTATGAAGACGAACTGATTTCTCTAAAGGACTTTCCAAACCTGCGAGGAAGAACTGAGAGTCATGCCTTCGGAGATCATCACACGCGCTAACAAAGAATCAAAATTTTCAAGATATTCAGGTAAAGATTCTTGTTGCCGTAAGCGCGAGATTTCAGCAATAGGGTCATCGTAGGCTCCATCATCAAATCTGTTTCCTACATCAAGCAAGATATCGGTCCAAGATTTCGACCTGAAGCTGGGGTTTTTGATGTAATGTCGTTGCCATGCGAAGGCGTTGCCTTCCATGGATAACAGGAGCAGTTTCCCTCTTTGGTTTACTGATGTTCCTTCTAATTCAAAAAATTGCTCTGCCTTGGCTTGCCAAACCCTAAAGTTTGTGCCATCAAAATTGGGGAATTGGAGCTGTGCACGATGTAATACTAACGTAGTAGATTCGCTTTCATCGTCGTTCGGAGGTGGAATGTTGGTTCCTGCTGTTAACGCCGCCACGAAAGCTGCTAAAGTCTGCATAGTTTTCTGCATCGCCAACAATGTCGTATTCGTTTGTTCTTGTGAATCTGCAAGAGATTTCTCCAAGGATGCCACACGTTCTTGTGAATCTGCAAGAGATTTCTCCAAGGATGCCACACGCGTTTCGAGTTTCTTATTGGTCACCATGATCGTTGCCTTTCAACTGATACCAATTGTAAAGAAAGATTCTTACCTTTCCCTACCTCTCTCTTCTCTCTGATGTATAAAGATGAAAGAGAAACAAACTTCTTTTTCAATTTCTGAATGATGATTGACTTTACAAATAATGACTTATTTATAGCCTCTGGTCCCTACCTTTTATTTTGAAACTAACTGTTAAAAGATAAAACAGAATATAAATCTTATCTAATTTCCACTTTTATTGCAGAACTAACTATTAAAAGATAAAACAGAAAATAAATTTTATCTAATTTCTACTTTTATTGCGGAACTAACTATTAAAAGATAAAACAGAAAATAAATTTTATCTAATTTCCACTTTTATTGTGGAACTAACTATTAAAAATAAAACAGAATGACATATAACACTATCAGCCTCCACCACACCATATCCTCATCTTAACAAACCCTAAAACATCCGTGTGATTCATGCAGTTCACTTTGTGGCATCCGGTGAGCTCCTGAGCGCAGCCAACAATACCTTTTGGATTGCGACCATGTGGTTCGTTTCTACTCTCCATGCCTTTTCTTCAGTTTTTAATTTCTAGCCCCTTTTTAGGAGAATCAGTGAAATAAGAATAAATTTAGTTATAAAATCACAATATCTTGGAAATCACTCACGTTGTCTGCTGCATGCGAATGGGGAGCAAAGGAAATATAAACATAAGGATAGGATTGTTGCCGTTGATGCTGGTTGTACTAGCAGTAACAGTAATCTCTGTGTGATAACTCATCATTCCCTTGTTTAGAGAACTTTTGACACTAGTGGGTACAAAATTTTATGGATGAAGGAAGAAAGAGATAGGAGAGGAACATGTATAAGATAGGAGAGGACCTATGTATAAGATGGGAGTGAAAGAAAATATAGAAAAGAGGAGAGGAGAGGGTGGGGATGCAGGGAGAATACCTAGAGAAGAATGCAGATAGGGAGAAAAATAGAAAAAGAAAAGAGAATAATATGAGACAACACCAGTGATGTGAAAGAAATAAAGAGAATAAATGAATTATAAGTGACTTCTTGTACATATGTCACGGTATTAAGAAGTATAGATCACTTTTTGACATTCCTGGATATCATTTAGGTTCGTCAGATTGGGAGAGAAAAATTAGAGAAATAAAAGGCTATTCTATTCTATAAGGGGAAAAAGTAACCACAAACATTAAAAACTCTACCTCCTAAACAGAGTAATAAAGGAAACAAATTTGTCATTTTAGCCTGTAGATTTAAAATATAAGCTAAAAAGAGAGAACTGTAAATTCAACAATTTTTGCATTCCATCCATTATTAAGCCACCTGAATAAATTGGGAGTGTTGCTGTCTCAATTAAGCTTTTTGTTCTTCAAGGAATTTTCAAATGCGTTAGTTTGTGTATTTTGTACATGCCATCATATGCATTTATTTCCTAAGGCATTGCCTTGCGGTCCAAAATAATTGACTTTGTCTGCTGTAACAAAACCAGCATACTCCACCCTCAAAATTACTAGGGATATGCAGTACTTTTGAATTTGACTCAGTTAATTCTAGTTCCTCTTTGTTGGTTGTAAGTAGAGGCTCATTATTGTAAGTCATTCCCTGCATATGGCTAATAGTATTATTTAGGAAAGCCGTTTTCAATCTCTAAGTCTCTTTTGGCTGATCATTTTGCTCACAAAATACAATTCAAGACTCCTAACTACTAATGAAATTAATTTCTCCAAAAAATACATCAAATTATTAGTATGTAAGCAGCATCCGTACAATCTGTTTAGGACTAAACCAATTAAGCTACATTTGCGACACTTACTTGGTTTTTCCCTTGGAAGGCATACAAAATTGAAATAGAAGTGGAACTAAACCAATTAGGCTGAGCTCAAGTTCAGAAGAACACAACAGGTAACCCTAATTCAGCAATTTAGTTCTAACTAACTTATACTTAGATACAATTATGCTTCTTTATAGCATATACCAATTGAATCTGAGATGATATATCATATAGAAATCGACTATAGCAACTATCACAAGTGGAGAAGAAAACAGAGAAATAATATTGTAACCGTATTTAGATGAAACCAATGAATGCAGAATAACTATAGTTTATTTTCCATTGTTCTAGAACAGTTGAGTAAAAAAACAAAAGCTGTAAAAATATTGACTTACACTTTTTTTGGCAAAGTTGCATATATGATACCAAATAACAACCATGCTTGATTTATTTGTCATATGCACAAATTCCAAAGGGAAATAAAACTCTCTCTCAAAGTGGGACAATATATCTTTAGACGGCAAGACATGTAATAGCCTAGCATATGATGCATTTGGTAAAGAAGAAAATAAGGCTAAATTGTTTATTTTTTTTACATATATGTAAAATAATATAATAAGCATTTAATTTGATGAATCTAAGGACTTCTCGTTTCAAAGAAATGATTATTTTTGTTTAAAGGCACCCATAATAAGACATTTTATGCCCTCAAATTACACATGAAACTTAACATTTTATATTTGCACATCATGCTATGCTTTTCTTATATGTAAACTCCATATATTTGGCAATCTTTATTCTTCTACAGCACACATGCTTTTGTTTGTTCAAGTCATAAATTTACAACTATTTCATTTTTATATGGAGGAAAATTATTTTAATAATTTTTTAAAAATAATTTCACTATAATTTTGCTACTAGATGTTAAAAGAAAACACAGTAATAAATAGATAGTCATTATAAGATGAACTTGTTAATTTGTTACTTTATTTACATGTTATTTTGAATACACGCTAAGGAGAAGCATGAATTATGCGAAGTCACGGGACCATAAAAAAAATAGAAGTAATGCTGTGTTTGTCTTTGTGCCTAAATCACTTTGTATTGGACCAATGCACTGGAAACACTGTCTGAGAGGCACGTCCCATGAACTTCATCTACAACAACAGCCTCTATTTTGTTTTGATTCACACACAGTACGTTATGCTCTGAATTCATAGTTGATCATGACAAATCATTTTTTTATATTTTTTTGAAAAATTGTTCTACAATCGAAAGAAAATTGGTGATATGAATTATGATGAGTTCTTATGTTTCTTGTGACAGATCTTATATATATTATATGATTGTGAATTTCATTAATTTTCAAGTTAATGGTAAGAATATCTATAATGGGAGTTGCATATAAGAACTCAGAAACCCCTTTCAACACTACTCTTGCTGATCAGAGACTTTACATCCAAATCAGTAATCACTTGTTTTCCTCTGTCAGAGTTGCTGTCACATTAAAGGGGTTTGAACTTGAGAGAGAGGGTGTGAAGTGAGTCACTAGGTGTTGTTCCTATCTTTTCTTCTTCCTCTGCACTCTTGTTCTCTACATTGGGTCAGGATGACATCTTCTGAGACCCTTACATTCATGGAGCTAGCCATACACCAGGTAATGCTTTGAAAACATTTTATAAGCATTCATTTTTTGTCTTCTTCCTGACAGCAGTGGTAGTGTTGAAACTGTCCATTTAAGCCATCTCTCTCCCTGACATATTTGATTCTGCTTTCCTTACATACAGCAGTTCAAATGTATGTTCTGGTATTTTTTTGAACCTTAACATAGCAGTTAAGTTGTGCCTTTTAGAAACATCTATGCACATGCTAGGACAAGGTTGCATACAACCCTCCCTCGCACCTTTGCATAGCAAGGAGCCTTCTGCCATTGTGTAACACTAGTTTTAGTTGTTATTATTATTTTTTTTTTTTATTATTTCATTTGATCGAACTCCTGTTATTTCTTGTTATTTCTTGTTATTACTCTTCTTTATGTGACAGGCAAAGTTAGCTTTGGATGTTCTTGAAGTGCCTGTTGGGTAGGTTACTTTCACAATTTCGTATTACTTGAATAGTATTGGAAGTGTAACTTGTATTTGATAAAGGTGTTGTTATGGTTGGAAAGTGTTAGGCAAGGTTGTTGACCAGTATCCACATTCATCACTGGTGCTAGCTGATTGCATTAAGATGAGGAAATGCATGCTATGATAATTAGATATTTTGTTAGATGGTTGAAATCAGAAAATATTGTAGTATTTAAGTATCTAATGGCTGAGGAAGAAGGAAGAGGGTGATAATGATTTAATGTTACAGAAGATGACTCCTTGTACCATAAATATATCTTAAGAATGCATTGGAGAGTGTGGGCTAAATGGATCTTGGTGTTATGGTGACTGTATACATGTCAAAAGAGGGTGTAACAAGAAGTTGCTTAATCTTTTAATTGGATTTGGGACATGTCGCAAGATTCACATGACTCCTATTTAAAAGACCCAGTGCTGATTAAACAAAAAGTCAATTATATGCATCGGTCGCTAAAGTAATTTCAAGTCAATATCAATGGGATTTTATGGAACAAAAGCAGAGTTACATTGACTAGAAACTGAAAATATTAGGAGTGTTATATTGATCACTTAATCCTTGAGGTTCTCCCACTTAATGGACTAGTCTTACGGGTCGGACACTCCTCTTGTACTAACATTCTAACAATTGGTGTTTTCATTAAGAGTTTGATTACGGAAAAGGCTACCTGTAGGTTGGATTAAAGTGCAACCGGAATACTGATAGGTGAGTGAAGCTGTAAGAGGAAAAAAGGCTACCATTGGGTCAGTGTCATAGAGTGAAGCTATGTGGATACCGGCCCTTAAAGGGGATGCAATTTTAGATGTTCCATATTGAATAGAACATGTTACATGATGCGATACATAAGCCTTGAGGTACTCCACCTAATGGACTAGTCTTTTTCGGTTGAACTCTCCTCTTGTCCTTTATGTTCTATCAGGAAACATGCTACGGGATGGTGATTCCGTTCTAGGGTCAAATCAATGTCTTCTAAGAATAAATATTTAAGTATCATTTATGGCTTATGGTATTATACAAAATCCAGTCAATTGAACTGCTATTTGAATTTAGATATGAATTCCCTTTTTCTTTGGTACTTTTACATTGGACAGTAATAAGAAAAAGGTTTTAGCATGCATAGTCAGAGATTAATTTATTTGATAATAATGTCTTATTGTTTTCTCCTTTAACATCATGTAACCTTGAGAACAAGGTGCATTTAACATTTACTTGTAATTCCTGGTATTGTTCCTATCATTTGTTGAGTGTAAAATTGGCTGATGAGAACCCTTGTTCGTTCATCATCTTGATTGTATTATGCATTAAATTGATTGAAGATATTATGTCTATCATTTTCATTGGAGCATTATTGCTTTGGTTTGCTCTTTTTATATAAACTGTATTTGTTCCCAGATGTGTAATTGTTGAGGATGGCAAGGTTATAGCCTCAGGCCGGAACCGAACAACTGAGACACGAAATGTAATTTTATCGATGACCTCTTTTTCTGTTTCCATGCATATATTTTCTATCCTTTGGTTTATATTTAGCTGCTCCTTTGATAAATTTTTTTTTATAACTGGATTACTTTTGAATTCATACTTTTCTACTGAAAACTTAATGAAATTTGGTTTCTATAAGTTTATTTTTCCTGGATAGAGGCATTATTAGCATATATCTCTTCACAATATAAATGGTAACTAAATTGCAAGTGAAATTTAAAAAATGTATGGTTCTCAAAGTAAGTAATGAAGTCTTCTTTGGTATATTATGAAAGAAATCAGAGAATGTAAAATAAGTATTTTCTGGGTATTCACTCCATCGTTATGAACGGTAACATGAGAAAGAGAATTTCTACAGAAAAATGAGAAATATAAAGCTTGGCTGGCTCATATGCCTCTGTACTTGACTGGAGTAAATTTCTTATTAACTGAATGCCCAACATTTATTTGCGTGAATGAAAATTTGAGGAGTATTTATAAAAATTAAACACATGTTATTAAATTTTTAGTTAGAAGAGCCAGATACATAGTAAAAACTAATTTAACCCTCCTACTCTGGCCTTAAAAACAATAAAATATTGATTTCTAGTAAACACACAGTGCACTCTTCAAATGACAGAAAACATTGAAAATTTGATAATTTGTGAGAGTTGAAAACATTTGTTTCCAGTGGTAATAGGTTTATATTTGCACGGAATTTACATGTGGTCTTTTTTGCATTCTGTTATTATGAACTTGAATGAGTGATCACACAACTTGTTAATATTTGTTTTCTCTATGGCCCTGAATGTGATTCTTAGTGAAGTACTCGCATAAAGAAAAATATTTGATTGTTCTAGTCAATTTTTTTGTTATTAAATAAAGGTAAACAAAAAACTTTCATTCTTTCTTCCACAATTCATTAACAGTTATTGCATGTTTCACACCAAAGATTTATGCAATTCTTTATTCATACTTCTCTTTGGCGGGTCTTCCTTAATATAATCGTCATATTGTGTGGTCCATGAATTGCTGTTCCTATCAGGCTACAAGGCATGCAGAAATGGAAGCTGTAGACGTGCTTTTAGTGCAGTGGCAGAAAAATGGACTTTCAATGTCTGAAGTTGCTGAAAATTTCTCAAACTGCAGTCTTTATGTTACCTGTGAACCATGCATAATGTGCGCATCTGTTTTATCAATTTTAGGTATGCTCCTATAGTTTTCAGTCGATCAATCTATAACAGTTGCACTCTTTATATTGTCATTTCTAATTCATTTATTTGTGTATCATTTCAGGTATAAAGGAAGTATTTTATGGTTGTTCAAATGATAAATTTGGAGGCTGTGGATCGATATTGTCATTGCATTTAAGTAACTCCACACCACTCAATAAGTATGTCTCTTAACTCAACACAATCTATGCAAGCGTTATCTTGATCTATTCTACTTTTTTTAATTACTATTATTTTGTTGGGATAAAGTGATTTACTACTATTATTTTTACTTTGTTAGTAAAAATATTAATGGATGTTTGTTGTTGTTCTTTCTTACATCTGTCCGTGACATACACTAATGTACGAAAATAAATAATTCTATTTTTCTTCTAATAAATAGTGAGGTTTCATCCGGAAAGAGTTTCAAATGTACTGGAGGTATAATGGCATCAGAAGCTGTCCTTCTCTTTCGAACATTCTATGAACAAGGAAATCCCAATGGCAAGTTACTTTCATCTTTTGTTACTAGTAGACAAAACCTTCTAAAGCTTTCAGATATTGCTAATATGTGGTCCATAATATAGCCCATAATAATAAATATTGCTTATGCCCTTTTTCTTTCTTATCAGCTCCAAAGCCACACAGGTCTCTAGCACCTCAGGCATGAAGTCTAATTTGTTATCACCAGGTTGGTATCCATTATTTCTTTGTACAAGGTTTTTTATTATTTATGGCTGAAAATTTTTTGTTACTAATTCGCTGGTTTGAAATTCTATTCTGTCTTGTAATAGAATATTTGTTGACAGTTGCTGCTATGGTTATCTGTCATGAACCGGGAATCTGCGCTACCGTAGAGCATAGTGAGCGGGTTCAAGCTGGTGTTGAATATCATACAAAGCCTTTCAATTCTTACTGGAAGTTCTAACTAGTTGCAAAATGGAATTGAAGCTTTTCAATTTTGTTAAATATTAAGTTCCTCGAAGGTGAAGTGATTTCCATTTTATTGTATACGTAATTCGTGGTTATTGTCTAATTGATGAAGGAGAACGAATAGAATAGTATTGCCATTTCATCTTTCTTTTTGGGATTGCTCGTTCAGTCTATTATGCATATTCTTTACCTAACCTACCTCTATTTGTCAGTTCTACGAAGAAAATATCCACACTGATTATTGACTTTCAATGGTCTAAAATTAAGGGTTAGGTTATTTTAACAAGTGGTTAGGCATGATTTCCAACTTTTTTAATCGTTTTTATCTCGTCGAATTAAAAATTAAATTTTTATTTTTATTTTTGATGGATTTCAAATTTTCTCGTTTAATATTATTTAAAAATAATAATTATATTTATAATAAATTAATATTAATATTTTATATATTTTTTACACAAATAATTTTTTATAATTTGTAATAATTATTAATTAAATATATATTTTAATTTATTGTATTTATATTAAAATATTAATATAAAAGAAATATTTAATTATTTTTTTATATAATACATATATTATTATTATTATTTATTCAAGCATTTGATTATATATATATATATATATATATATATATATATATATATATATATATATATATAAAGTTAATTTTTTTAAGTTGTCATTAAAAAATATGAAATATATAATTTATAAAAAATATTTAATAATTTAATTTTTATTTAATTAGTTCAAAATAATAAAAGTTTTAATTATTTTTTTTTAATTTTTAAAATATAATTATTTTATTAAAATGAAATTTAATAAATAAAAAAATAAGAATAATAAGTTAATAAAATTTAATAAAGATAAATTATAAATAAAATAATAGTAGTTATTACTAATATTTATGTAAAATATTTAGAAAAAAATAAAGGAAAAAAATTAATTTTATGTTAATCAAATTAGTTGAAAAAATTGAAAAAAATCAAATTGTTGGGAAAGATTAAGGAAATGAGAATAAAATGAAAGATAATTAGTTTGATTTTTTTCAATCAAATTTGGAAGAAAGATGGATTGTCTCTACTAAGTGATTAATTTTACATTTAGCTTTCAATTTTAGTGAGTGATAATTTACTGTATACATTCTTTTATCACATTGATTAATATTTATTTTATAGAGACTCTAAGGTTCTAACATAAAATCAATTGACAATATGTTGAGTAACGTAACATGTATTTAAATCATACAAAATGACATGAGATAGGTGATGTGAGACTTTCAACACACCCCCTCTAACAAAGCCTGCCAGACCAGGTAAAGGGTACTTTTGATCCAATTAAAGGGCAACTTTTGGCCCATGACAATAATCGGAAATATGTTAGGCTTTGACTCTGATACCATGTTAAGGTTCCAACATAAAATCAATTGACAATACGTGGAGTAGCGTAACATGTATTTAAATCATACCAAATAAGATGAAATATGCCACGTGGACATTCAACATTCACAAAATCAAAAGAAAACTTCATTTGTCAATCATTATCTTGGGAGCAGGTAATAAATTATAAGGATAAAAAAGTTATTATTGCATTACTTATTACTTTTTAGTCAGTGAATAGTAAGGAGCAGTAGCCAGTGGAACATTTATTCTCTTGTCCATGTTAAATTTCTCAGGGCACAAGCCTGTTAGTAAAAAAATGCTCCGTGTACGGCTTTATAATTATGTTTGCCTTGACGTACAGTCCCAATTTATGAAGTGACGTGATAACGAATATGTATCGTGAGGAAGCTGGTGTTAAATTGGTTAGCTTCAAAACAATGCAAGGTGATAAGAATTAACTGGTATTCCCCTGGTTTCATAAATTTTCCAATCAAAGTTATCATTCAACCTTTTCCCTTAACACAGCTGTGGGTACATATACAATGGATGGTTCATTAGCATGGGATTCATCTGAATCCTTTACTCTGAACCTTTGAATTGTAGTTAATTTTTCCTTCATACTATCTAGTTTTTGCTTCAATTTGCATAGTCTTTCAAATTCCAACTCTGCCGTCTGATAATCTCCTTCAAATGTAAAATTTACCAACTTCTTTTTTCTTTTCTTCAATAGTTTCTTCAAGCTCACATCATCACTCATCTCCATGAAGTCCTGAAGGGGAAAAACAGTGAAAACTTGTTAACTGAGGCCCATCCCAATCCAAAATAATTACAAGTGCCAAAAACTATATAATGGAAACTGCTAAGCTAACAGACATAGGCCATCATTTCTAGTGATTTCAAGAAAAAAGAAATGTTCTGTCTATGGATGTGTTACTATTTCTCAAGCATACAATGCTTTTAGAACATGACACTACTTGAAAAGCACCTTGTTTCCATTTTCTCCTGGAGGTGGAGGAATCTCTGGTTGTCTTTTCTTGCTGGATAACTTCATCTTCTTTCTTCCAGTGACATCCTTCTGGGAATGAGTTGTAGTAATTTTCAAGCTCTTTGATTTCAAAGGATCACTATTCTCTTGATTTTGTAATGTGGAGTTCTTTGTAGAAATGATACCCTTAAGCTGAGTTGCTGCTCCTTCTGCTTGATGCTGAACAAAATCCACTCAAATTAGAGTTCATTGCAAATTCCAAGGACTAGAGAAGTTGACCATCTGACACAAAAGGAAGTCTTAAATCTACCAAAAATGCTAAGAGTACACTCTTGCTCTTCCCATTAAGACAAGAATTTTCATCATATAATTTTCAAGGCATCTATCTGTTTTCAATCATCAGGCAATGCCAATTATATGATCTTAGTTATTGTAATAAAAAATTACCACAGATCTTCAAGTTAAAGCTTGATATTTGTTCAAAATCAATTTTATAAGCAAAACATTAAACACTTCTACGAACAACTAGATGATGTATAGAAGGAATGATGACAGTTATAAAAAGACTATTGGTGGGAGAATTTTTTTTATATAAGAAAAAGAAGACACAATTGACTTGCATAAATTGGAAGTGAGAGATTAAAATGTGGTTTACCTTTCTATTTTTAAGTGCTAAGTAACGTGCATTTTTGAACCATTTGCTGACCTGCATTTTCTATCACAAGTTAGTAACTGGAAGGTTGAACAGATAAAGAGTTTCTAGATATGCAAACAAAGAAGTAACTGGAACAATTATGGGGAGCAAGAAAGTGTGCATCAAGGGCAATAACTTCATAAGAAAATTCAGATGAGAGATAGACAGAAAGTAAGTCATCACCTTCTCAGTGTCAAGTCCCAGCTCTTTTGAGAGAGCCTCTCTAATAGATCTTGGAGGAAGTTCATTCTCAGCAAAAACTTGGCGAAGCTTCTGGCTCATTTCATAAGAAGATGAAAGGAGGATAAATTAAAGCACATTCAACCTTTTTATATATAAAATGACCAAGTGTTTCTAGTAGTACCTGAACAGCATCACGCGGAATCCTAAAACAATGCCTTTTGACATTTACGCTTGAAGAATCTTTTCTAGTCATGTGCTCATTATTGGGGTGCCTATTCTCACTTTCGTGCAAAGTCATAAGAGAATCAACAGCATCACACTCCTTTTCTCTTCGCTTTCTTCGTCCAGGACCCCAGTCTTCATCTTCACTCAATTGTTCATATGCAGGAGCATCCTTTCCAAACATTTCCTGAAAAAATGAACTCAGATGAAACTTCTTTTGATAATCTAAACTATGCTCAGATTAGGACAGCAAACAAAGCAGAAACTCTATATTTTAGTGGTGTTTTGATGCATAATGATTATATCTGTCTACATCACATTCAAAGGTAAGTCATACATCTATCTGGAATACATGTTCTATGTCATTCCACTAAAGCCTAAAGAGGAGTCAGAAATATTTACCAACCCCATTCATTAAAATGGACATCAGGATAATTTACCAACCCCATTTGGACAGGAATTAGTAACTTCTATATCATCACTGTTGAAGCTTTAAAATTGAGAACTTTAACTAGCTTTTCTGAAAGATAACTTCATATACTTACATCATAAAGTTGCTTGTAGTCCACAGCTTTTCGGTGCCTACGCCCACAGGCTTTGTCCTCATACTCATCAGAATCTATGCTACTATTGACAAAAAAATATTCATGACTGACACCATCCACTGGAGAATATTCACCACCAGAATAACACAGACTGGTAGAACTACTAAAATCATCAGATGAACTATCATTTGTTCCTTCCATGTTGATATTCTGGCTGTCTTCTTTCCTCTCTGGGTCATAATCATCATCTTCAGAATCATCTGACGGCCATTCTTCTTCAGGATTCATTAATGCAGTCTCACCATCAGGTATAGCAGCCTCTTCTTTGAACACATCCTTTAATTATGGCAGAAAGGAATTATTAGTTGAACCAGTAGGAATATATGGATTTGAATTCTTTAAAATGAGAGTCCCCTTCAGAGAACAAAGTCCAACAGACACTAGCTGATGAGAAAATTGGGGCAGTACATTATCGCACTTACATGTTTTGTTACACACACGTTTGTATTTTATAAAATTCTAAATTGATTTTATATGCAGAGAGAGATGAAAACAGAAAAATAAATGGTGTTAAGAGATTATAAGGTTAACACCTGCCAAGCACTATGCAAGGAGAAGTGAGTTCCAAGATGAGCATTCATTGCTTCCAGTATTTCCATCTTACATTCACAAAATTTACAAAACCAGTCTCCAAGAGGAGCTGCAATATATATTAAACAATTAATTTATTAATGAAGTCAAAACACAGGAAGTTGCAACTTAAATAACAATTTTTTATCATATAATGGAACTCACCATTTTCAGTGTCTAAAGGAGGGTCTAAACATTTTTGGTGAAAAGCACGCTTGCATGTGCCATCACATCTTATAACATCATTATCTGGAGCCTCTTCACGCATCTTGCACTTGGCACATATTATCTAAATGTAGAAAATAGAAGAGTGAATATACTGTTTTTAAACTGTGCCTTGTCATTCCATACATAATACATGATACAACTTGACGTCAGAAAGTGCATGAGAGATGGTTTTTCATTAGCAAAATAAGAGAAGGTATGAAACAGGTTCACAAGTATGAAATGGAAAGAATTCAGAAACATTTTAATGCAATGAAGTATTCAAAGTGTTGATACTTGCTCACATGTTCATAGAAACCAGATCCATGTGGAGGAATGGCAGAATCTTCAATGCTACTCACTGAACCAAGAGAATCCAACTGGCGAATGGCATCACGAATACCAAGTCTACATTTTAAAATCTGCTTCCTTGCTCTTTGTAGCTCCTTTTCTGGCCTAATCTTTTCTCGACTGCAGAAGGAGTTCCCATCAATGCAAAAAACAGAATAATGATGAGCCACACTGCTATTTGTCAAGAGCTAGTGTTGATCAATAGATAATAATTTTTTTAATGTTAGATCACACTTCATTGCTGCAAGCTGTTGTCCATGAAAAATGTTTAAAGAAACCAATCCATTCTGGTTTATAATAAACTATATACATATCCATACTAAGTTTTTTATGCAAAATATAAATTCAACTTAAATGAGTACATGAAAATTCCGGCTATCAACAAATTCAATTGATGTATTAATCTAAATAAACCAGTCATTTATCTATTTATATCTCCCTTGAATCATATAATCTCCTATATTTTTCATGGGATAAATTTCAACTGACATAGAGCATACAACTTTTATAATAACATTAACAACAATCAATTAAATCAACTAAAAAGTAAAATAGGTATGTTATTCATCCAAACTTTTTAAACAAAAAGAGAGCTATATGCAAAGTTATCCCATACCTCTGACCTTTCCAACCTTCTCCAGAGTAAGCATCAATAAGGTTCTGCTCTAGCTTCATTTTGATTAAAAGATACCGTGTTCTCCTCTGCAGGCGTGAAGGATCATCAAGATCCACGTTATTCCTCTGTCTTTTCTTCTTTCTCTTTCTCTTCATTTTTTGAAGCTTTACCTCCCCATCAGCATTTCCCCCCTCTTTTCTAGAGTTAAGAGAAGCCTTTTTGACTTGCAACTTTGAGGATGGCTTCTGTGAAGATTTTTTGTTCTTCGAAGGCAATTTTTGTCCAGTAATCAATTTCTTATCTGCAGAATCCTTACGTGGCCCTTTGATCTTGAGGGAACAGATAACCCTCTTCTTTGATACGTCAACATTATTTGTGTAAGATTTTGATTCCACTTTCACTTTATCCTTCTTCCCCTTCGTACGTACCTTCAAATGACCAAATTTTTTAGATCCTTTGTTGTTTAACTTCTTCACACTATCCCGCATACTGATATGTTATGTGCCAATCCTGAAACTTAAGCACAAAACATTAATTTTGTAGAACAAAAGGACAACGATTGTACAGAAATTGTTCTTGGCAATGCATATTAAGTTGCTCGTTATCCACGGTGCAAGTATAATTACTCAATTACCTTTATCATTCGCATAGAAGAAAAATGCTGAGTAGTAAAAAAATGGGCATTACAATTGATCAAATTCTTAAAATCAAAACAGGATGGAACAGTGCCAAACATTGTATGAAATGGGCAAAGAACAGTTGAGCAATATGAATATGAGTACTACTCGTCGAAAGAACATTGAATCATGAATTACATGACGAGTTCAGCAAAATAGAAAAGTCAAGATAGATGTTTAGGACCTGATCGTTAGAATCACAAATCAGTCATCCTCAGTTATTCAAATCGAGAAAAAAAGCACTTGTGATAAGCAGAAGAACGCACACAAAATACCACAAGTACTACAAAAGGCCATGATACCACGAGACAAAAGACCTTGACTTTGAATCCAAATGTCAAACCCCACAAGAGTTTGAGGCAAAAGAAACAAAACCAACCTGTGAGGGAAGAGGAATATGGTGAAAGATCAGAACTTTGTGAGGTCTTGAAAGGGTGTGAACATGGTCTCAGTGCAGGAGTTGGAAGGTTTGAATGGGTGAAGTTTGATTGAGAGATTGGTTTGAATTTGAAATTGGGCCTCAAATTCCCAATGTTGATTGATGAAACCAGTCGCCCCAAATAGCCACCCCAAGCGCCACCAAAGGTTAGCTTCTTGTCATGTCGCCATTCCCATCTATTCTATGAATCTCTCTGTCTCTCGTTCTTCCTCTTTTCTCTGTTTGTGTGTGGTTTTATTGCAGAAGTAATTGTGGCAGAATATGAAACGAGAAACAGAACAACATTGATTTACTCTTTGAAAAAAAAAAAAAAAAATCATATTCTTTGGTGAATCATAGCCACTGTTGCCTATTTTGTGTAGCCAATGTGTGTCTCAGCTCGTCAATGCAATATAGGAAGCAAAAAGTGCTTGATTATATGCAAGCAGAGAATGAATCTTTGTGTGATCTCCTCATAGATTTAGTCTAGCACAAAGAAATTACTGATATAATTTACTGTCATATTGTTTGCAACAAATTTTTACATACTAATGTTGCAAAGATTAAAACGGGAACAGCAAATAACAAAATTGATTTTATTTGTTTTTTTCTGAATAATGTTTTTATATCATTTATCTCTCCCGTTTTTTATACATTAGAGATGTTGTTGTTCTCCACTAATTTGAAGTTGATCTCATTCAAGATAAAGAGAATACCAATGTTTGTTATGAAATCATTTTTGTGACTGTTGTTAAGAAGCAAACTTTATTTAATAATATATTCAATATTGTTTGTAACTTTTTTTATTCTATATTCATTTTTTAACCTTTTTTTTATATGCCTAGTAATAATTAAAAGTTTACTAAAATATCTCTTAAAAAGCTACTTTAGCATACTAAACAGTGTTTAATTTTGTTCCATTCGGAAATAAACCAATATAAATACATAACAAACGTTTCCTTTCAAAAATTACTTTATATATAATTAATCGTATTTTGAATAATTTTGAAATAGTTGTACCTTCACACCAATTTCAAAGGATTGTATTAGTACATTTTTGTTTTGAAAAAATATTTATTTATGGATCATATTAGATAGATACATAATGTTGAGGATGAAGCAACACTTGTGATTCTAAACTGAATGAAATAATTTGTGAAAGTTGAAAGATGAAATGAAACACCAACACAATGTGAACAGAACCCTAGCACTTGAAAATGAATAATAGGGTCAAACTCAAATAATCCAACTTTCCTAGTAAGCTGGGAAAAGGAGGAAAAAGGCATTTGTTTGAATCCATGGGACTTCAAGACTCAGAAGTAATCGCACTTGGCAAATTTTTGCCAAAAAGTGATTCGGGTGCAAGGATAAGGACCACATTTTCACATCCTAATATAAAATATATTTTCCATCTATTTATTAATTTTAATTCATAGTTTAATTTTCTTGTTCTAAATTAAAGATATTTCATTTCTTTATTTTGAAAATGTGACATTAATTTATTATAATATTAATGTTAACTTTCACACTGATATTGTATTAAGATTTATTTATTTATTTCAAAGTGATTGGAATAATTTTAATATTCATACACATATTTGTTATTATTTTACAACAACTCAAACAAAATTATTTCTTTTTTAGATTAAAGTCCCCGGGTCAATTTGGTATTATTTATAGAAGCTGAGAGGAGAGTATGAAAGAGTAGGAATGAAGTGGACAGAATAATTTTGTGAAAAAAGAGAGAGTGAAATTCACATTTCTTGAAGTTATGAAGAAAATTATAAAAGTTTAATTTACAACTATATTAACATAATTTGAACCTAATTGATTATATTTAAAAAAAGAAAAAAAAACTAAACAACTTTCTCTTTGTTTTTTTATATACAATTGATTATATTAAAATATGATAATATCTTCTTTTTATTTGTTATTAAATTGTTTTTCATTTTTTTTATTTTTATATGGCTAATTTATAGTTTTAATAATATAATGATAATAATAAATAATAAATAATAAATAAATAGTTTTTTTCTTACTTATTTTCATTTTTTTCAACCAAACAACTTCTATTTTCAATTTTGTTTTTCTTTGACTTTCTTTAACTATTTTAAGATAGTGAAATTTGTTTATGTAAATAAATTCAAATTTAAGTATCTGAAGTACAATAACTAAAATTTCTTTTCATTGACTTTGTTTGAAAAATGAAAAGCTGCAGCTGGTGACGTGACTTGTTCGAGTTTCATGCGATGTAATGTAAGAGAAGACGATGAAGATTGGTTTGATGTATTTCAAATCCAATCAATAAGCATAACATAAGATATTATTATTATTATTATTATTTTTAGATTTTACTTAATCTTTGTACTTTTATTAATATGAAATTCTGGTATTAAATACATGACTGATGGGATTTCAAAGTAGTTAGAGATATTATAATTTTATAATGATAATGTTATCTTTTATTAAAACATATGATTACCGAAAATTATGTTTACTGTCTTAAAAAAATATGTGAGTGATTAATAATTGCGGATTGAAAATTTTGATGAATTTTCGAATTAATGATCCAATATTATTATTGTTACTATTTTTAAATTACTTTAATCCGATAAATTAATGAAATAAGGTGCGAATAAAAAATGTTAAAAAAAAACAAAAAAAAGGGAGGTAAAAAAGTAATAATACGAGGAACCATATTTGTAACGTGAGAGAAGCATAGGCTGTGGTGTGCAACGTGGATGATGAGACACCGAAGCCATGGTTGGATGCCACCTGTAAACACTGAAAAGACTCAACATTTTGGTGATTTTGTCTTTGAGCTTAAAGCAAAACGGGACCCTGGTTTTTCTGTTTTATTGAAAATCAATATTATTCACAAACTGTGGTCAAATATTTCCATAAATCAGTTAAGGGTCGTAGGACCGAAAACTACCAAAATACCCTTTGGTCGTTGGTTCTTTCTTTTTGCCGTTGGAACTTGGAACACAATACAGTGAGAAAGAAGAAGAAGAAAGAGGAAAATATCGTTCCTCATCTTCCTTCTCTCTTTCCATCAAATTTTAATTATTTGGTGAATGGGAACGTTCCGGAGCTTAAGAAAGGCCTACGGTGCTCTCAAAGACTCCACCAAGGTTGGCCTAGCCAAGGTCAATAGCGAATACAAGGTTCGTTATTTCATTTTTCATCAATCTATGTATTTTTCTACAGAATAATCTTCTAGCTCAATTGATTTAATTTTTCGGGTTTTCTCTATTTTGATCTTGTTATTTATTTTTATTTTTTTAAGGATTTGGACATTGCCATCGTGAAGGCTACCAGTCATGTAGAATATCCTCCTAAGGAACGTCATGTTAGAAGTGAGTTCTCAGATTTTGTTGAATATTTATATATAATTGAAAATTATGCCTTTCTTTGTATATTCGTCGTGAAATTAGGAATAACAAGATTTGAATAATTAATTTTCGATCCATTATGGTTCAATTGCATAGCTCTTGTTGCTTGCATTGGAAGAAATTATAAATGAGATCATAACCATAATGCCAAAGTGGGATCTTTATTTGTTCTGTCTTTGCAGAAATATTCTATGCAACTTCAGCACACCAACCACGGGCAGATGTGGCGTACTGCATACATACACTTGCTAGGAGGCTTTCAAAGACACGGAATTGGATAGTAAGTCCTCTAAAAAACTGTCTGAATACATTAACAGCAGAACTATGTTTGGATAAAATTCGAAAACGTGGTTGTGATAAATTCAATTTACGTTTCCGAATTTCATGACACAAAATGAAGAAGAATGGGTTTGAATGGTGCTTTAAAAATATAAGTACTTAACTAGCATCCGAACATATAATAAACAAACAATTGTCATTTTGTTTTTCTTGTGCGCATGAGGTAAAATGTTGTGTTTTTGAACTGTGTTGATAAGATGTTGTCATGATTGATTTCTGTATGAAGATAACAAACTTAGCATATATAAGGGAAAAAAGGGAAATGGGAATGATATAATTATCATCAATCAACCATCACAAAAGCTTAAGTTGTTTAGTGAAAACAAGTGAAGGATTTTAATATCGTATTTCTAATCATCACGGCGGCATTTATGGCTCTAAGCCTCCACTGCCCTTACAGACCCTTGTAGAAAGTAACATTCTGGTGCTAAATAATTCTAAGGTTCATTTATCGTTGATGAAGAGAGAGGGAATGTGATTTGCACACAATTATTGTTTTTAACAGAATAACGACATGTCACATGACAGGTTGCTGTAAAGACATTGATAGTCATTCATAGAATACTGAGAGAGGGTGATCCTACTTTCAAAGAAGACCTCATAAACTATGCCCGCAGGGGACGTTTTCTTCAAATATCCAATTTCAAAGATGACTCTAGTCCTCAAGGTAGATAGATCAATGAGAACCTCTTGTTATCGAGTTTACTTTCATTCTATGCTTATTACTATATTTCTCTATGCAGCTTGGGACTGTTCTGCATGGGTTCGAAGCTATGCACTATTTTTAGAAGAAAGGCTTGAATGTTTTAGAGTCCTTAAATATGATATCGAGTCTGAGCGTTTAACAAAATCATCACCCGTTATAACGAAGGTGTGTGCTTTACCTTTCAATTTTATTCACACATTACTTGTTCCATGAGGCTTTCATTACTAGATATAGAAAATTAGTAACTTTTAGCTTTGACAGGGACATGGCAGAACACGGTCCTTGACTAGTGAAGGGCTATTGGAGCAGCTGCCTGCGCTGCAGCAACTTCTATATCGCCTAGTTGGTTGTCAGGTAAGAATTTATGTAGAAAACTTTGATTTGATATATCCATGCTCTGTATCTGTTATGCTATAACTCTTGCTATTGAAATGACTGCATTTTATTTCCCTTAGATAGATAATAACATGTAATTTTCTTGCAGCCTGAAGGTTCGGCTTTCAACAATTATCTAATACAGTATGCACTGGCCTTGGTATGCTTGTTTAATTTGTACTTTTCACACAATAGTACTTCTAAGTATTATCTCATCATATGTTTTGTATCAATTGTATAACTGAATAAAATTAGTCAAACATCTTTTTCCTAAAAAGAAAAAGGAGTAACCTGTTCATGTGCAGAATTCTGGATATCATATCCTTGCAAAATGAGCACATGGGGTTGGTCTAACTGAAAGAACTAGTTAATGTAGTGACTAAAATTTGAATTTCTTCTTGAAAAAAATAGTTACATTTAGTGTCATGCAGTATTTCAAGAAAAATTAGCTCCGAAAGAGAAAACAAAAAATTATCCTTGCTAATGATGTTTGAAGATTTGAGATTTGAGATTTGAAGAATACATATAATATTTGAAGATATGCAAACCAACGAGATTTGAGATTTTAGAATTATGTCCCTATACTATTTGCTAATGATAACAATAGTCTTCAAAAGCACTCGTTAAAGCAATGGCTTATGCACTCAAGTGGAAGAATACATAACTTAGGTGTAGGTCGGCCGGATTACTGCTACACTCTGGATTGATTTCCTATGATGCAAAATTGTTTCAGCCTGATTCATCCTTATCTTCTGTTTCATTTTCATTAAAAAGTGTGACATGTTTAAAATAAGCTCTCATTTCAGAGACAGAAGTGAGAAATTTAATTGATTAAAAAATTAAGGTTCATATTATTATCACATGTAAAACAAATAATGGATTGTTAAAATACTGCTAATTTTTCCTTTTTTAACGGTTGCCAGGTTTCAACGTTTTTCGCCTGAAAGTTAACATATCATTTCAGAGGAGTCCAATCCTAACACACACACACACACACACACACACACACACACACACACAAAATAAAAATAAAAAAAATTCTTCTATTCTGGAAATCCATTCGCTGCGAGAGTTTATTGTCTAACTTTATTTTTCTGTTTCTGGAAATGTCATTCAGGTATTGAAGGAGAGCTTCAAAATATATTGTACCCTGAATGATGGAATCATAAATCTTGTGGAACTGGTAACGTCTTTTTCAGTTTAACATGTTCTTTCAGTTTAGCATTTGAATTTTAAACTGTACTAACTAATGAAAGTTGCAGTTATTTGATATGCCAAAATATGACGCAATCAAGGCGTTGCATATTTATAAAAGAGCTGGCCAACAGGTTTACAATGATGCTTTGATTTCCTTCAGATCCATTCTTTTGTTGTTTAATTTGAATTGTTTCTTGTGCTCAACGAGGCTTTCTTAATGGGTCATACGTGTTGAATTGATGATCATTCTAACTGTGCAGGCTGAAAATCTTGCTGAATTCTATGAATACTGCAAGAGATTGGACCTTGCTAGGAATTTTCAATTTCCAATCTTGAGACAGGTTATTTCTTGCTCATTAATAACAATATTTAATTTTATATCGTATACAGTTTCTCACTAAGATCTTTCTCCCAATAAACAGCCGCCTGCCTCTTTCCTTGCCACGATGGAAGAATACATTAGAGAAGCACCCTTGAATGCATCTAATAGACTGGTAAGAAAAAGTGGTACACAAATTTATTCGAGAAAGCCCGTGCCTTGTATGCGCTTTGTGTATGGCTTGAACGAACCAATATGCATCTCTTTCTAAACTAATATAATTGTAAATCTGGATCTGGTGAATGCAAAACAACTCCCTAAGATTGATTACAAAGTATAGGGCTTAGGACATGCAATATGGCAAATGAAGCTTAAGCCACTTCGTCAGAGAGTGGAAGAGCTTGGCTTTTAGAACGAAACAATGATTTCCCAGGACAATCTGGTGTGTGGAACTTCTATTCTTTCATGCGGAGAATAAGGTGTAGGGTCCATCACTCTAAAGCAGCTTAGCAATTGATAGAATAAATTTAAGACTTGATAATTTATTCTGCATTGGACTCTGGAATCAATTTTGCCACATCCATTGATATGGATAAGTAGGGCAACGGTGCACCGGCAGCTTTTTGCCTTTCCAACTTTCTTATCCATTCCCTCTAATTTGGGTAGGAGAAATTAAGTTTTCATCCTTTTAAGGTTGATTTCAAGTTTTTCCACCTTCAACTTATCCCCTTTTACATTATTGATAAAAAATAATTATGTTTATAATAAATTAATTTTAATTTTTTTATATAGTTTTTATAAAAAAATAAATATTTATAATTAAACAAATTTTAATAATTATTATTATTAATTAAATATATACTTTAATTTATTATATTTATATTAAAATATGTATGTAAAAAAAATATTTTATTATTTTTCTCTTTATACAAATATAAAATACTTATAATAATAATAATAATAATATTATTATTATTATTATATTATAACACTATATTTAAATATTTAATCATATATATATATATATATATATATATATATATATATATATATGTTAGTTATTTTTAAGTTGTTATTTTAAAACATTTATAAATATGAAATGTATATTTTATAAAAAAATATTTAATAAGTTAATTTTTATTTAATTAATTTAAAGCAATAAAAAAATTTAATTATCAATTTTTTTAATCTTCTAAGTACAATTATTTTATTAAGATAAAATTTGATATATAACAAATATAAATAATAAAATCTAAAAAATATAACAAAATAAAGCCTAAAAAAATTATAAATAAAATAACATTAGTTATTACTAAGATTGATGTAGAATATTTAAAAAGAGATAAAGAAAAAAAGTTAACTTTGTATTTTGATTGAAAAGATTGGAAAAACCAAATTGATTAATTAGACTAAGAAAATGTGAAGATGCAAACATAAGAAAAAAAGAATAATGTAATCAATTGACTGATCTAAGATATTGAAAAAGATAAATGTGTGAAAAATAGATGAAAAAAAAAAACAAAATATAAAAAATAACCTTATATATAATATAAAAAAAATATTTTTAAAATATTAATATTTTAGAATTTAAATTTAAATATAAAATCAAAATAAAAATAAAGTCAAAATGGAAATTATATTACTCGTCTTTATCCCTATCTCTCACTTTTTAAAATAGTAAAAACTCGAACTTGTCCCTACCTTCAATCAACTCAATTTTTTCCATTAAAATTGAGATGGAAACAAATCAATCCCATGAATATAAATTTAATTGTCATCCGTACAGAATAGAAGATTGAACAAGATAACAATATTTTATTATTAAATATCCTCAAACAATTTTGCATCTATGTCTAGTTCAAGTCAGGGCATATTTATATTGCATTTATGCCCAGAACATATTTGTAAGTTATGATTCGTTATAAATGCCATGGAACATCAGGAGCATCAAGAAAATGACCGATCACCTCAAAAGGAAGCAGAACCCGAAGTATCTGAAGAGGCTCAAGCAAATGAAAAACCAGATGAAGAAGTCAATGAGGAAGAACCAGTGGACAAAGATGAAACAGAGCCTAAGGAAGAGGAAGCTGAACTTCCTCCTTTGATATCAACTGATACTACTGATGATTTGCTGGTGTGTTTTTGGTCATGTGAATCGCATGAATGTTTGAGATGTTGGTTTGACGGAATATATAATATCTTTGTCACTTTTGCAGGGTATAAACGACATAAATCCAAAAGCCCAGGAACTAGAAGAAAGCAATTCTTTAGCGCTAGCAATTGTTCCATCCGGAGGTAAGAGTAATTGATAATTAACGACGTAAACTTCTATAGTGTATACATATAGAATGGTGATTGGAATTTGTTTCACTAAGAGATATTACATCGGGATTATCTTCCAGAGGCTCAAAGGATCACAATCTCTCTCTCTATGTGTATATATATATATATATATATATATATATATATATATATATATATATATATATATATATATCTTTAGATTTTGAAAATGGAAACTAAAATATATGACTAGTTCGTAAAGAAAACTTGTCGAACGAATACTCTTTATTTTTTCGTTTATTCGACAAAGCAGATGGGAGAAATGGGAGATGATTCATCTAAACCTGTAAGGGATAGCTGTGCCATTGCCATTTCTTGCTCACGTAGTAAGTCAGATACATAATTACCAGGACTTGATTCAAATAAACTTGTATTAATAAAAAAACCTCAATCGAGTCCATCGTTTAGCTGATCATTCTTGTTGTTTGATACTTGATTCAATACTAAGACTATGCAATTTTATGTAGGAAATAACTCAAGCAATCTTGCTTTGGCTAACATAAATGGAACGTCTGGTTGGGAACTTGCACTGGTTACAACACCAAGTAACCATTCAGGCCAAGTACCAGATCGCGAAATGGTTAGTTTTTACCTGCTTGTCATATTTAGTAGCTCATGTATATAAAAGACATCCCAATCAATATGGACATGTTACGTGCACATGCTACAACCAATGCGGCATAAAATGATAATTGTGACATTCATCTCACAGATTTTGCTTACAAGTACAATTTCATATATGTCAATAATAGTATAGATCTGTCTGAAAATGGCCATTACATGTATGTACCACATTCGGTCTCATATTAAGAATAGCTCATATTGTTTTCCATCTAACTCTAAATTAGGCTATGGTTTGTCCTTTGAATCTAAAAGCTAACAACACTATTGTTCTTTCCTCCCTCGTTTGTTGAGTCAGGCTGGTGGGTTTGACAAGCTATTACTAGACAGTTTGTATGAAGATGAAAATGCTAGGAGACAGCTTCAAGTCCGTAATGCAGGCTATGGATATGGGGGAATGGATACACATAATCCATTCGATCATCATAATCAACAAGATCCATTTGCAATGTCCAACAACATAGTACCTCCACCCAACGTGCAAATGGCATTCATGTCTCAGCAACATCAACAACAACAAATGATGTTCCACCAACAGCAACAACATAACATGATGATGGTCCCTTACCAGTATCCACAGACTCAATACCATCAACAAATGCCAGTTATGGGTTCTTTTAATCCATTTGATGATCACTTAACGATGCCTACCCCGGCTTATAATTCCATGAACCATCAAGGAAACTACCATTTAATGTAGAGTTCAGCTTCTCTCCTACTTAATCCTCCTCTTTTTCTCTCCCCAATACCCTGCCTATAAAGGATGCATTCTTTGTAAAGTAGGATGACACTAACTGTCTTAATCAAAATCTCATTCATCATTCGCCAGTGTATTTGACATGTACATTTTTATCTGCAACTATCGCGATTCATTTTTCTTAGCCATTCTAGAGTGCACCCTTTCAAGTTGAATCAAACGGTGCGTTTGAAAAATAAAGCTGCCTGAGGGATAATCCAAAGTTTGCAACTGGGTAATCTAGACAAGAAAATATGCTTCATTGATTATTATTCCAACTGAGAAATCAAGTAAACAAGTCTAATTGACTACTTTCATTCCATGTTTATTGATTCATTTATCATTCTTACCAAAACAACCTGGAAAACTGAAGTCAAATTGACTGCATTGTACATGCAGTTCAGAGCCCACTTAGAGAACCGTATAAATCAGGGTCACAGAAGCTAGAGGGGAAAAATTAGTCCTACACAAAGGATATAACCCGTAGTCTAACCCCCAAGAAAATCGTCTAGAACTAGCAATATACCTTTACCCATTTATGCCCAGTGTCAGGTTTATTGTGTTTACTGTGTCCCTTGAAAATGTCAACTAACTGGACAAATATAAATGACATTGACATGAATTGTGAATTTGACCAGAACCAGAACTGATTTTCAATGTGAAATTCATGTCCCACAAGCCAAACTAAAAAAAAGACAAGTGATCATCATGATAATAAGAGTAGATTAAAAAGTAAAAACGAACTGATGAAATTGAAAAGTAAACTTATTCTAACTCTTTCCTCTCAGCAAGCATGATCTGAAATTCAACATTAGTAATTTAGGATCCTGTATGGATGTAATGCTATGAATCTTTCAAGCTGAGTTTTAGTGTAGATTGCACGCTAGACTCTTTCAACAACACCAAATGGTTCTCCAGTCCAATTCAAGAACGGTTGACCAAGATCAATTAGTTACAATTAAAATCTCTTTTAACTATAACTCGCACATCTTAAGACTCATCATGGTGAGTTCATGCCAAAAAACAAAACTGTATGTATTTATTTTCAATTATTGTACAGCAAACTTTATAACTGAGAGAGAACGAGAGAAGTATAGAATGTGATGATGAATGATGTAGTGGAGAGAGATAAAGAAAAAATTATTGTATAAATTGTTGGATCAATAACAACTGTTTCAATTATAACACGAGAGAATACAAATCCTAAATCATAAAAAGGTTTAACATGACACCAGCGAAAAATATTCTACACAGGTTATTTTGAGTGCTTGGTCAGGATCCAAACTATATACAAACAACATTGAGATGAAAAAACGTGAGAAGAGTTTATCCCAAAACAACCAGTAGTACTTCACCTGTGCAGGAATTCCTATTTTCATGAACTGTCTTCTATGCAAGCAAGCTTCTTGGTGTTCAAACAGCTTATTTGTTTTCCACCCCAACCCTCTCATCAATGCAACCCTGAAAATAATTCACTATTTGGTCTCAGCAGGGTATCAAATAAGTACAATCAAAAGGCAATTCTGAAATGATATCATGCAAGATTCTGTGTAACTGCATTTGAAACTACGTTGAATCATTGAAAGAGGACACAAACACATACATTCCTGTTTCTTACTTGCTATCATGATCAACCTTCCTCATCTTCAGAGAGGGCAACGTTTTCAGTGGGTGCCATAACCTTGAGTTGCACAGTAACCTCGATCTTTCGTCGGGTGGCAGTAGCATTCCCAGAATCTTCAACTGACATTGAAGGAATAAAGAAAAGTGAATAAAGAGTAACAGGGTAGGTTGGTTGGTCTGAAGAGTGAGTGTGTGGAAAAAAGAGAACCTTGAATTAAGAAGGGTTGAGGGTGGATGAAGAATTTGTGAAGAAAAGGGGAGGGAGGAGGTGGGACCCAGAAGGAGGAACCGGGGAGGAAGGGAAGCCAATCGGGCGTGGCCTTTTTGACCATAACACGGTGGCCGTGCTCATCCAGCAACTTCACCCCATCAATCTCCACCCACTTCGATCTCGTCGCTTCCGAAGATCGTTGGCGATGGCACAGAATCAGGGCCTTGGGGCATTGGGAATGACGGAGTAGCGTCTTGGACTTGGAGACGAACCTGGCCATCATATCATATCATATCAAATGGGACCAAACCATACAGAGACATAAAGAGATATAATCGGTTTTTCAGGTTTAATTGTGGGATTTTAGTATTTTAGGTTTTAATATGTTATCTATTTTCTTTTTTATAAAGATTTTAGATTTAATTGTTTCTGCATCGTTGATTTTACAATTAAGATCAAAGTAACACGGACAACACTTATTTAGTTAAACAATTACTTGTATATGTATCAATATTTATTGTTATTATTATTTATTTTTTAGAAGATCGATGTCTATTATTATTTATATATAAATATTTATTCATAGTACACTAATGTATATCTAAAATTTTAAAATAATTTTAAATGTATTTAAAAATACAAAATTATAAACTATAAAGTTAACATCCTACAATGTATGATACATTAGTCATATTGTTTTGTTCTTTTTGGCATTGTAAAGAGTCGTCTAAGTCTGCCAAGTTTTAATTAACAATTGGATTTCTACGGTGCAAATTTTATCTTATACATAATTCACAATTTAATATAACGTGTAACATATATCTAGTTCACATTTGAATTAGATTGGGAGAGAACAAAATTTGATCCAGGGAACTTTTATTGATTTAGATTAGTTTTAATATTTCAATTTTTTTAGACAATTCAAATAAAGTAAACTTTGTTTCATTTAGAATGAAAACATGATCATTGATTTGGTTCAGGAATAATAATTAATAATTTAAAAAATCATATTATTAGTTTAATTGCTATTATTTAATTTGTAACACAAATGCAATATCCTAACTCATCAACATTTGTTTTGATTCTCAACTAAAAAAGTTGAACTAATTTAATTCCTTCCATTTTCCATTTGAATTCTTAAATTTAATAGATTGAACTAAATCAATGAAAGTTAATATTTGTAATGCCTATAGACTCAATTTGATAAAATGAGAATTTGTGAATCAAAATTGTACAATTTTAATATTTATAAGAAAGTATGTACTTTTGTAGAAAAAAAAACATTACATATAATGTAAAATAATTTTACATAATTATCAAATTATGTGGTAAATTTATTTACTTTCGATGACTAATGCGTACCATTTAGATTAACAATGTGCTGATATGTTATTATTATTATTACTATTATTATTATTATTATTATTATTATTATTATTATAATAGTTTAATTTTGTTATAAATGAATGTTATAATATTTAAATTTATAATAAATAATTTATATTGTATTGCAACATTATTTTTAATTACTAATTTTCTTAAAAATTATTGAAATTAAATTAAATATAAATATGAAAGGAATATATTGAAATAAATAAACAATGAATATTTTAGCATATAAAGGGAAATATTTTTTTTATTTTCTAAAAATTTTAAATAATAAAGTATTAAAATATAAATATTTTAAAAAATAAAAAAAATGGAGAAATAAATTATATAAATTGTGTAAAATTTAATATGATTGATAATGCGAAAAGGTAAATTATTAAAGAGTGAAGAAAAATTGTTGAAATTTTAAAAACACCAAGCAAAAGTTAAATTCAAAAAAACGATGTTAAAAAAAGTAAACCAAAGCTTAACATGAATTAGAAGGAAAAAGTAAATATGATGGAATTTTAAAGGATAAAGAAAATTGTAACTATTTGTGTTTGATAATATACTTTTTAAAATAATATAAATATCAAAATATAAAACTATCTAAAAAACAGAAAAGGTGGAGAAACAAAAATAAAAAGGCTAATAGTTCAAAAGCTAAAATATAATGTTTAAAAAAAAAATTTTAAAAAAAAATCGATGTTTTTAAAGAATAAAAAGTGAAATTGTCAAACTAATGCCTATAAAATATGATATATATAAAATGAAACATAAAATGAAGAAGAAAATTATAATTTTGTATAATAAAATTTTTTAAAATAATAGAAATAATACAATTGGTTTCGTTTAGATATAATAGTTTATAAATTTCGTATTCACTCTCGAACATTAGTAGAACATTAAGGCCGAAATATTTTATAAAAATAAAAATTCTAACGGATTAGAATTAAAAAATAATAATAATTCAAACATGATAATAAACTTCATAGACCCTCTTTATCTTGTTTCTACACTGAATATTATGGAAGTATTTTGTAAATATTAAAAAAAGTAGAGCAATACAAATTATAATAATGTGAAAGCATTTAAATATGATTGAATACATTCATATTTGGAGGGTATCTAAACATGACCAATATGAAGTTTGGGACTGCTTTTGCAAGGGTGTTAATGGAAACCAAGGTATGCAATGAAATAAAGGAAATTTAAAGTCATAAACAGGAATAAAACACCTTACTTTATTTGGTGGTAACTCCAACGTTTGTATTTACACATTCATCTCTGCAAATCGATGGTATTCATGAGGTACAGAACAGAAGCACAATCTCATTTAATTATTGCTACTAAAAAATTATAATTACAGAATATATAGAGGAAAGGGCAATGTAAGATTGGGCTCACATCTCAGACAAAAGATTGCTAATTTTACGTAGTTCCTTCAAAGCTGACATGACAGTAACCTGCCCTTCGCCAACCACATCATTTTTAGACATGCTATCCAATGATGCTCCCTCGCCCAGCTGTTGGAAAGCACTCTCTATTACCTGCCACACGAAACTTCTTAGCATACATTCATGTAAATAAAACTCTTTCTTTCCATGTAAATAGGACTTTTAAGTTATAAGTTCACTTAATTCACTAATTTATCATTGAATTTGAGCGTGACAATGAGAAATAAGTATACCTGGATATGTTCAAGCATTGACTGCCCAATATTCCTCATAGTGCCGGTCACATTCTGCTCTGTAGATTCCCCTTTGCAGCTAAGAGAACTACAATGTCCATTGGCTGTAGAAGAGGGTATTGTATTGCTTTTATTATCGCCGTTGTTGGCAGGTTTTACTGCCTCAGAAGCATCACTTCCTTTCTCAGAAATAAACTCGCCATTACTCCGCCCAAACTTCCATAACCACTGAAATTTGGTCACTTTTCTCTCCTTGGAATGCGTGGCTGAATTTCTAGCGGAATTATTAATATTATTGCTCCCTGTTGTATTTGATACGTTCTGAGGATGATCAGAGATTGGAAGAGGTGAATCAACGGGACTACTAACGGAAGCTTCATTAATTCCATCAAGGGATAAATTAGACCCAACACTACTCTTCTCACACTCATATTTGTGATCATTGGCCTCGTTAGGAGGGCTAGCTGGGCAAGAAATATCTGGTGAGTTTTCAACACTAGTGTTTTGGCTTAGACATCTATCTTCAGGATAATAATTGTTGCTGCATTCGGAACTGTCTTCCCGCTGCTCCTCTTCAACTTTTGCAGGCAGATTATCATGATTGCAGAGTTTTTCAGTATCTTTCTCAAAGCCAAGTTCCTTAGCAAGATCTTCTAGCAAACTGCGCCCAAATGGTGACTTGGATTCGTTTTTACCACTCTTAGACCTTGGTGAAGAGGGGTCAGAATCTCTTCTTTTCAAACTGAACTTTACCTTCTCTGTCCATCCCTTCTTTCGCATTGGAACCTGTTTTTCTCCTGCATCTTGTTTGAGTTCTTCAGCCTTGTGTACAACTCTCCACTTTTCTTCCCAGTAGCTCTCAGGTACCAAATTCAGAGGAGTTTTCGGAGAAAATGGTTCAGATGGAAGAGTTAGAGATCTTGCCATAACTGGTTTCGGTGGCTGGTTATGATGCTCCACAAATGAAGGTGTCGAGGATGAAATCTTAGTACTTAATGCAAGAGCCTGCAAGGATTTAGCCTTCTCTATTAGCTTTTCAATATCAGTGTTCTCAGGAAAGTTTAATAATCTCTGAAGACAGGTTGTAGGATTTTCAGCGGCAAGAAGCGAAGATCTTATATGAAGCATCATTGCTACAGCCATAGCTGAGATAAATGCCCCACGGGACGAATTGAAGATCCTAAAACCAGAGTCTGCATTGCCCTCAGCGTGTTTTTCTACTTCGCTATTATCTGATGAAAAGATTTCATCCCAGATTATTAAAAGGTTGCTGAGTGAAAATTCTCGTCCAAATAAAACTCGCAACCAGCGGAGAGCAAAGTACTGGGGTTCAACCCCAAGATCGACAAGATGGTCATGCAGAGATGAATCAGCATGAGACAACAAACGATACAATGCAGCAGAAGCTTCAATTACAGGAGGCAAGCCAGTATGTGACCCAGGCAAAGGAGAATAAGAGAAGAAATCGGTCATTGCAATTGAACCACGAGCCCCATTCATCAAAGCATCAAACATACAATAAGCATCATGTTCGATGAATTTCTCAGATAAAACAATGCCCAGTTCACCTTCTGCCCCGTATGCATCACTTAGCAATACAATGTTCTGTATCTTAGGGTCAAGCTCATCAAGACTCTTGATTTTCATTACATTTCCATTGGAGTCAATTCCATCCTCCATCAAATCTGAAGATTTTCTAAAATCAAAGTTATAAGAAAGATCATTCTCTTGACAAAGGAGGTCATCAAATCTGTCTGTGAAGTGATCTTCATAAAGCTTTCGAACTTCTGAAAGACACTCCACATCACATTGGAGTACATAAAGGATTGGAGCAAGTAATTCATGCATTCCTACAAAACAAATGGATGAGATAAGCCCAATAATATCATATTGGGAACATCATAGTCAAATTTAGGGAATTTATAATTTACCCGCTAACAGATTTCCAACAACTTAATCGATGCAAAAGTAGTCACAAACTAGTTGACAGTAAAGAATATGTATAATGGATATAGTAATTAATGCCATTGTTGATGCCCCAGAGAACATGAAACTGGCTATATTAGAGATAGATTATTTTATTATATTGTTAGCATAACCGTTGCTACCCCTTTTCTGTTTTTTTGTTTTCTCTCTTTCTGTTAGCTTTTCTAGATGATATTCTCTTTTCTTCTTTTCTCTCAGTTCTATATAACTGAACCAATGTATCCCTTTAACGTTGACTTGATAGTTTTTTAATGCAATGAGAAATGATATACCATCATTCTGTAATAGGCTATGAGAAACCATAGAATGTGCCTTTTTGTGATAAGTATAGTCAAGTTTTCATTCAATTATATGTGCTATCGTTGGAAGGAACAATGAGACACGCATGATAAATGAGAAAGCTTACTTGAACTAAAGATGCGTAACCATAGTTTCTTGGGAAATGAACGACCCCTATCTCCCGAGGTTATGCTAGAATATTCACGCATCCCAGTTTTTAAATAAACATCCACTTCCCTTAAGATTTTGGTAAAATAACAATCACCCCCTTTAGTTTTAAAAGACACTTACCTCCCTACTGTTTTCAATAAAATTAAATGACATTCATCTTTTTTATATTTTTAATAAAGTATCACTCCCTGCCCTTATATTATTCTAAAATAACATATTGGCTAAAATTTAATTAAAATTATTAAAAATAAAAATTAAAGTTTTAAAATATATAAAAAAATTATACATAAAAATTGAATGATTTAGTTATTGGAAAATTGCATCCACCCATACAGAAGTTCATACTTTTTTCTAGTTTTAAAATAGACATTTGCATCCTTTATATTAGTAATTATTTATTTCTTTGTATTTATACTTTTATTATTTTTACAACATATTTATATTTGAATTAAAATTATATTTAATATAATAATAAGTAAATAAATTTAATCTTAGATTTTATAACTATTTATTTAATTTTACATTAAAACAATGTTGTATAAAAAATATATTCTTTTTATATTTTTATAAGATCATTTATAATTGAGTGAAAATACATTTTTTTATATTTTGTTAACATATAATAATTAAATTGTTTAATTTCTCAATAAAAACTTCTTTAATTTTTAATCTTTTATTTAAGTTTGAAAAATATAAAGGACGTGAATATCATTTTATCATAAACATAAAGCAAGTGAGTGGCTTTTAAAAATTAGAGATGTGAGTGTAGTTTAGCATAACCTGAGGGGAAAGTAAGTAACTTTTCCTAGTTTCTTTTATGGAGTTGGAATAAAAATTAAGACAATCATCCCAAAATGAGAAAGCTTACTTTAACTAAAGATGGGGTAGCCATAGTTTCTTATATGGAGTTGGAAGGAAAAATAAGACAACAATACCAAAATGAGAAAGCATAATTAAGACAAACGTTGACTTAAATTCAACATATTGTCAATAAATGTTGCTTGGGAGAGCAATTTACCTTGTCTGTAACCACACTCTGGGTGTCTGAGACACCATAGTAATAAAATTCGTCTCAGTATTCCTTGGCATCCGGGGGTCTGGAAATAGTTGCCATGTTCTGGGTATAAACGTGATAAATCCTGATCCACCATCTTCTCCATCTCTGCATTGCGAAAAAAGCGACTCCATGTACTGTCTGCATAGAGGACAAATTGGTATGGACGTCAGCATAGACAGAGTTCAAATGGCAAGACATAGAAAGGGTTAGACACCCTACCTAAAAACCTACTTATATCAGTAATATGTATTTCAAGGTTTTGAGACAACATTATGACAAAATAAGAAACAATTTACAAGCTTGGCTTTTTCTGTCTGCTCCCGCTTCACCTCAACAGTTTGTTGTTTGCCATTATTTTTTTGCTTAACATTTTCATGGGTTTGATTGCCAAAAAATGAGCAGGCAACATTGCTACATTCCTTTAGGGGGGATATAGATTTACGAAATCTTGGACAATAGCAAATTAGCAATAGATATATAATCTGTCAACAGGTAAAATAAAAGGATACCAGAGGATGATGCTCTTATTAAAACCAATCTCAGGAAAGGTGGAGGGAAATATTGTCATTAGAATTAAGATATCAAACTTGCTCTCTACTCAGTATATGGGAATTTATGAAAGTATATTGGATAAATCAGGGATTTATAACCAGATATAGATTTATCATGTAAAGTGCAGGAATGGGGTGAGAGAATATGCTTAGGTTTACCTGGATTTTGTGAAAGTGGGTTATCCATGACAACATTGGGGGAACTATTTCCATCCTTTACAATATGTGGATCAACCAGAAGGCGCCCTCTCAAACTGGCATACCTGACAAGATTACAAACAGTTCATGTTAAATAAGATACACCCTCAAAAAATTGCAATTAACTGAACCAATGTGCAGTTGTTTTTAATGCACAATAATGACAGACATCAGGTGCATCTAAAACTTAGCCCTGGCAACACTGTTCGAGACATATAGGTAGTCAAGGGCCAAATCCATAATTTATGCAAACAACTCTCAATGCCAACAAAAGAAACAGCTTGATTTTCTTTTCATTTCAGGCAATGAAACAATACTTGGTACAAGATTATATTGGCCGGACAGGGGGAGCAAAAAAGAAGATAGTATCAAAACCAATTCACCCAAACACGTAGGTAAGCATTCTCGAATGAAGATTGCCAAAATATCCTCAAATTTCTGTATCACAATTATTCCAAAAAATAAAAGTTGTAAGGTGCACATCTTTCTAGAATCCCTTGTTATTATTGAGACATTGAAGGGTGGACATTACCCACAATGACAAAAGAGAAGGTTATATCAAATAGTTGTTAGACGTGAAGTTTATCATCAAAACCTAGGAAGTAATCTCAAACTCGGTATAACTTTGGCTAGAACATCTATCAGGCTATTGCTAACAAATAAAGCTCTCAAACAGGCACCAACCTTGAGGTATACAATTATAGAAACACCACAAATTGGACTAAAAAAAATCAATTTACATCATCATAAGAAAAAAACTAGAAAAGGTATGATCATTAAACTGGCCTCTTTACCTCCTTCTAGAATTAGCTGTGGCACGACGAAGATCATCAATGGAAGAAGATGGCAACACCCCAAGATTTATTCGCCACTGCAGACCTCTAAGATCCCCGAATCGCCGATTCTCCGGCGCCGTGACCGGAAAAACAGTGTCGGAGGTAAAAGACAGCACCGACGACGTTTCCGATAATGGCGGATCCACTACAGCCGGCGGCATGATAATCCGGCAATCCCTCACCGACCCAGATGCTCAAAACCAACGAGAATCCAGAAAAACGCGATAAATCAGCGAAATTCGTCCCAAATTCTGAAGCGGGACGCCGCAGAAGGTAACAATTTAGCCGAATTGCTTTTTTTGGGAAAGCAAAAGATTGAAAATTTTCAGGCGCGCAAGAGGTGGGAGCTGACTAAGGAGGGAAAAAGGTGAGTGGAGGGAAAAGGGGTGAATTGGGAGATGAGAGCGTGGGCAGAGAAGAGGAAATAATGAGAAAAGTTGAATGTGTTGTTGCAGAGATTCTCTGTTTCTCAATGTCTCTGTTTTTCAGTTTCTTCCTTTGTGGGAAGAGACAGACAATGAGAAAAGAAGAGAATAGGAAGTTTGTTGGTCCAGAGCAATGGAAAATGGAAATAAAGAAGAAGAAAGAAGGTAAGGGAATGGTGCATCCGTTGAGGAGTAAGTTAGGATGAATTGGATTGGGGGTAAATTGAGTTGTACACATTGCCCTTCTTTTTCTTTTCCCTTCTACTCGATCATAATTACTCTGACTCTCACAACTTTATTCATGTTTAGGAAAAAGTTAGGAAAAAGATAATGTATATATATCTTCTAAATATTTAGAATTATGATATTGATTATACCTCACCTATATAAAATTTCATGTTACTTTTTATATGCATAAATATAAATATTTAGTGTGTGTCTAAGGGTGACAAAAGTAGTTGTTCAAGTTCAAGCACTTTCCAAGAACATTATTTTAGATAATTTTTGAGATAAACAATAAGATTGTAGACAGAATTCATCATCCAATTTTAAAAGTCTTTGAATTCAAAGTATTTTTTTTATAAATAGAACAAGTTACTTTTTAAAAAATACAACTCACTCTATGCATGGTTAACTGGCTCCCGTATTTTTCACCAAGTTATTACATTTGTATATTCTGGAGTGATAAAAATAAAATAAAGTAGAGTATATAATGTAATGTACGAAGTAGAAAAATGAGGCAAAGAAATAGAAGGTTGTCGGGGATATTCGTTTTGGGTGCTCTTAAACCCTTACAGTTGTTTGTTATTGTTACGCGGCTTACGCATCATGGAATTTAGTTTATGGAAATTATGAGACAGAAAGAGAAAGTGGTAATCTTCGTCCCAACAATTTGTTTTGATTTATATCTTAATAAATTAAACAAATTAAGGGACATTACAAAAAGTGTACATAATTTGTTAAAAGTGTATAATTAATGGTTTTCGTAATAGTAAATAGAGTAAAAGTAGAAAAATTGTTTCAGAATAATAGGTTTGTTTAATCAAGAGTTTTAGGGCATGTTTCATCCAAAGTTACATAACACCAATCTCTATCTGCTAATGTGGTGTTTCTTTAATAGGGTGAATAGTAGTGGTTCATGGTGCCAATGACACATTGACCTACTTCGTATCTCTCAGATTCAAGATAATTCGTTCATTTATTTCTCCCTTCGTTTCAACCCATCCACTTCGCCAAACCAATCAATCACCGTGCTCAACAACATTTCCGGAAACATACCATAACTTTATTTGTAAAAGAGTAACACATCAAGAGGTTTGCATTAAAAACAAGTATCACAAATTTTTTGAAATTAATAGGTGAAGATATGAAATAATATTCTATCTTTTTTATTTTTCTTTAACTTTAAAGACTCTTCTTTACTTATATTAAACAAATAAGAATTTCATAGGTTTAGACTTTTGGTATAATTAGTTGAAAATCCTAACATATATTTTTCTTCACTAGAGTGGTAAAAAGAGGATCATCATAATTTGATCTGACTTTACGTAATAAATAAAAAATAATTTGATAACTCAGTTTATCTATATTTTAAAATAGAAAAGAAAAATCAATCTAATCTGATGTCATATTAGATGAACGAGTTAATAGGTCAACATTAACTTAATTGAATTAAAAATACATTAATATATTTATACCAAAATAATTAATTAAAAAATATTTAAATAAAAAATATTTTTTAAAATTTGAATTATATTAATAAAATTAATTTTATTTATAAAAAAATTAAAAACTTATTTTTTATTATTATTTTTTTTAGTAATTTATTATCTAAAATAGTAATTAATCTTAATTATTAGATATTAAAAAAAATTGTTAAAGACTTATATTTACTTTTAGAATAAGTAAATTCATTGATATATATATATATATATATATATATATATTAATAAAATAATATTTTTTATGTTTATTTAAAAAATAATTATCATTTTATATAATAGGTTGACACATAAACTTATGAATTAGTCTCGATTTAAGTTCATATATATCACGGTTTAAATAAATAGATGAAAATAAGTATGATTTAATTTATATCACAAATTTTATATTTAACCCGACATATTTATCAGGGATCAACCTATTAAACTAAACATATTTTAATACTCATACGCTTCACAATTATATAAAGATAACTATTAATATCATCATTTCACACTAACCTTAATAGTATTAATCATCATATAAGTATTATTATCATTGGTAAGAACTTTATATCATATTGGTGTATCTCCATTTGCTCATATTTTTGAAACTTATCTTCTTCTTTTAATTTCACTTGTTGAAGTTGATGAAGAGAGAAATTCACTCTTTCAAATTTGATTGCTAGAGCTAAAAAGAATTTGTCCATTTTTTTTATTACCATGACCATGCTAAATTCTTGATTACCATGATAATGAATGATCTTCAGAAAGTAATCATGAAACCCTCCACAATGTAATCAAAATTTAAAAATTTAATATAGTTCAAATGACATTGCAAAGTATGACTTGGTTTCTTAAATATTACTATTTTAAAGAATACTTTCTAAAATAGCACATCTGGAATATTATTTACCCAACTAGCATTATTTGTTGTTCACGGTACTCTCGCTCAAGCGAGAAATACATCGCTTGAGCGAGGAGACCTGAAACTTAAGAGCTTTGTGGGGTTTAGGTTCGCTCAAGCGATAAAATTCTCACTCAAGTAAGAAACCCTTCGCTTAAGCGAGGAGACCTGAAACTAATGAGTAATATCGGATGTTAAGCGATAAGTAATTTCGCTCGAGCGAGAATTTATTGAAATATGTGGTGACCCAAGTTGCATTATGTGACTAACTACGTTGGACTTTTAGCCTGTGGTCAATTCTCGCTTAAGCGATGGGTAATTTTGCTCGAGCGAGAATTGATTGGTTAACTTAACGCCTGTGGTCAATTCTCACTCAAGCGAGGAACTCATCGCTTAAGCGAGAAAATTTATAATTGATTATAATTTAAACTAATCGATCATAATTTTAAAATAATTGAATATTTAAAATTATGATCGATTATTTCTCTCTCGCTCAAGCGAGAAATCCATCGCTTGAGCGAGGAGATCTGAAACTAATGGGTAATGTCGGGTCATTCTCGCTCAAGCGATGGGTAATTTCGCTCGAGCGAGAAGTGATTGGCTAACTGCGTTGGACCTTTCACCTATGGTCAATTCTCACTCAAACGAAAAATCTATCGCTTGAGCGAGAAAATTTATAATCGATTATAATTTAAACTAATCAATCATAATTTTAAAATAATCGAATATTTAAAATTATGATCAATTATTTCTCTCTCGCTCAAGCAAGAAACCCTTCACTTGAGCGAGGAGACCTGAAACTAATGGGTAATCTCAGGTGTTTTTTCGCTCAAGCAATGCGTAATTTCGCTCGAACGATAAGTGATTGAAATATGTGGTGACCCAAGTTGCATTATGTGGCTAACTGCGTTGGACCTTTAGCCTGTGGTCAATTCTCGCTCAAGCGATGGGTAATTTCGCTCGAGCGAGAACTGATTGAAATATGTGATTACCCAAGTTGTATTATGTGGCTAACTGCGTTGAAACTTTAGCCTGTGGTCAACTCTCGCTCAAGCGAGAATTCCATCGCTTGGGCGAGGAAACCTGCAACTATTTATAATCGATTATAAGCTAAACTAATCAATTATAATTTTAAAATAATCGATTATTTTAAATTATGATCGATTATTTTGTGACTTTTTTATATAATTAATAATTTTTTAAAAAAATTTCCCAAAACATAACTTCCCAATATAATTTCTAACGCACACAAGTCAAAAATTCAATGCTAAGTCACCCACCCAAGTTAGGATTCTCATGCCTTTCTGATGCACACAAGTCAGGAATCCAATGTTGAGTCACCCACCCAAGTCAGGATTCCAATTTTGGATTCCCTGCATTGGGTTAGAAAAAAGCAGAAGTCATGTGAGGGATCCTTGGATTAGACAAAAGCAAAAGAACATTTTAAGAGATGCTGACCCACCCACTTTGCTTGGGTTTTGTGTGCGCCAGAAGCCATGTGAGGGCGCCTTGGATTCAAACCATTGGACTTCATTATAAATAGACCACTTTCATTCTTTGAAGTTCTCACATTGCACACTCCTAAATCTCTGAAGCTCTTTGCATTCTTTCTTCTTCTTACCTTTAGTCTTCTTTTTGATCCACACTCCTAAAATGGGTGTAATGTCTACTATTATCCACTATAATGGTTCCATGAACCCATGTCCCATGGAGGGAGTTACCTTCAATATTGAGACTGCAAAACTTGTTCCTTTAAAGAGAGGAATTTTTCTACAAAGGTTGAAGAAGTTGATCCACAGGAAATTAGAGAAAGAACCCCATGAAAATGTAGTAACCATCCATTTTCGCTGCCCAACTAGACTCGGAGTTGAGATCAACAACTTCATTGTTGTTGAGTTGAAAGATGATGACGACGTGGAGGTCATTTTCGATGTTCATGATTCAAACTCAAGTCTATGTGGTATTGAAATTTTTGTTACATTTAAAACTTCTTCTTCTTCATACCCCAACACACACTCACCTGAAATCTCACCCTCACCGTACCAAGCTTTCCCAAACACTGATCCAGAAATACCCACACATAATGACTACATCTCTTTTACCCAACTTCTAAGTGGACCTTCCACCAA